CAGATTCGATGGGAATATCGAATGAAAGTTTGCACGATAAATATTCTTATTATTTGTTGTTTAGACACTTATAATCAACATTGTTGCCAGTAATTGTTTGACCAGTGCATGAAATTGCTGTAATTGTCGAGTAGGCGGATTCCTGTATCATTGTTTGTTCACCAGTCCTGGATTCTCAGTTGAGTAGTTGGACATGGATATTGCAGCCGCGAGTTTGCGTTAGTCCCAGTCCTACCTGGTTTATAACTTTTGGTTTCTGGAATGGATTTCCATTTCGTATTGGGTAGAAAACGGATCTACTCTTCGTTTTGATCTTATATTAGTTCGACTGTAACCTTTGGAAATTATTTGCGTAAGGTAAAATACTATTATTAGTCTGTCTTTTCTATAATACCTATGTCTACGGAGAAACGTGAGCATGAGGCTGTTTTTACTGTGAGTCAAGATCTCATCACTAGTTATTATGTTGGTGTATTCGGTAGCATTCTTGAGAGGTGAGATGCAGTGACTAAATTAGTTCCTCTAGCTAGTTCAGAGGAGCACTTTTAGGCTGCGAGAGTATACACCTAAGTGTTTTGACGGAGATGGCTTCGAATATTCTAGTTTTGTTGACGAGATAGATTTAATGTTTCCAGGTGAAGATTTAAGTGAAACTATTAAATTAATTAATCTGTCTCGTCAATATACTGAGGGTGCAACAAATGCTATTAATTGTTGTAGTCCTTTGCATCCCACCCAAGATTATATGGAAGCCAGGAGGATTCTTCATCAGAGGTTTGGGTGCCCACAAGTGACTGCTCAAAGATTGTTTGAATTGTTAAGAGAGAAACAGACGTCAGACTAAGAATGGTGCCAAAGGTTTGATTCGATCTTCGCATAATTTGTTGCTGTACAGAAATACAACGATTGCTTCAAATTTAGAACGTAGCTTAGATCCGATGTATTAATAAGGCTACCTACCCGTTTGCAAAATGTGTGAAAGTCAGGAACAGAATGAAAAAAGGTGTTGAACCAGGTTTTCTGATATACTAAAGCTGTTACAAGATAATGTTAACTAGTCAACTAGTGGAATTGAGAACGTAGTTAAGCAGATACTGAGTCTGTTGTTCATGGAACAACTTTGGCTATGAAACTTGATAGCTCAAAGATAGGTCCAAAAAGATGTGCACTGCAAGAAAAACAAAATCAGACGAAGCAGCATGACAAGTTTATGAGTTTTGCTGTCATTCAATAGTTGAAGTTTACGAGAAAGAAAATATGATCATGTAATTGAAATGTAAAATTCATCCACTATTGGGGATAGATAACAGAATTTCTTATGAATATCAAGTCAGCCGTTTGATAAATAAGGCGAACTATGCTAATGAGAACGAATCTATTACTTTAAACAATGTTAATAATGAGATTGACTCCACCTGGAGCTCCTCTGGGTCTGCTACCGGTCTCAAGCCCGAATAAAGTAGGCGGGTTGAACATGAGGTTAACGACCTCATCCCGTAGAACACTAACTCGCTAAAACAACTCTAACCATAAAAAATAATTCAGACCATTTAAACTTTACCGTGGGAGTTGGAAGGAAGAGTTATGACACCTCATGGTGATAGCCGAGTTCCTTCGGAAGTCATGAGGCTGATGCCCCTCCTAACAACCAGAGCAACAATTTATCTAGGTACATGGAATGTTCGTACAATGTGAGGGACCGAGAGAGCCATCCAAGTTGCTGCCAAAATGAAAAGTTACAACCTGGAGGTGCTTGGACGCAAGATGGACAACAAAGACGAACTGCAGGAGAGCTGCTGTTATACTCCGGCCACGAAGAGGAAAATGCCACACATACACAAGGAGTTGCACTGATGCTATCCAAACAGGCACAAAAAGAATATATAGGATGGGGATCTCATGGACTCAGGATCATCAAAGCCTCCTTGAAAACAAAGAAAGAGCGCATTACAATGAACGTTATCCAATGCTATGCGCTTACCAACGATTACAATGAAGACGTTAAAGATCAATTCTACTATAGGCTGCAGTCAATCGTCGAGAAATGCACTTGACCATTCCGATGGGAGACCTGAATGCCAATATTGGAATGGACAGCACCGGATACGAAGACTTTATGGGATGACATGTATTGGGAAAGAGGAACAAAAATGGTGAGAGATTTGCGAACGGATGTGCCTTCAACAAACTGATCATAGGCGGCACTATATTCCCACATAAACGCATACACAAAGCTACATAGATTTCACTGGATCACACTAAACAAAATCAAATCGGTCATATTTGCATCAATACAAAATTCAGAAGGACGATAAAGGATGTGAGAACCACGAGAGGAGGTGATATAGCATCAGATTATCACATGCTGGTCGCCAAGATGAGACTAAAACTCAAGAAGCACTGGACAAGAGGACTGAAAACAACACAAAGGTTTAATCCAGTCATTCTTCAGAATACTGACACATCCGATGGATTCAAGATAGCTCTCAGTAATAGGTTCCAGGCCTTTCATTATTTACTCACTTTTGAGGAACCACCATGGAGAAAAACTGGAAAGATAACAAGGAGGAAATCACTTCAACATGTAATGAGGTTCTGATCCACAGGATTCACTATCACAAGGAATGGATCACTATTGATACACTGGGTAAAATTCAAGAAAAGAGGAACAAGAATGCAGCACTCAATACCAGCCGAACAAGAGCAGGAAAAGCCAAGGAACAAGCAGAATACACAGAAGTAAACATGCAAGTGAAGAGGAACATCAGAGCCAACAAATGCGAATATATGGAAGTAAGAACTGTGATGGTGATCTAAAATCCTATGTTTCTTCTTGGTTAGAACCTATGCTATCCCTGATAATCGCGTGACCTGAACTCACATTATTGACTCATGAACATTCAATTAAATGAAAGCATCATACATTTCATCACCTCTGTTGGTAGCATTTAGGCTGAATTTATTTCAGAAACTCAACTTTATGCGGTGTGATTTATAGCATAGGTTTAACCTAATACTCACAGGCAGCTTGTATATGCAATAATTTCTGATCATCCATCTACATCAACTAACATGGATGACCGGTTCATTATGTAACCAGAACAGTAAGTTTATAGCATTACTCTCACGGTTGCACTACAGTCAAAACAATACTTGTCAGTTGTCCATTCACAATGCTAGAAATGTCCTCTGATTTGTGTGACGAAACCTCTCTTTAAATTCACAACAGTTCATTTACTTTTGTACTACAAGTGAATCCTGACGCACATGTCGCTTTTTATTTGGTTGTTATTAATATGAGCAGAAAACAGTTGTGCTGTTCATACGTCAAATGGCTAGCCACCGATTAATCCTATGCATGTCTGGATGTTTTGATATAGTGTTTCCTGTGAATATTGGGCGGTGGTCACCATCGATTGCACGATTATAAAGGTAGAAAATCAGAATACTTAATAATTATCCATTAGGCTGCAGAAACTAAATTGACGTGTTCTTGTTTGAAAACTTGAGTGAACCGACGTTCCTGTGGAGGTTGACTCCAGAAGTAAGCTGATGCAACACTTCAGGTCGATTGATTGATAGTTGGCCGAAAACATCTGGGTATATCAAAACATTGTGGCTCGAGTATTCATTTACTTACTTATTTTGTGTAGGCATTATGTTTTCTATTATTCTGTATTAAATGTTAAAAGCCTTATGTGTTGGAAAGAGAGAATCACGTGCTGCAAATGTTCTTCCTCACTTTCTCATTAGAGGCCTGTTCAATCACGAGTCTAGCTTCTTATATGGATAAGATGAAGGGTATCTACTAGCACGAAAATTACATCCAAACTCAAACCCGTGTTTGACCAGATCGAATAGGTCCTAAAATGGTGTCGAGGTTTGTGTCCAACTAGAGGGCATCCTGTGAAGTGTGGGTGGACTTGGAGTACGGTTAGTGAGAAGGGCTGGAAAACAGAAGAACAAAAGAAGTGAGTTGATGATTTAGCAAGTGCTCTTAATGCACCCACATTTACATTGAAAGTAATGGACGACAGCAGGCAGTGACACAAGCCCTAAATGAGGGCAACGTTGAAATAACTAGAAGCAAATTTTTGAACCTGCTTTAGTAGACCTTCTTGAAAAGACTGCATAATGGTTGGTAGATGTCTGTGAAGAAGTAAAGAGATTTAGCATGAATGCATCATAGTGGTTAAACACCAAAATTATTTCTCGACAGATGGGGAAGTTCATTATATCTAAGGCAAATGAGTGACGACACTGGGCATGAAATCTACACTTTTCGACAAAATAATGGGAATGTAGGGGTAAATAAATCCTTAAAATCAATAGCTCCGTAAGTTTTTGGTATTTAATGTCGACCACATTAGTTTCAATGGATTCACATAGCTGAAGGCGTTTGGTCATACATCCGTACCCGATCACGAGTTGGCATGTTGTGTGCAACTTCTCTCACAACCCCTAGCCAGTTTATATCAGCCACTTATCGATATATTGATAGCCTATCAAATATATCTTCGAACCTCTTTACTTCTGACTTCTGATTTCACAGGGTGGGCACGTTCCAATTATAGGAGGTGTTACTGGTTAAGGTGTTGTCAAACTCCAAATACTTGTGGCATCTTCAAGCAGTATAACTAATCACTCTGACAATGAGCAGTGATCTGCAAATACAAAGTTTGCTGACTTCCATTCGCATTTCTCATCGTATAGTCTTACTCCGCTTTATGCAACAATTTCCTGTTCATGGTTAGGCAACATATGGTAACGTTATCTCAGTTACTGAACATGTTTGAGGTAGTGTTGACAACAATATTATTATTATGCTAGGAATAAAAAATCTTTCCGTAACATAATAAACTGATAATATCTAGCCCTATAATCTTCGATGGTAAAATCATTGTAATACTTTTACTTTTATGATATACCCAGATATCCAACTGGAGGAATAGACGATCTAAACGATTACAACAGGCACATTATATACCAAAAACCTCATCTTTTCTGTTAACAAAAAGTAAAATATCAGTTACCAAACATTGTAGGCAACATGATCTATTTATGACTCAACTTTTGATGTTTGTTCCCTTTTGATAGATTTGTTTTTCTGAATCAAAGCTAGCAAATCTACCGAATAACTTAAGGGTCAATTGTGAATAAACTTTTACTTCTCGCGTTTAGCTGGCCATATGTCTATAGTATGGTTTGATAGCATAAGTCGCCAGCGTTTCTCATGCAAGAGGCCTTGTGAAAACAATAATTTTTGTAATAAAAAACGGAAGAATTACAGGCATACACCTATATCTAGGAAATCCCAGATAACTCAGTCATCTGGCCCTAACAGTGTTACTCAGAGTCCTTACGTTGTGGCTCCATCTATCCAAAAATTACGTGAAAATATCTTGAATGCCTATGTAGTCAAAGAAACAGAGATGATAGCATTTTTCCATTTGTTGGGTATGACGATTTTCGTATTAATTTCTCTTAATCCATAGAGGATACCACAATTAAAAAGTTTCTTGCCTTCGATATGTGCTTCAAATGTGCAGACAATGTAAGCTTAAGAAATTTTCACCGGATTTCTAGTTCTCAATCGCCTATGTGTTCGCCTATTTTAAAAGATGTAATCTTTCAATTCAAGAATATAATAGAATGAATTTTTTTTGCTGTCTGTGAGTGTGACATCACTTTTTACATTTCAAATAAGGTATCTTGTACACGATATAGAAGAAGATGATAGTGACCATAAATATGAAATTTTTCCATGGGCTCTGGGTTCCTTTTGGCGACAGAAACTGCCAAGTTTTTCTCGACAGAAAGAGGCTTTATGGGCTAGAATGGGTTATCGAGCTGTGGTTAGTTATAGGTGCTGCAAAGAAGTATGTTTGGTTTCGTTTTCTACTTTGACGAAGCTAATGAGTATTTTTCCATCACATCCTGTGTGGAGCCGAAACAGACTTCCGCATCATGGAGGTGCTATTCGATCCTATCTAAAGGCAAGTGATTCAAATATCCCACAGGGTCCGAACTCTCTCCCAAGGTACAGACCACCAACAAAAATGACAGATTTTGATACCATATTCGTTTTGTAGACTATGTGACGCCTGTAAGCTGTTCTACACAAGGAACACTGTTCCCGAATGTTTAATTGCAAGCGAAAACCTCATCACCCCGGAAAATTCCCCAAACCTAAATGACTCAGCTTTCCATAGTCTGTTTGAAGGTAACAATTATAAATTCGCTAAAACCAGCAAAATTAAAGACAATTCGTGCAGCAGCTTTAGAAACGAGAATGGATTAAACATCAATACTGGGTTTCAACCATATGATTCATGCTGTAATGAAAGTTGGCTCTCTCAAGAAACATACTGTTATGAGAGAAGTAAGGGTGTATTCAAATTTAAAAACCATTTGGTTTTCATCCTAATAATACAGAATCTTAATTATTTATGATACCGTTTACATAGTATTTGTCGGAATACTATTTACATTTTAACAATAGTAAATATATTACTGGGTGACATTCTTTTGGGACCTGCAATAATACATGTTTGGTCGAGATAAATTTAAGTGATTAGCAAAAGACCTAAGAATTTTACATAGCCGTATGTGTCTGACAATCATGGTTATAATAAATATCATGTTAGTTCATGAGTTTAGCGTTATAATGGGTAAATGGTCTAATAAAATAAGTGATATGACTAAGGCAGTTGGACGGAAAATTTTATCACATTATCGACCGGTTTACCTAACCAGGCCAGTTGTAAGAAGGCAAAACTAGCAGTTAACTGAATGAGCATCATATATATGAAACACTCAACAAAAATTGTATGGATAAGTTAGTTTTCACATAAAGACTAATTAACAAAGAAAATACTCAGAATTTTAAAATAACTAGAAAGCATGTACTTGTGTTTATCATAAAAATTATGATACCATTTTCCCAGGACTTAAAATGGAATAATAACTGCAGTCGGCTTTAAGTCTATATCGAATTATACGGATGGAACATTTTAAAATAATAGACAAACTTGTAGGAGTGTTTTTAAAACCAATGTATTTTAATTCTTAGAATTTCTTTTTATGGTAGACAGCAAGGTAACTAACACATGTGAAATAGCACTCGGTTTTCTCCCTTACACCAATGGAACACAAGTTTATCTTAGACGAAAATCTACACTAGATGCCCTCCTAGTGTCCATTTTACAGGACTTTAATACAACCCGAATCGAGAGCACGTGACTGGCCTAACCAGAAAGTGAGTACTTTTCCACGTTAACAACTGACAATGATAATGATAAGGGTAGGGAAATATATAACACATCTCATACATGTCAGACTGGCTACCAGCCTGACTGGGTGAACATCCACTCTTTGTTTTCCTTAACCACACATCAACGTAACATTTCTTGTTTATCAGCTTTCTGGTTAGTTACACTTTGTGAATATCGATTACCGTCGTACAAGAGCCTTTATGTATTGCGCTTAAGTTTAATCTTTTAGTGGTACGTTAATGACCACTGAGGTCACAAAAACCTTACTTATATACTGGTTTGTACATTATTTGTAGCAAATGTACTCTGAATATGTTCAGCGATTTGTGGCTTTAAAAATATTGGTAAATAAGTATTCAGCAGTTAAAAAATCTCCACAGTATTATCTGTGCAAAAGTTGTTGCTGTTGCTTAATTTACTCTTGGCTTGGTGAGATTAGTTTGTTTTCCAGATTGTACCTTAGTAAACATCCTAAGTTATGGTTTTTTTGAATTAACGAAATTTCCAATGACATAAACCCAAATGGGTTTTCAGAACTCAATGGCGTTTACTAATGAGAGTCAAAAAATTCATGAAAAGTTTCTCATCAGGAAGTTCAGGAATCAGATATTCATGATGTAAAAAATACGTCACTTCACAGAAAGCTCAAGGTCATGTTATCACAAGATATTACTAAGCGTTACAACTATTAATTGTCCATTTAAGGTGTGATTTTATTAAAAATGTCGAAACATATATATCACAAAGTTTATTTTATCCTACAAAGTGTTCTGGATTTGGAATGATTGGTACTCCTTATTGAGTACATCATAAAAACTTTTAAAATTCTTTTTAGCTATTTCTGGTGCTGAAAACGAATATTGCCTTACGGACGAAGAATAAAACAAGGCAAACTGATGAAAGACATAATTCTCAGTTTTAAAAACTTACGGTCATGTTGTAAATATTTTGTATGCGCCATGCACTGTAACATTTTAAGTAACTGATTCGAAAATTTGAAAATTAAAAACTTTACACAAGCTGTTTTGTTCTCTGCAAAATCAAACAAAAAAGAACACAAAAAGTCCATCTTTGGGATACAGAAGACTGCACCGAACGGAATAGTGAGGGTTATCACTTCTTGAGATTGAACTATGCTTAAAACACTGAAACACCTCTTGATTGATAGAAGTCCACTTCGTGAACACAAGTCAGTTTGTTTTTTGAATTTCCTTGGATTAAAATAGATTGAGTCTGCTCTCTCTCTCCACATACAATATACAATTGAAGTATCTCTATTATTTTCAAATCAAAAGCAAATTATTAACTATGAGGTCTTAGCAAACAATTAAGCGCATTTAGTTCATATTACTTTGAAAAGTGAACTATCAGAACAACGTTCAGGGATGAATCTTTGGTGACTGATCAAGTGAAGAACGTTTATTTCAGATGCTTATGATTCAAGTAACTTTTTCAGTTTCTTGAGGAATAATTTATGCCTAAAATCATATAATTATGATCCGTATAATGCAAACGTAAGTAAAAAATCCATGACTTGAGCTTGAGGATGTAATAGTAGTTTTTTTATTTTGGCGGTACTTGTAGTTTTTCGATTAGGAATAGCTGGAGTCTCCACCATGAATATCATGCCACTCTAAAACGCCCGTGATAGGAAATAATTTTGTCACGATAGTTAGTCTCGTCAGAAACTCACTTTAGATCAGCAATGAGATGAAAGTGACATTTTAGGTACTTATGATGTAACTGAGTAGCTAAACATTAGGGCATCAAAAAGGTTATACTCACTGCTTCTCAAAACACCAGTCTCGATCAAGAATATTTCCGATTGTGGAATAAGTCTTTTTTAGTATAACTTTACTAACATGTATAAGTAGCGAACGTTATATTTCTTGACATGTATTATGATATTTCCTAAAACGACGCTACCGAATTTTTTAAAAATCACTTTACTCATTCATCAAATAGAGAACCATATTAACTCTCAAGACCCAGTATTAGACGACGACTGTTGAACGGGTACAAACATTTAAGAGTTTTAAAGAGAGTAAAACTATAATCTATTCAAAAATGTAGATCGAAAAGTTTAATAAATGTTGGGTGTAGGTTCTTTTTGGTATAAAAATAATAGCTGGTTACTTAACTTCAAGTGATATTACAGTACAATATTACAAGATATAACCATCACTTGTCTACAGATGCAATCTGTTGGTTCTCAAAGACTAAGATGTACAGCATCGTGAGATTTGGTTTAAAGTTAGGGAAAGGTTTAGTTAATCATGAATAATACTTAAAAATGCTTTTCAAACCTTGTACGTTAGCCGAAAACCGAATCAGGGTTAAAGGCAAAAACTACTATTCTATAGGAACTTAGGAATTAGTCTCATTGCTAGTGGCATTCGTTACTTTCAAGCTTGTAATGTAGAAAGTTTACGGTGAATAAATGTTTATGAAATATATGGAAGTTCAAACTACTATTTTTGTGGAACCGTTTTAAACAGCATCCAGTACAAGATTGTAGCACAATCTGACAAAAATAGGTTATCAGCAGAAGGGGTTTTTGTGGATATTATAGTAACTTTAATTGTTGAGATCATGAATCAATTGAAGCTAGACCACCATGGAAAACGGGAAAGCACTGTACGACCGTTTTGTCTTACTGTGGGACTCCTCAGCAGTGCGTATCCACGATTCCGCCTCGCGAGGTTCTAACCCAGGACCTGTCGGTCTCGTGCGCGAGACTGTACGGCCGTACAATGCTTCCCCATTTTCCATGGTGGTGTAGCTTCAATTGACTCATGATCTCAACTATTAAAAATGGGTTGCCTCATTAATTTTGCTTTCGATCAAACTACATAGAAATCTTTCATGTCACACAAAGAAAATGATGTAATGTCCTATATTTGACCACTTATAATCAATAATTAATAACTTGTGGTCTAAACCAATGTGATTTGTGGACATTTCATATCGACAAACGAACAAGTTGGAGATAATCTGAGAATAAGTTGTCTTACAACTTGTTCAGTGAATAAAAGTATGTCGTGCATATATCATGAACTTTAACTCTTATCAGTTGATTGAAATTTTAATCATAAAACAGTGTTCCTTTAGTTAATCCAAAGGTTATTTTTGATTGATATGAGTTTGATTATATAAAATTTGACATTATATAATATTTTGTGATTACAATGGATAAAGATAGAAAGGAACGGGAGACAGATACTTTTGAAAAACGCTTTCAATGGACAATCTTAAAAGAAAAATCCTTAAAAAATGAAATCCGTCTGTTTTTATATAATCACGTAAAACAAAATATAACACCCAATAGGCTTGTAAAGATTAGATTATAAAGGGCAGTTACAACAAACATTCATCAGAAGAAATTTCCCTCTAACTCATCAAAGTAGGAGATATTATGTAGACAAAAATTCTTTATGTAGCTTTAAGATTCTCTATTTCATTTAAATATAATAATATTTATAATAATAATAACCGTAATAATAATCAGATTCATAATAAAACACAAATTCACTTGCAATAAAATACACGTATATATCACTTGCGTGAAGGGAAAGAGTTCAGAAACGACATAGAAAGCAAAAAATGTAATATTGGTGAAAAGAAAAATTTTTTTTTCAAAGAAAACAGTTAAATAGAAATAAGCATCTAGAATAAATTGGTAAAAACAATAGAGGCAAATGTTTATCATCAAGCGACATACATATATACTTTTATAGATCATCCTGAATTAATGCATAATAAATCGAAATAATCGTTTTAACTCCATAAAAATTGCATAAATGTTTAATATTTTCATTTCATTCTTCTTATTATTTGCATCTTCTTTTTAATTAGACAAAATATGATTGAAACCGTGACTTAGTACAAACACGACATCGACTTATTTCACGTAGTACTTTAGTTTCATCTGGTAAATGATCTGTAATATATTGACTGACTGGTTTTTGAAATTCTGTATTATTACTAACATGACGTAGATAATAAGCTTTTGCATCTGACCAATAATTGCACAAACTCATACCATTATTGCATTCTAACAATGGAGAATAACTGAAATATTCAAGACAGCTGCCGGGCGATGAAAGTTGTTGACCACCACCAGTACTTCCAACACTATGCTAATAAAAGAAAAACATTTAAAATGATATATTTATTGTATATCCATAAAAATGTTATTTTCTCTTCAGTTCCACTACCTTGGTTTTGAAGGATAAATAATTTCAGAGTTATTTGTTTTACATACTGAACATAATGCAGCTTAGTTATACCTTGTTTTCTATGTGTTCATGAACAAAGATTTTTTTATTCATTATAGTTTGTTATGATAGTAGCTATATTCTGCTAGCTTCTTTATAAGTTAAACGTTTAACCACTGAATTACTGAGTTTTTTTAGCTTTATTACTGGAAGAACCTTGAGGACTGTCGGTAGTAACAGATAATTTATGACTCTAACAACTAACAACTATAAGATTGAGTCATATATTCTTCTTAAGTAAAGTGGTAATTCATTCATAAACATCACTGATTATTTCTCGAAAAACTTTGTTTCTGAATATTACTGATGATTACAAAAACCGACTAAACGACAATGATCTGGCGTAATAAAAATTATAAGGTAGAGAAAAGAAACATCAAGACAGAAAAACGAAATGTGAACTAAGGTTTTGAAGAAAATAACTGCACCTATTACTTAAAATCTATGGCGATAGTTGGTATTAACACTTTACAAACATTTGAATAAAGTGGAAAAAATAGGTAATTTATGGAATATTACACCTGTCTTTTTAGATGAAAATACAATGAAGGTAGATTTAAAAGTCCAATAATCGTACAAACTGCTGATACATACAGAATCCTGTCAGACCGTTACTCGTAATTGTAGAGAAACACTAATATGACATGTTACAACATAGCAATAAAAATATAGATGAACAAAATGCCTTTCTATGATATTTCTTCAAATAAAAAGTGATTAGGTGGCCACATTTGTATTTTCTTCCTCGCCCAAGGTTTTAAAACATTATTTACGTACATGTGAGTGACTTAGAAGTATGTCCGGTATGTTTACTTATCACAGATTTTATAAACTATACAGTGTTAAAATTGTTCAAATAAGAAAATGTATAGATTTATAATCTTACCATTACAAAGCTATATCCATCCCAAAGTCTTGCCCAGCCTTCTGGACAGTTAACTTCTTGAAGTTGATTTGCTTGTGCATGAAAAGCATAAGGTTGTGTTGGTGCTTCACAGACAACACAACGAGCAACTCTTCGATGAACTTCGCTTACATTTAGTGGCATCATTGGAAGAGGTTCCGTAGTAGCTAACCAGTAAGAACGATCAGCTCGAACACCAAGTTGACAAGATCCATCGCGAAGGCATTGGAAAAATGGCATTATACTGAACATACTTAGACATGAACTATGAGAACCTGACAAAAAATAAATATTCGGAAATATTCGTATTAACAGGCAAATAAATAAAAATAGGCTGAAATTCCACTTCTGAACATACTAAGAATACAAAAGTCATTTTGTGTTCTGAATATATAAAAGGTCATTAGAATCTAATAAGTGGATTGCAACTAACTATCGGAACTATGTTTAAACAAACAGGTTTGATAGCAATAAAAAGTTTGGTGAACCATTCTAGATAAATGCACCATACCATATACTTCGTTTTCATGAAGTTTTGTCTTCAGATTTTAATAAAATTGTTTATTAACAGTGTAAAAATAACATGTAGTAATGAACAGTGGGCAAGTCAGCTTAAATAGATTCGGATTAAGTTGTAAGTTAAACTGTAGCATAGGTTTAAAAATGACTTAACCACCGATTTTATCTTATAACTAAACAAAACCCTTTTTTCCTTACTCTCTCAAAAAAACAGTCATAAATGATCATTGTCGATTATTTCAATCAATGACATCTAGCAGTGAATGAAAATGATAATTTATTGAGTCGATTACTGACCTTGAGTTGGAATACATTCGACATTTTTGGTAAAACCCAAATATTGCTTTTAAGCTATTTTAGTCAGTCGAATATATATTGTACTATTTAAGTAGCAAGGATCTTTTCCCAGAAGTATATGTTGAACATTGTTCCGAAAACAAAAAACAGCTCAGAACATAAGGAAATGTTTTGGGATACAAAATAATTTTCATCTCACTATCTAGAATTTATACAAAAGAACAAGGCAGTTTTCATATTCAAAGGCTACTAAATAGTTAATACATACCTAAATCCATGGTTACTAATTCACCATTTCCATTTGCCATTACAAAACTATATCCGTCTGATATTTTTTGTGAACCTGGAGGACATACAGGTTCAGTGTCAGGATTTTGGAAATGCCTTGTGAACAAGTAGGTGCTCTGCAGCGCTTGGCCAGGAGGACCGCTGAATCCTTCGGGTCCGGGGGGTCCAACATCTCCAGGCATACCTCTTGGACCAATATCACCAGGAATACCTTTTAATCCTGGGTCTCCTTTCGGCCCTGGTTCTCCAGGTTCTCTACCAGTGGGACCGGGCAATCCCATTTCTCCCTTAGCTCCTTTTAATCCCCGCGGTGCCGGCTCCCCAATCATACCTTTTTGTCCAGGTTTTCCTGGTTCACCTTTTTCTCCTTTGACTCCAGGAAGACCAATAACATCTTCTCCAGGTATTCCAGGTATACCTATTGGTCCAGGATCACCAACGTCTCCAATTTCACCTTTCATTCCAACTGTTCCTGGCCAGCCAGTATCTCCTTTATCGCCTCTAGGGCCCAATAAGCCTGATCTTCCGTCGTCACCTGGTAATCCAACATCCCCTGGGGGACCTGGATCTCCAATCGGACCTCTTGGGCCAATATCTCCTGGTATACCCAGTTCACCTTTCTCACCTTTAATTCCAGGATAACCTCTTTGACCTTTAGCACCAGGTAAGGCCATATCACCTGGGTCTCCTGCCTCACCTTGTTCACCTTTTGGACCTAAGTTATGAACACAAAGCAAGAAACAGGGAAGTTTACAAACCACAGATTGTGAGCATTCAAAAAGTGTACATGTTCATTCTCCACATATCCCTTAAAACAAATATTTATACATAAGCACTTGATGAACATCTAATGTTGATAAAAAGATATCACTATATTCAGTCATCATTAGCTGCACAAAATAAGAAATCAACTTCTGTAATAAGGAAAGACGTTTATCGAATTTAAGCAAAGATAATCTAATTAAATACAGCCAGGACTAAATAGATGTCATATTTGAACCAGGACCAAATATTCACAACAGAAAACCGATTGAGTAAATTGTGGTAAGGCGAATACAAATGAGCTTTTGGTCAGTAAGTTTTGTTGCAGTAATAATTCTTGATTTAGCCAGAATCCCCACATAGTTTAAATTAGTAGTTATGGAATTCGAAGCGGAACATGTAATTGTAAAACTTTGATGAATCATTTAGGTAACCGATTTTGCACCTGTCTCAGATGTTCAGATCTGTATGTTTTAATTTCCCCTTCAAATTCATTCGTGTTTTTATGGTTTACAAAGCCAATTTAGTTAAGTAACCACATACTAGGAAGAATAATTTGAAATTAAGCCTACTTAGACTATTATTGTAGACTACTTATGAGTAGTAATAAAAATAGGATAACTTTTCTTGAATGACATTAACATCAGTCTATTACCATATTTCAAGTACACTAATAGGTGAATCATCAGTAAGTGAACCGTGTTATTCATAGTTATTGAAGAAAAATTCTTTTCTAAGAACTCGGTGTAATAAGTTTATACGCTGATGAAATATATAATGGTGTTGATCTATATTGATTAATTTTTTAACATACGAAAAGGTTTGATTATTGATGATTACATGCTAAGTGCATGTGTTTTATTTATTTACATTCAATTAACTTATTCCGTTCAGGTGAAAAATATAAGAAATCAATGAATTTCTTTGTTACTTACCAGTAAGGCCACGAAGCCCAGGATCACCTCGTTGACCTTTGGAACCAGGAATACCTCTTCCAGGTGGACCAGGATCACCAGTTTTACCCACTTTACCTGGTAGCCCTATTAAAATCAGAATTAAAAAAATAATTGTAAGGGAAATATCAGGTTTCATGTTAAATAGGATCTAATTAATACAATCTAAAAAATATTCAAATTTTTAGCTTGCGAGAACTCAAATTCCTCCGCTATTGCAGGATTTTATTGTGAATATTTTTACAATGACAAAATCTTGAAGATCTTACTACCACTAGTAAGAAGTTATTCAACGTAGGAATAGGGTATGTAATAGTAGATGAATGAGTATTATTCCTCAAGAGAATGCAGCCGCTTCATAGTGAACTTGATCATATATTTCATGTTCCCATACACAAATATTTACGAGAAAGTCAATGTAGTTAAACTTTTAATCACTATGAAATTATCCTAACAGTAAGTTTAAAATATTTTCAATGAATTTTCCCCTTAAATCAATATTTATTGGGCTCCATTAGGTCAAATTAGAAATCAGTTCAGTAAAAATTCGCGAATAATTTCCACTCGTGACTACATGATTGTAAAATTACGAAGTTTAATAGAATTTCATGCTTCGTCATATAAACTTGAATTTCCTAGTTTATATGTTTTTATGTACCTTGTAATTGTTTAGTTTCTATATTCTTACTGTCGAAGAATTATCGTGTTCCTATAAGGATTTTGACAAAATTTTAAAAAGTATTATAAATTACTCTGAAATACTAACCATTATTATAATTACCTGTTAAACCTTTTTCACCAGGTGGCCCTCTAGGACCTTGTGGACCAGGATCTCCAATAGGACTTTCTTCAGCTGGTAAACACTGGCCAGGAGCACCGGGGAAACCCTTAGGTCCGGGTTGTCCTCTTGGTCCAGGATCACCTATAGGTCCGATATCACCGGATTCACCTTTATCTCCCTTTCTACCTGGGTATCCATCGTTTCCAGTGATACCTGGTTCACCCTTATCCCCAGATACTCCAGTTTGACCTTTGTCACCCACCCGACCTGGTAAACCGCGTAAGCCTTTTGGTCCAGCATCACCTAAATTGTGATGAGAAGGATGAATAGAATAATGGTAATCATAAAATTATATTGTGGCAAGAATTTTAAGTAGAGATGGATGCACATACGCCAAAACAGGCTGATCATTTTCAGTCCTAAACATCAATGGAAAGATCCAAATAGCCAACATATATGAATTAAAATTGTGTTGAGAAAAAAATTATAAGTACATGGTACATGGTCTTAAGTTTTATCTGACCTGGAAATCCTCTGTCTCCTTTGGGTCCCGGAAGTCCAGGAATGCCTCGTTCTCCCATATCTCCAGGTTCCCCGTCACGGCCAACTATTGTTTCTCCTGGTTCACCACGTTCCCCTTTGATACCCTTCTGACCCTTCCCCCCTGGAAAACCTTTAGGACCTAACAAGCCAGGTGGGCCTTCCTGACCTGGTTTTCCCGGACGGCCTTGCAAACCTGGCACTCCTGGATCGCCCATTATGCCCTGAAAGCAGAAGTTACAGAAGCGATTAAGAAAGAGAAAAGTAACTAAAATCTTGACAAAATAGCTCTTACATTGTTAGAGTGAACGACTGAAGAAATAAGAGTTATATCTACGTACCTTCGGCCCAATCAAACCTGTTACTCCAGGGGAACCTTTAGGTCCAGGTAGTCCAGGGTCTCCAGGCATCCCTGGAAGACCTTTCTCACCGACATCTCCGGTATCACCAACATCTCCAACTACTGCTTGACCATTGGTTCCTGCATCACCTGGAGGTCCACGCAAACCAGGTTTTCCAGTGGAACCTTTTTCTCCAACATCACCCGGAGGACCACGTTCTCCCGTATCACCTTTTTCACCAAATGAGTCTGCACCAGGAATACCAGGTTCACCCTTTGGACCCGGTTGACCTTCATCACCAGGACCACCTACATTCATAAAATGATGGAATATAATTTATTAGATTGTTTGCTAAATAGGCTTTGCTTTGTATGTGAACAAAAATCTGTAACATTAATCCAATTTTTGTAGGCATGATCATGATCACCAACCTCCTAAAGAATAGGCGGAGATATCGTATTTGAAGTGAAAAAAATGTGCAGGAAACGAGTTTAACACAGATGATATTTCTGAAATAATACATAAAGTTACGTATAAGATTTTTACACTCAACTAACAGACTCTGTACAAATCAGACATTGAGGTGTATCAATACCTGTAATGTTTTTTTCACTCATAAATATAGATGATACAAATGAACTATTATGGTTACTTTAAATAGTTATAACCAAGTGGTTAATAATGAAAAGTGTTCTGTCTAATGCGACTATCTTGGTCTAAATCTAAGGCGAACTGATAAGTCTGTCTGTTGTTTCACAGGAATCTGTATTTAGGTATAAGTGCCAGACGAATATTGAATGAGGATATTTACGATGTGCGTCTTTAAGGAAAGTAACAAGTTACTATAAAAGGTGGTATCTGTCTTGTCGTGTTAACAAGATATATTTAAATAACTCTTAACACCACACTGTTAGTAAATAAGATAAAAGTTTCTAAACTTAGGCTTTTAGTTTATTCTGTTACTTAATCTGAATATTTCCATTAAATAACTTATCCTGTTTTTAGATCACCAAGCTCAAAATCTCAATCACTTTTTCCAAGTAATGTTAAGTCGGTTAAAGTGCGTATGAAGTGTTGTGTTTTTGCGAAGCAGTTAATCTTTATCCTCTCTTGTTAGACGTTGCTGTCTGACACTCTTGCTGTTCAGCGTCCTGAGAAAGCCAGTCGTACTCATTGATTTGCGTTATTCAATGATATTCGTTTTACCATATCAATCCATTTCGTTGCATCATGTTTGTAAAGTTTAAAAATTATAAGATAATCATAAAAATATCAGTCTGTTTATCAAATACAAATATAGCGCCTCAGTGTACTACCTGGTGGTCCTTCAAATCCTTTTGGCCCAGTCGTTCCTTCAAAGCCTTTAGGACCAGTAGTTCCGGGACGGCCAGGAGGACCTGTATCTCCTGAAGGACCATCTGGTCCAGGTAAGCCTGGTTCACCCCTTAAACCTTTTTCACCTGCAAAGAAGGAAATGTAAAAGTAAGGTTCAATAATTTTGAACGATTTGAAGAGGAATGATTATTAACTGTGTTGAAGCTCAAATCTAAACTGTGGATTAACATATTTTTTAAAATTTCAATAAATTATATTTGAAGGAAAATATGATATAATACGTACATCCAACTACCTACTGTTTTATAATGATATGCAATAAACTGAGTATAGTATAAAAATGAATGCACTAGTTCATAAGTAATGACGGTTAACCTACCTGGTCGTCCAATTGGACCTGATGGTCCTCGCTCTCCTTTCGCACCTCTTAATCCAGGTTCGCCTTTTTGTCCTTCTGGACCTTCTGGACCAGGAGGTCCAGGTTCTCCTTTGTCTGCTGCTCCCAGACATCTGCCTTTATCTCCAGGTATACCAGGACGTCCAGGCAAACCTAAAATATAACATAGAAGGAGGTATAATTAACTCTGTCGTAAGATAATACTACTAACAAGTTACGTTTTACTAGAAATTCCCTTGATATGCTGCTGTACTGGAACTTAAATTACATTTTGCTGGTAGCAAAATTTTTAAAAGTAGTAATTTACTCAAAGTAAAATATGTGTCAGCTCATGTATTGTTATGTCCCGATAACAATAGTGAGTGGTAACTTTGGGACCCGTTTATGGACCAATACTATGTGTATATTTTTATTGTATAGTTGTTAACTAACTAAACTATTCATAATCATGTTCCTTTTGTCATAAGATTCATTTTGACCCATAGACTATCATTATACGATTTACACAGTCTATTAATTACTGTTCACCCTATTCACAGTTACATTCAACTGAATCTTTTACAAATCTTATTTTCCATTTTATGGTACGATGTGGTCTGTTTGATCGGTATATAAACCTAGTATACTTGAAATATATTATTCATACTGCAGAGGCTGAGATTGGTGTTTTGGACTTAACTGGTTGGGCTAAGCAGAAAGCAGGACCGACAAGTACTCTAAACTGCTCGTACGGGTTTCCGTGTGTCACTGGTCCGATCGATAATTCGCTGATCTCTGATTGGCGGTCTTATCATGTTACACATTAACAGGGCATCCACTCGGCCACAAGTTATAACACGTACTGCCTCAAAATTGTTTAATTTTCACTTTCGAAAGTAACAATCAAAAAACAGAGGACACTAGATTGCAATGAACCATACTTAATAATTTAGGTCCAAATTAATTCCGGTAGCTAAACCATTGTCAACAGACAGATCCATTAATTATAAACTCAATGTTTCTTAAACATAACTTACATATTTCGTATTCATTCATTAAATATCAGTATTTGAGGTTTCTTGATTCAACTTTCAAGAACGTCACATTTGACCTCACAAACAGGCGTAATATTTATTAAGGTGGATACCGTTTAAATAATAAACGGTACACATAACTATTAAATCAAGTTTACCAATTGGTGAAACACACCTGGTTCTCCACTATCTCCTGGATCACCGATGATTCCCTTGATACCAGCACCACCACTTGGACCAGGATCACCTTGAAGTCCCGGTGGACCAATATCTCCACGTTCTCCTGCTAATCCAGGTCTTCCATTTAATCCTGTTGATCGTAATATTAATATTAACAGTAATAAATAAATTAATTTATTTTGTTATCTCAATAAAAACAACTTAAAATTAATAACTTATTCTAAAAGTGTACGCAATTACTATAATAAAGGCATTAAAACATAATATTTCTCTTAGGACATGGGCTGTTTCACAAAAAGTTTAGTAAAATGATTGAATAATAATACCTGGATCTCCTGAATCACCAATTATACCAGGGTCTCCTTGCGAACCTTTTGGACCTGGTATACCTGGCCGCCCAGGTTCACCACGTTCTCCGGGGATTCCAGTTCCAGGTTGACCAGGCAATCCTTTTTCTCCTTTTGGACCTGTGGAAGTTATCAAAGGCATTGTTTGTATAAAAAATTTCCTTGTAACATACAAAAATAGATCAATTATCCAAAATATTAGCAAGGTATAGAACAAATTGTTCACCTTTCACTGATGAACTGATATATAGAAGTTTTGGTATTGGTATTCAAAACATTATTCATGCTTTTCTTAACATTTAATCACACAGAGAATTTAAGCTGAATATCTTCGGTTAAGGGCTCTGGCTCGAGACTGGTGGGTCCTGGGTTCGAATCTCGCGAGAGCGGGTTTGTGGATGCGCACTGTTGAGGAGTCCCATAATAGGACGAAACGGCCGTCCAGTGCTTCCAGGTTTTCCACGGTGGTCTAGCTTCAATTGGCTCATGATCTTAACTATAAAATTACTAAATCTCCACAAAAAAACCCCTTTTGAATAAAACAGTCAGACCCAATCACTCTTGAAAATGTCCAGAATTCGTATGAATAAAAAGATATATCTTTCAAAATCAATTATTTTACAACTCCTTAAGTCTTACCTGGGTAACCACGATCTCCTACCGGACCAATATCACCTACATCTCCTTTCACTCCGGTAACTCCAGCGGCCCCTGGTACTCCTGGACTACCCTGTTCACCAGGATCACCTAAAAGATGAAACTAGAGTCGTGAGTTCAAATTAAATTATTTAAAAATTTCACATTTCATAAAGAAATAGCAGCTTGGTTACCATTTAGGAGGTTCCGAGAATGCAAACTAATAAGTATGGTGAAATAATACTGTCAGATTAATACAAATATAGTAATTTCAGTAGTTAGTATATAGAAAATGGATCAATAATATTTCGCTTTGATTACGTATCGCAAAATAAAGCCACTATAATAACCAGTTAATATTGACTTTTTTAAAAGTAGAATTCATAATACTGATTATCACATACAGCTTTGGTTTTTATCATCTTCTGCATGAGAAGCTGCAGATCATTAATTTAGACACTAAATGTATCTTCAGTAATGTTTAGGAAGTCGGACAGATTTATTGCTCACTACACAGTAGTTTTGGTTGGGATAATAGTACAGAAGGATGTACGCGGCTATTTGATAAGATTTATTTTTGTTTATTAAAATATATCTTCTTCTAAATGGGATAACACATTATTGATATGGCTGTCGGAGATGAAAGTTATCTTACCTGATTCACCTACAATTCCTTTTATTCCGGCAGGTCCAGGTATTCCTGGAAGTCCTTTTTCACCTCTAATCCCACTATCTCCAGGTTGACCAGGTGGACCCTCATCACCTGGTTTTCCTTTATCTCCTCTTGGTCCAGGTTCACCTTTAGGTCCGCGATCACCTTTTTCAACTAAACAAGAAAAAAAGTAGATGATAAATAACAAATGAATGGGTTTTGTGGATTTCTAAAAGTAAGCAATACATAAAAAATTAAATAAGTATCGTTTAAAAAGTAAATTATTCTGTCGTTTAGGCTGATAGCTTGATCAACTGGAATAAAAATGATATATGAAATTGATTTTTTTCTCGAACCGTGTATAAAATGTATTGACACCTTAAGAGAGATTATAGATGCTTAACTGTATAATATTGAAAATATGTGCTCATACAGTAAATTACGGCTCATTTTGTAGTGAATGAAGACACAGGTGAGAACAACCAGTCATACAGGCACGAATTACAACGTTGGTTGATAAAATACAAAAACCATACTCTGATACTGTATTTGCAAAATGTTCATTAATTGTCTCAGGCTTCATTGTTCCTGGATTTCCACACCAATTGCTTTCTATTTCTGTTCTTCTCTTTTTAATCTTTTTAATCTTCTGCTATCAGATATTCTATTCCGTACGATATATACTACTTATGTCGATATAAGTAGCCCACACCACAATTTCAGTTTATTCAGTTATGATTTCTAACTTAACTGTGAATAAATCATGTAAAAAATTGTGTGTTTTTAAATCATTTTGATTTATTTTGAGAGCCAAATAAATCTTTATTATCAGTCTTTAGCTTGAAATTCATATTTTTTCTATTGTGTTCATGTTGCTGTAAATATTCAGCCTACGGTTGTTAAAAGCGGTTCAGAAATCGAATCGAGCGTTCATTTAGCAAGAGTCATCAGGCCATTTATTGCTCAATAGTTTATATATTCGTCAAGATCTAGTCCGAAATGAAAAGGAATGCTTTGTATGTCGGATCGTACAATCAAGGTAAGCAATTGAATACTAATTCTCTCAAAGAATACTACATATCCTACATTGTATTGTGTTCAAATTTGTAAACAAGGGGGCAGTTGTATCGTACCGGTTTATAAATTAGACTTTCATGTATTCAAGTATTAGACACGAAACTAAAATAGTGTTGTTAACTTCACTAAACTTCAGGTTATCAGTAAGAGTATTTCATACCTTAGTCAAAAGAATTTGTAATCAGTTAAGTATATTTGTTACTTAAAATTTTCCATCAATATTGATCAAATGACTAACTCGTATAATTTAGGAATTTTCAGATAAAATTCATGAATTTCTGATACTTCCCTTCTCCAACTTCTTATTGAAAAAAATTATTTAATTTTTATTCTGTTGTTAAAAAATAGATTTTATGTTTCATATGGTCTTTAGAATCTTTATTCACCAAAAGAACCGTTAATGAACATACCAGTTAAATTACGACTTTGAATAACATTCACAGTACAATTTCCAGGTTCTCCAGAATCGCCTAGTTCACCTTTCAGTCCAGGACGTCCAGGTTGACCTTTTTCACCTTTATCACCAAATCTAACTTCAGCTGTCGCACCTTTGTAACCCTTTTCGCCTAGTATACCTTTAGGACCTTTCTGTCCAGGTAAACCTCGTAAACCAGGGTCACCCTGAAGGGGAGAAAAAGTTCACATTTAGATGATATTACCAACAATCCAACTATCACCTTTTAATATAACTGACAAAATTATAACCATAAGCATTATCTATTCTATATAAATCAGCCGACAACAGGTTTAATGAAATCTTAAGGATAATTTGCACTAAAAATCCTATAGGTAGTAAACAATGAATATAACTGAGTAATTTTTAGAAGTACTAACCTGTGGTCCTTCTAATCCTCGGTCTCCTTTTTCTCCTGGAGAGCCTATAATACCCTTGATTCCTTTGTCGCCTTTGACTCCATCCACACCCGGATAACCTTTAGGGCCTTTTAGAATTCCAGTGTATTCTGTTCTTGTTTCACCTGGTTCACCTTTGAAACCTTTTGGTCCAGGGAGACCATGTTCACCTTGATCGCCCTAGAGAAACATTAGGAAATCAAATATTACGTGATAACATTTATGTACAGCTAACGATAGAATAAAGTAATAGTAATATCAAGTAGTTGTGTAAACGATTATTAACATATTTGATACATGTAACAATTACTTATAATGATTATCTAAGGTAAATATCACACAACATTTGCTTTCGCGCATAGGGACACAAACAAAATAACTTCTAGAGTATTGGTCCTAGTTAGTTCCTTTAAACATTTCATTAGAGTACAATTTACGGTAACTATATAATCTAGAGAAATAATAAACTTTAATGAACTATTGATAAAACAACCTCCGGAAAGGCAGCTTATTGACCGAAATACTCAACTTTCAAACACTAGGTCTATGGTTTGAACTCAATCCACCTTACGCCGACTAAAACAGCCGATTTGTTATAATGTGAATATTTTGATAATAAAGTAGATCCAATTATTTATGATAAAATCGTTTGGTTATCTGTTTGTACTTCTTGCGGTTTTGAAGTATGAAGTCAATATACAATCTTGTTCTTCTGTGTTCTTTATATCAGACGAAAAGATGTCTTAACATAAAACGGTGAAATTAACATCTAAGTAAACTTACTTCATAACCCTGTGAACCCGTACGACCTTGATTTCCAGGAGCACCGCGACTCCCTCGTTCTCCTTTGGCACCATCTCGACCTCGTGGACCTGGAAGACCAGCTGAACCGATATCGCCTTTTTCACCCTTTGCTCCAGGTATACCGGGTCTACACAAACTACATCGTTCTCCAGGTTCACCTAAATATTCAGAATTAACAGTAATGTACCACGTATACAGTGACTTTTGATATCATTCAGTACTAATTAGATATATGTTCAAAAACTTGAAATCATCCTACTTCCCAGTAAAACCGCTTTTCAATAGCTACTTTTCTAAGCTAGAATACAAATAGTAGGTTAGTCTGTTGGTTCACCATTTAAATGATCATTTATTTTCTGGTAAACGCGTTACTATTTATTAAGTATAGGCAATCAGTTGCTTAAGTTTCATGAACAACTATCAACTAATAGGGAACAATGTTCATAAACCATTTGCTGTTAAAGTTTATCAATATTCAAGCAGTTTTTATATTGTTGACCAGCACATCTATAAACTTTAGTCGCTACGTAATGATATGATTTCTTCATCATTACATAATACTTAAATTATTCATGTTACCATGTTAAAGTTAAGAAACACTCCTCAGTAATTTATATAATTAACTGACCTTGAGGCCCCATTGGACCTTGTTTTCCATGTTTTCCAGCTAAACCATCCAATCCGCGTTCACCTTTTTCACCTGGTGGACCAGGACGACCAGATCCTTTAGTACCCGGCAATCCACGTTCACCTTTTAAACCCTTTGGACCTTTCGGACCTTTGAGAAAGAATCGACAATGATTTATTACATGACAAAATATATAGGTAAATTTGAGGAGCAGGCATACAAATATGTGTTGTTTGATCATATGATCATCCTAACATCAAATGGATGCCCGAATAAACTTAGCTCTGCTAAATTAAAAATATTACCATTGCTATATAGTTTCTTGTTTGTTTGAAATCGTTCATGTTTCTATAACTTTTGCCAAAGTAATAACGTCACAGCTTTAACAAAGATCAGATAAACAGTAATTCAAACTGAAGATAAAATATGAAAGAAACTAAGAATGCTAGATTAGTTTGTAGCATAATATGTATTACTGTCCATGATTTAAAAACAATATCACTTCCTAGTGAAGTTAATATTTAATTAGAATTTATCAACGCACTATAAAAATGGGTACTTACAGAAACCTATTTAATAACATTAATTGTGTATTTAAAATAATATAGGAAAATATAATAGGATTAATTTCTTATACACATATATCTATTTCACTCCACGAGTGGAATTCCAGAGACATCAAACATATATTCACTGTTATTATCAGGTACCCTCATTATGTACCCACTCTTACTGATATTTTACCCGTACACTATCCATAGTTAATTTAATTAATTTCAATAAAATATATTCAAATCAATAGGCTACAAAACAATCAAAGAAATAGGTAAAGACAGACATATCATAGTAATTTAGCTATTGTTCATTGCTCTGTGCTTTTGTATTCTATCTGGTTGTAGATGTACCGCCTTCATTATACTATTCTTTCTTAGACATAACGTCACAGTCCTCCTGGTAAGTAAATACTGGGTCTTAAATGTTGTTTCATATCACTATAATCTCTCTAACAAATATCTTTTTGTGAACTTCTTTTCCGATAAATTACCCTAATATCTCTGCCCTTCACCTGTTAAATTCCCTTATGTATCAGCCTGATCATGCTTTTAAATCTGCGCGCCTTTTGTATTTATTTCAGAATATAATTTATTTGATTTAATATTCATGAGAATGGTAAGTTTAAAACTGTTTCGTTCGAAACATTTATTATAAAAATATTATTCGTGTTTATAATGTCGAATATTTTGAGTAAAATCTGCAACCGCACGTTAGAATAACTATCGTTTGTTGACATCAGTTGAATGATTTAATTCTGATAAATCGTTAAATCCTAACGAAACATTTCAATGTAGTAAGTAGATGTGTCAAAAAGTTAATGTTGTAATCGGTATAGGACGTGCTGACAAGTCCAAAGTAAAATTTTTTATAAATATCTCAAACCTACATGGTCTAAAAAATAGGTTAGCAAGTTCACTACTTATCACTTAAGCTTCTTAGTTAAAACTTCAATTACTATGCAAATGCAACTCACCTTGAGGCCCATCATAACCTCTATCTCCAGGATCACCCGGCGCACCTCTATGGCCAATACCCGGTTCTCCTTTATCACCCGGTAGTCCATCATCACCTGGACTTCCAGGTAGTCCAGGTAAACCACTTCGTCCGTCATCACCTGAAAGAAATCATCATGTGGTGAACGATACATTTATTTTCATTTATAAATATGTAGAAATAAATTAAAATATAGTATGAGTTGGATAGTTAGTATCTTGTGAAACTTGTAAAAGATTGTTAGTTATTATAATTATTCCTATTATTCGGATTTCAGGTATATTTATAACCATCCGTCTGATTGAGATTTAAGGTCAGTACTAGGCATATGAAGGTAATTTCAAACAAAATGCTTTATTTACCAGGTGATCCTTTTGGACCCGGTGGACCAGGTGGTCCAATGGGACAGTCAAATCCAGGATCACCAACAGGTCCTTGTGGACCAACCAAGCCTTTCAATCCCCTGTCTCCTATGGATCCAGGAATCCCAGGAAATCCTTTCTCTCCAGGTTCTCCAGGTATACCACGTTGTCCAGGTCTCCCAGGTAAAATACCTGTGCATTCTGTAGTACCCTATAAAGCATTAAGATGAATTAAAAAGTGTTTTTTGTTAAACAGAATAGTATTCATAACTGTAGAAACATGTTCATAGTTTATAATTGTTTGTTATAAGGAAAGTATAATTAATCCTAAACAAGTCTGAAGTGTTATAAAGGCACATTCATAGAGTTATCACAGAAGCTATTGATGCCTTCGCATCATATGGATGTGATCATACTTATTAACACGGCTATTTCATAAATGGATAGTCTTGTAACTGAAGCGTTTTCGTTTCAAATTTTCATCTAGTGCCATATCTAAAATACTCCCTAGGGAAATAACTGTAGTCACCAAATGACATCAGCAGAAGGGATTTGGGAAACTAGGTGACAGTGAACAGAAATTAAATACTAGTTTGAGGCTTTTTAACAATATACATCGGTCATCCGATATGAGATCAAACTGAGAAGCATGCTGTAGCCATGATACAATTAGAAAGCTGCTGTAGAACTTCTTGGTTTGCATTTTTACCTACAGCTAATCCACGATCTAGTATGGCTGTAATCCAGTACTGTCAGCGACAACTGTCCGTCACAACATAGTCGAACTCCATTACTCATATATTCAATGGTCCCTGGTTTACAGTGGTTCTTCAGTTAACGACAATCCGTGATCTGAACTATTTCCAGATCTAACTTATTCCCACAAGACTCAACATATGACTGGGTTAAATTTTCCAATAACATGATAAACATTTTGTAAATTAGTTGTGTTAGTCCGCCATTCAATTTTCTATAACAAAGCCCTTCAATAATGATTACGCGTTCTCTGAACACAGTACGTTTTGTGATGAATGCTTTTATCAATAAAACTTTCCACATTTAATGAATGCACGAATCTCATGACTTCAATCCAAATGATAACAAACTAATGCAATTACAGAGATCAAGGTTTCTTCCCCCAAATGTTTTACTTACCCCAGGTTCACCAGGATCTCCAACAAATCCGCGTAGTCCATCTGCCCCTGGATCTCCAGGTACACCTTTAGGACCTGGTGGACCACGATCACCAATTAAACCATCACGTCCTTGACCACCCTAAATCAAATTATTCGAAGGATTTGTTAGTTGAAGATACAGTTCAAATAACCAGATCATGCATAACAGGTTTTACACTTGTCTTCAAAAGTGTGGCAGTCATAGTTTTCTCTTTTATTCAGAACAATGAAAAATGTTAATCCTAATGTTAGCTTAGACTACATTCACTTCCAATTATATTTCCACTTTCCAATTTCTTTATTTTGATGCAGTAATAGACAAATATTTCCAATACTTTCGTACCTGGTGTCGATAAATCATATTCATAATCACCTGACCCTAACGATAAATATATTATTGACAGGGGTAGCATTAACCTATCCAACAAAATCTGTGATAACAAGAAATCATTTTACACTTTTGATTGTGAACAAAATTTTACTAAAACTTGTGGACTATGGTAATAAAATAATGACGTCTTTTGTTATGATATTTTTCAAGTAAAACAATTTACTTTTATGTTGTGCAAAGTTTCTTACTACATTTATGATTTGATAGATTAACTTACTTTAACACCTGGTTGTCCAGCACTTCCTTTAATGCCTTTAGGACCCTGGAAAAGAAAGAATAGCAAAAGCATTAGCCATGCAAATCATACTACTTAATAAAAGTAAGTAGTGTGAAATGTACCAAACCTTTTTCAGATATTAATTTATCACCAGTGCTTTAACTGAAATACCTTTTTCAGAAATTTTCTTATTGAGTAATTCACCCTTTGGTATCGTCCTATTTGTCGTCACTTATATCATGAAACAGTATATATATATATATATATATATATATATATATATATATATATATTTCTATTTTCAATGCAAAAGTTTACTACCCTAGAAAATGCCTATAGTAAATCTGATATATGTATCACTGTCAATGACTAAGTCTTGAAATAAACGTTTCATTTAAATATAAAATTTCGCATTTATTTTATCAATCCTCTAACTTACCAGTGGCCCATCGGGACCTGGAAGTCCTTTCACTCCCGGCAAACCAATAGTTCCATCTATGCCCTATTTAAAAATTAATAAAATATTCAATAAGCAGTTTTAGACAACCAAGTTAAATATTATCATTTCAATGAGATTATCGCATAATATGTTGGAACAGTGATGATATTTTATGGTTTTACGAATTCTCTTGGAAAAGTATACTTCTTATTCTACCGTATTCAGACCGGCAATTAGTATGTCCACAACTGCTTATGTCTAATACCAGGATAATAAATGCACTATTAGCTTTCCAAGTACATAATTGAAAAGAATCTCAAAAGATTTGTGAAATGAAGTTACAACGTATTTACTCACGAAAAAATAACTTTATTCTTGTTAAGACAACCTGGATTATCAGTTACTTTATGTCATAAATTTTATTTTTGATTAATAAATTGGTTTCCGACAGATAACTAACTCAGTCACTCCACTCCCGTTTGTCTATGAGTTAAACAAACTTCAATTCAGAAATTCACGTACCAAAATAGTTGACCAGTGGTTTTGTATTTAAAATTTTACTTTGTTAGAATGAGGGGAAGTATTTCGTGAGTAAACAATCAATTTGAATAACTCAGTCATCTCAGTATTTCATCAAATCAACTAAGTTTTAACGATTCAATTTCAAAATAAAACACAATTCAAGTTGATTAACACTAAAAGGCATATGTTAGGTGGTTGAAGATATATTTGACACTGATTTACTGTAAAACGGAACGTAAGTCATATCTAGAACTTCCCAGTGGTAATGTCTCGGACTGTGAAGCTAGGTGACAGGTTCGAACCTGACAGGAAGCACCAGTTCACTTAAGACAACATATATACCCTGATGATTGGTGTCAAACAACATGAAAACTAGGTCTAGAGTTTCCTGTCAATTACTTTCGACCATCTGTAATTCCAACCCAGAGCACGTGATATTAAACCAGTTAGACTAGTAACCTCAATGCTACTTGATCTATAGAATTCAATCAGTAATAAAAGGGCTAAACAAACATGTCAATGACCCCTACTTAATGATCAAACAGTTATAACTAAAGGATAAGTCTGGTTCATCACTACATGAAATAGGCTTCTCCTAGCTACATAAGTTAAGTACAAACAATAAAGTTGTAAATGACTCTATACACTCACTCTTATTCCTTTCGCTCCTTTAGAACCTGGATAGCCTTTAGGACCTGTATCACCCTATTAAAAACAAAAGTAAAAATAGAAAAAAAAGGTTGGTAAATTATCCATTTATAATGATTTTAAACATTTCATTATATTTTTCAGTATAGAGGGGTTGTGGAGATTGTTGAATTTCATTGAAACCATAAACATTAACATTAGCACAGCTCGATGCCGGCTCAGTGGTCCAGAGATCAAGTGTTCGAGCGAGACAAGATGTCGTGCGTTCGAGTACCGCGTGTGGGGTCGTGGATGCTCACTGCTGAGGAGTCCCATAGTAGGACGAAATGGACGTCCAATGCTTCCATGTTTCCAACGAAAACTTACCAGTTCGTGATTTCAATCAGGTTACATAATATGTGGAATATAAATAAATACAGTGAAACAACAGTGGATTTCTAGGAATTAGAAAAGATTAATGTTTTTATAATCAATTAATGGTTGAGAATAGGATAATAATCTGTTGGGACAAGTCGATAACGGTCAGGACTGACCTAATTATTTCAATTCCGAATGGCTTACTGTATACATTATCCTAATCCAACAGATAGGTTGAGATTGGTGGTAGGTATTTCTTAGTGCAAATCTGTGACAAACTACCTACATTCTTTAAAATAAATAAATACTTATAAAAAATAACACGTACTCGATCGCCAGGAGGTCCAATTAGAGCTTTTCGGCCTTGTTCCAATGTGGTAACTGAACAATTTCTGCCTGGATCTCCAGGATCTCCAGGTGAGCCTGGAGCACCTTTGACTGGCGTATAAGTGTCAATGATACTTTCTCCTGGCTCACCAGCTTCACCAGGTACACCGAAGTCACCATCTTCACCCTTTTATCGAAAATAAAGATTTTCAAAAATATACTTTGTTGATGAGGATTTCGAGAATATGAATCATAAAAGTCGAAAGATAATACATTCTGAAAATGTTCATCCAAAAAGTTAAACTATTCTACAAATGCTAAAATGTCTTTCAAATCAGTCCAGTTAAATCAAAAATAAAATATGAATAAAAACTTATTTATTAGTTAAGCAGAACGGTAAAAATATGATTTTAGTCGCTCCTGCCATCTTTTAGCAATGTTGATATGGTGAACACAAAAATTGACAGTTTAGAATTACTTAATTCATTTTGATTTAGTTAGGTGGACGGGACTAACAGTTATGTAACACATATATTTAATTCAATGGATTATATGACCTTTTCTTTACATTTCATTACAGATACATAGCTATTATTGCTGTCTATCTAGTTAATTTAAATTCATAGTTCAAGTATTTAATGGCATTTTTTTAAGATTCCACGACAAACCAATATTTCTACTGTATGTCTGTTACTTATGCAGACGTAAAGGAGAGGATTGGCAAAGCAAGGTCAGAATTCTTACAGTTGAAGAACATATGGAACTCCAAACAACTGTCAACTAGTTTCAAGGTGATAATCTTCAATATGAACGTCAAGACAGTCCTACTGTACGGAGCTGAAACGTGGAGAACTACTACAACTATTATCAGAAAGGTACAAGTATTTATAAACAGTTGTTTACGCAAAATACTCAACATTCACTGGCCGGATACTGTCAGCAACGGCCTACTATGGGAGAGGAGAAACCAGCTTCCAGCTGAAGAGGAAATTAGGAAAAGACGTTGGAAGTAGATAGGAAATACATTAAGAAAATCACCAAGCTGCATTACAAGGCTAGCCTTAACTTGGAATCCGGAAGAGAAGTGGAAAAGAGGAAGACCAAAGAACACACTACGCCGGGAAATAGAAGTAGATATGAAAAGTATGAATAACGACTGAAAGGAACTGGAAAAGATTTCCCACGACACAGTTAAATGGAGAATACTGGTGGGTGGCCTATGCTCCTCAAAGAGGGGTAACAGGCATAAATAAGTAGGTATGTCTGTTACTTGAATAAAAGAACAGAAAAAGTTTCTTGAAAGAATGCTTAAGTTTAGGTAAACATGAAATGTTTCTAATCAACTCATTTAAAGTTATGTTAGGTAGAACGAAGTTTAATTCATCGAAATTCAATGTATATACAAGAACAAACTTTATGAAAATTAGCTTATTTGAAAGAAAATAATTGTAAATTGAATAGTCTTATAGTGAGTTAACTAAAAGGAAAATGGAACAGCATTTACCTATTCAAGTAACCATTCTTGGCAAATCAACAAATATAGCTTTGTATTTAAAGTAAATCTTGATTTATTAGCTATTTACGGAAAAAGTAAAATATTACAATTGATTGGGAAAAATAATCCTTTTAAATATCGAAGCTCAGCCAATCAAAAGATTATTGTTCAAAAGTTAAATTATATAAAATACACGTTTAGCCAATTAATCAAGATCAGACATAATTGTGAAACGATATTAGGATCCAATAGTAAACTATGAAAATCGTTTCTAACTCTACAAATTCTGTTATCATGTTTTACATTATCAGATAAACTAATAACATAATATAGTTATCATTTCTGACACAAAAAGTATCTGCTGGTGAATATGTACTGCTGAAACGTCTTAAAAACAGGATGAAACAGTTACTCAGGACTTTCAACTATGACCAAATCATTTATAAATAAAGGATAACGCAGAACATTAATGAGAGATAAACTGTAGAATATTCTTACTCTGTCTCCTTCTAATCCAGGCAATCCAGGGTCACCACGTTCACCTTGAATTCCATCATCACCCTAAAAGAAGAGTAAAAATAACTACTTAAAAACGAATGATTGTATCTAACATTCGACCAGTAATGTAATATTTACATCATTAATTTAATCAGATATTTAGTCTTTTTTTCAACGTTAGGTAAAACTCCAAAAATAAACAGTTGGATGTGTTTGATAAAGAATCTTCCCAAAATTCACTTATTTATTTAGATTCGATTTTATAACTTCAGAATTTATTGCTCCTCGAGAAAAAAGGATATGTCTGCCTAGTTATGAGAAATGTAATTAATAATGTAGCAAACTCCGAAAACTTAATCGTCGTGTTTATGTAGGAAACATTAATGGTAGAGTCAAACAATTTGTACTAACTTCAACTAGCTAACTAATACTCCGCTTTCACGTCTTCTTTATATCTGCTTACTTTCGGAATCACAGCAGTCTCCTGTCGAAATCATATTTATTGTATGGGTGAAACAAACTGTTTTCCATGTTTTATTTCCTCACTAGTATTGATATATCACAATATTTCATTCAAAACAATTCCTTCAAACATCTGGAAGTTTCCGATTTCTTAAAGGATGATAGATAAGTTACACCCTAATCAGTGTGATTTATAAAATGGTTAGCGTTTTTCTAAACACTTAACTCACTTTTGGACCAATATTACCAGGTTCTCCTTTCGGACCCTAAGTAATAGATAAAAAACAAATGGAAGCAAGACTCAACCAGATGATGTATATGAAGATAAACACGATCATATTTAAAAGCGAAATATAAAATTATTATAGCACAGTTCACATATATATACAAATGTTCTATTACTATATATATATATATTGAAAACAATTTAACGGATAAAATGTTATGCATCGTTTGTGAAATTTTCGGTTACATATGCGAATAAAAACAGAACTAACTGGTAGTCCTCGTCTCCCAAATCCAGATTCACCAGGATCACCACGTTCGCCATCTATACCAGGCAGTCCTCGGTCACCATCCATACCCTGTCTTCCAGGTTCACCTTTTTCACCTGGATCACCCTAAGCAAAAAAGGATCAATAAAAATAAATTGGAATGGAGCAGCCATTTGACTAGCGATTAAGTGAAGGTACTCTCACATAATAACGGATTTTGAATTGATATTTAGGTTATCGTGATGCAAAATAAACATAATAAATAGATGTATAAAAATTGGTAAAATTTACAATTAAGAAAAAAGTGAATAACTTTATGTACTACTAGTTCACCGTATGAGGGTACCACGTGTAGGGGAGTAGACAACACTTACTTTCCCTCCAGGGCAACCAGCAATACCTTTGGCACCTTTTTCACCCGTTTCTCCACTCTCACCCTGTAAGTAAACAACAGAAATCATTTGAATTTTGTAAATAGTAAAATAAATATTTTTGAATAACTAAAACAACTTTTTAAGTGTTAGTCAAAAAAGATATATTTTTGACAGGCATATTTCACTTACATGTTCACCGTGCATTCCTGGTGGGCCGAAATCCCCTGACGGACCCTGAGAACAAAGAATGAGAAAATAATGGTTCCTATAATATATATATATATATATATATATATATATATATATATATCAATATAAGGTTGATACAAAGAGATACTGGAATTTCACTTCAGAAATTTATTAATAAATTAGTTTCACGAAGTTTTGAGTGGTTAGTTGAAGTACACACCAAGTACCATGAGAAACTACCGTAAATTTAAAACGAAATCATTTGTGCAGGTTATTTTATAACATTACTAAAGCATTATATTTAATGTTTTATTTTAAATATCTTTTTCGTTATAATAATTTCTGACTCACTCAACCAAATAAATAAGAGAGGTGACTTCAAATTATCACAGTTTATAGACCTCAACACGTATAAAACCGGGAGGTTCTGTAAAAAAGAAGCCTTACAATCAGGATCATATACAAACAGCATAAACCAACTAGTTAATAAATACTTCTTCAAAATACTTAAACTAATTTAGGGAAAAAAACAAGTACGCAATTTCCATAGTTTTTTCAACAAATTCAGTCAGCTACAACGTAAGACCAGGCACATATATGCATCGGTTCAAGTTGCCATAACTCGTTAGCACAACAAGATGAACAACGGATTCATAGAAGTAGTTAATTTAGTGGTGGTAATATATAAAAGAAAGATTGTATAATTCATATGCCGACCATAAAATTTGTTTAATCTCATCATTATTTTATATTGTGAATATGTGAATTTGTTAATTATCAGTCAAATGGATACAAAATTTTTCAATGGTCAGCATGACATAATTACATTATTATTCATCTACTTTAAATTGTTGAATTAAACCACACAATGTATTACAGTGTTAAGGATTAATGAATTTGATGAGTCTCTTACTTTCATTAATTCACCATTCACAGTGAACATTAGTGTACAGCTTAAACGCACAAAAGAATAGTGTCAATTATATAGATATTTATACTTTATACGAATCCTTGTTCAAATCTGAATGAATATTTCCCCTTGAAGAAGTTCAGTCCAGAATCCTAAACGAAACAATGGATTATTTAAACATAATTTATACATTTCAAGATATTTATACTGTTTTGATAACACAATCGCCATCATCTCTGTGATTAGTTAATACCAAAACAAGTGCGTCACCAGTATAAATAAATGAGTTATAACTCTTCTTTATACTTACTCTTTCTCCAACAGGACCATCAGCTCCATCTCGTCCAGGATCACCTTTCATACCCCTTAGCCCCGGTGGTCCTTGTTCACCAGGATAACCTTTAGGACCGATAGATCCAGGTGGACCTCGAGGACCTGGATCACCCTAAATACAAGATTTTAAAAAATTCCAAAGAAAATAAGTTTCTCAATAACAATTAATATAAATTAAATCAAAATTCATTTGATAAATTTACTTACCTGTGGTCCTTGTGGTCCAAAACATCTGCAAAAATTGTAATCACATCTTATGGAACAATCAATATCTCGACGAAATTGCTGAAAATACATATATGATAATAAAAATATATCCATCTAATAAACAACATACCGATTGTGCAAAAGGAATTCCATTAAAAGTAATAAACGTAACCAGAAATATAAATGTCCTATAGTGAAAGAAACGGAAACAATTAGAATGAATGAAAATTAAATTAAGCGGTGAATTTTGATGTTGATTTTGTTTTTTTTTTTACATTTAAACTTACAAAAGTTTTGCACTGATATACTGAAGATCAATATTGTTTGCCTGTTTCTGTCCTGACAGCAACAGGATATGCATTGGTCTGGATTCGATTATTAATAGTTCTCTTCTACACCTGTATAGAAAACAGATCAATAAAAAAAAATCAATTATAACCATAGACAGGAAATTTTGTTACTTAATTAAATCATGAAATAATGAAAACGACCTTATAGTTCAGAAGATCTTTTTGATGTTGGATTTTTTCAGATGTCGACATAGATTTAACCTATCAACCTATACAAACAAGGTTACCTAGTCACATAACCACAAGTTAACCTAATAAAACCATCCACATATATGTAGATCCACATGAAGAAAATAAGCCCTGAGAAGTCAGTTACGTGGTAAGAATGCATTTATCTGGCACTTGTAGAGTAGTTTTAAAAAAGCTCACTTATATTTTAATCAGATTCTGACGCTGTATCCCATAATGACATTGGAAGCTCAACAATAAAGTCAACTAACTCAGAGAACATGAAAGGATCAAAAACGGGGATACTTTCATCCGATTCAGGTCTCAAAGATAACTTGAATTAAAATATGTACCAAATAAGAGACTTATGATAAAGTGTAAAGTCACGCACTAACACAAATACAAAGTAGTATCATGCTTGGTATGACTATATATAAGTAGATTCTCGTAATGAATAACGAGTGAAAAACAATGGTGAGTTCATGTAATCTCAAACGAGACATGTATATCCCACCTTTTTAGTGGATCACAGTCTATTAAGTCTGTATTCAGAACAAGCATCTATGTACGCAGGAAAACTTAAGTTCTTATTTTAACCAATATTAAGAGAGTATATTATAATAGACTTTACACCATATAGATTTAGTAATTATGTACAAACTTGGGACTATGAGCATCATAATCTTTTGAGGTTTGATTGATTTTTTATTAAATCCAATTAACAGAACTTAATATAACAGTTTAATTTGAATGTTACATCCAGTAATGTTTAAAATTAAATGATTGAGTAGCTAAATTATAAATTAAATTACAGTTGACAATATCAGCTATTAGTTTTCAGTTTAGTATCTTAGAGGCCTCCATATTGGAAGGGGATAAAAAGTTACATAGTATAGAACGTCTTGAATAATACTACTATTAAAGTTACTTTGAATCTGATTTATTTCGGTGTCCATAATCAGATTTTTCTTAAAATTTATAAATATTTACGGTACTTTAACTTTGAATATCAAGAATGAACAAAAATCGGATAGAACTAGAAAGGAAGGCCCAGGACAAAATGGGTTGGAGAATGTTGATCGGCGGCCTATGCTCCATTAGGAGTAATAGGCGTCAGTAAATAAGTAAGTAACTTTAAACATCAGCTGCTTATAAAAAGTTCACTTTCGACAAAAAACAATACCATTTAAATAAGACCATACATTCATTCGTATTACATTCACATAGATATTTTCAAAATAAAAAAATTAATAAATTTCATTAAAAACCTTTATTATTACTACTAGTATTATTGAAATATAATATCACTTTCATCAACATAATTCTCATAATATTAAAGAATCTGTATATGTGTAAATATGTATAAATATTTCAAAAGATTAAATTTTGGTTACTCTTATATTTCATATTGTATTTCACAAATCATGCTTATTATGACTAAAATTGAATATGGCGCTTTTAATTTTTAAAAAAAAAACAAATTTTAAATCAAAATCAATAAGCACATGTAAGCAAAGATCTTTTTTTTAAAAAAATGCTGGTCATTTTTAATAAAACGAATAAAAGTATAGGACAAATTCACAACAAAAAATTAAAGGGCATCAATATCAAGTAGCCTAATTAAACAAAGGAATATAAAATGGAGAAAAAATTAACTTTTAAAATAACCAGGTAACAATGAACAAAAACTGTTAGTTGAAAGAAAATTTCAGAAAGGATAAAAACAGAAAAAAAATATATTGAAAAATGAAGTATATATGGATAGAAATGTTGAAGATTAACCTGTCGACATGATGTTACTCTTTCATTTATTCTGCTTCCTATCATTCATAGTTTTAAACAACAAATGTATTTGCTCTGTATGTATACTTGTTCATCTGTGGGTATAGGCGCTATTTATTTAAGCAGGGATTTTCATGCAGACTCTACATTTACTGACATTATTTAAGACTGGCCCTTCGGCTGCTTTCATAACAAAACCTACTGGCTTCTCAAATTGTGTAATGTTTGGATTAAGAGCTCTTAAATAATAGACTTTTGCATCAGACCAATAATGGCACATCCCTACATTATTATTACATTCAATAACTGGTGAATAACGGAAGTGTTCCATACAGCTTCCAGGTGAAGACAACTGTTGACCTCCACCATGAGCACCAGAAGTATGCTAGAAATAAATGTAAAGAAATGAAGTAAAAGCATAGTCAAACTATTTTTAGAGTATATTTGAAAGAATTATTGCAAATATTTATTGAATAAAAAGAATATATCACTTAGAACGAGAACGCTACACCCAAAACTGAACTATGGGTACACTAGGTTATGTTGGGTGATTTTTAGAGATGACAATTCGAATTTCGATCTAATCAAGGTTTAACGAACACTGGAAAAAATCGAGAAACACTGGACAGTTGTCACATTTTATTTTTGACCTTCCACAAAGGTGAGACAATTTATTCCATATCAACGGTTGGAAAATATGATTCTCATAGTAATTTTCAAAGCTATCAAGTTAAATCTTACAGGAAGTTATGTTTACATGGCGCTGATTGAGGAAATGGGGGGGGAGAAACAGATTTATTTATTTATTAATTATTATTATTAGCTTTGTTCAATGTCATATTTTTGGTACAATATAGAATTCTCAGCACAAAGTACTTCAACAAGTTTCCGTTTCTTACTTCTTCTTTCATCCTGGCGATAAATATTGAGTGATCGCCAGTTAAAAGTTAGCAGCCCAGTCAATCGACATCTGGATAATGTACATTCTTCTCGCTGCGTATAGCCAGCAACCACGATATCTCTGATTAGGCCTTCTGTAACCTTTACAGCGAAAAGTCTTACACTTTTCAGAAACGCACCTGAATAGGTTGTGCGATTAATAGGCATAATGATGTATTGAAACAAACAAAATTAGATAACTTGTTGAAATATCTAGATGACAGGAACAGGTAGCCCAGATGTTTACACAGGCCGCTTATGCAGAATGTTCCTCGTTTTCAATGGTCCGTCACCTAATGTCACTTATCAACAACTTTGAGGGAACAGTGCACCCCGTAATATTTGAACTGACGTCTCCAATTTTCATAATCTGAGATTTTACGACTGAGTTATTCGGATCAAGCGATTTTAATTTATTCAGACTAACGACCGCCATTTGAATTGATCGGTAAAATTCGATCTGAACTAAGAACTTGATAAAATGACATTTATTATCACTCAGTGACTGAACAATTTAAAGCCTATGTTGATTAAAAGGAACGGTTGAAGAGACAGTATGATCTAATCAACAAACATTGGACATCACTGTTACCTGTTTATGTCAAATACATATTGATTACGGTATCTAGTATATGAATAAAAGATCATTGACTTAAAACTTAAACAGCTGATGGGATGAAAGTGCATTACATACGGGAAGGAATAAATATAAAACCTTTTCATTCTCAATGCATCCTAAATATACTTAATCAAACTTTACTAATTTCTCAACCTTTTATTGGTAATCTGAAAACAACTAGATTTCGAAGGTAATCCTTGTCACCAAATGATATACCTTTTTTCAAAAGAAAATTTACTTTTCTCCCTAGGCAAATAATGGAGCTGTATTAAATACAAAAAAGTAAATTTTTATGGTATGTTTTGTGTCTAAATGAGCTATAAACAGCAGAAAACCTTTCATTCTAGAGATAGAGGAAACTTTCTGACTATATTAATTCAGATCATTATTTCATGATCAAATCAAGAAATTATGTCGATTTTTACGAGTGATCATTGATTTCGATTGATTTCCTTTACCGTTTTGGGAATTCCGAAAATATCAAATAACTTACAAGTATTAAACTAACACCTGTCCACAATTCAGTCCAAGTATTCGGACATGGTTGTAGTGTTTCACCTTGACTATGGAAAGCAAACACATGTGCAGGAGCCTCACAGACTACACATCTAGCAATTTGATCAGCCGTTTGGTCTACTGGAATCGGCTGTTCAGATCGAGGTACTAATGTGGCCAACCAGTAGGATCGTTCATGTCTCATACTTGATTGACAGGTTGTATCCCTTTCACATTGAGTCATTGGTAATGAACTGAACTTCGACAAACACGAACTTGGTGTACCTATATATAAATTCAGAGGAGTCCATATGTATAAAAAAATACTAATAACCAGTTACTTAACTGTGAATGCTGTTTTTGGTTTAAAATAGTGAAGGCCAACTATTGAAGACAGCTGAGGACTTATTTTTAAAAAAAATGGTACACAAACGACTGGACAAGGTAATTAATTTTCAACATTTAACATGTGACTTAAAGATTATTAGTCCCATGTTAAGATAGTATACGTATTGTACTACAGTTTTAAATTGAAAAAAAAACTTGAAAGGGTGTAAACTCTAAATTTCTAACTTTGACACTAATAAGAAATGTTTCACCAAATAACTATACAACGAATAGAATGATGCTATGAGACAGAGGTATGAGAAGTGTCGGTATGGAAGAAATAAATGGCCGATAGAATAAAAAAATCAGGTACACCATGAAGAAAGAAATTATTTTTGTGAAAAATCTCAGCCATACAACTTTAAACGAATCCAGTGTTTCCATCGGCAGTCTGGTTCAAGATTTTTCATGGGAAATAATCAAACATCAAAATTATCGACCATAAATACATGGTTCACAGGTTAAGTGTATACTAAACGAATTGTCTAATAATGTTAACAATGACGATAATGAGGTTTGCCACAGTGTGTGAGTCGGTTAATGTGAAGAAATTTTGTGTGGATCTGATGTGAGAAAATTCCATGAGTCTAATGCGCCTCAGTTTGATAGATATTGTAAATCAAATGTCACAGCATGCAAAGAACTAAAATAAATAAACAATAAATGTAAGTTTGTGTTGTTGTGTTAAACCGGCTAGTTGTTCATTGTATTTTCAAACAGATTAAATGATTAGAACAAATCAAAGTAATCATTGTTGTCCACATGATAAGAGACTAATTGATAAGTCTTGTCGATTGAACGCTATATTCGTTTCCTAAGCTATTCTGGTAACCCACAGGCTAGAACTACTCAGCGACTTGAACACCAGGGAGAAGACGCAAGTATGAGAAAAAAAATACTTTACTCCAAAGTTCAATCCTGTACAGAAAATCATGGGTATTTATAGATGTTAGCCTATGTTAAATCAACATCACATCTCAACCAATCCATTAACGACATATTATGCTACCGACCAATAGTAGCACGCCACATTGGAACTCTAGAATGTTCCATCGTACTCTGATTGGCTGGGGCTCTTCGGCTCCTTTTTGGGCCTCTGGAGGCTCCGTCGAAGTTCTCCGAAAGCCGACTCAACACTAATTGAAAAAATTAAAATGTAAAATGAGATCCACATTCTCTTACTAATTACTAGTTGTCATGGGATAGCTAATTATATTTTATCTTTTCTATTTTTATCACTTGAGTTTGACCATGTATATGAAACTTTAGCTGTCAATCTCTTTTTATACGATATAAAACCTTATATAAAACTCTTATGCCATTGAAATCAATTGCGTATTCAAAATCTATTGAATACATTGCTATCGCTGACTTGTTTTCTGATGACAATATGCCTAGTTAACTAAAAAAATAAGTGATTTTTAAAAAGAAGATAACTATTAACATCGATTTCAGTCACTTGTAACAAGGAAAGGAGCCAATTTAATTTTAATTCTTATATAAATAATTTATATGGCTTTATTCTGAGTGAGTATGAGAAACATAAGCATATATGGCTTAAGAGTCTGACAAAGAAACAATTTTATCAAAATATCACAGGATACACTTTATCTGTGTGATTTGAATTACTTTACCTAAATCCATGCTGACTAAATCATCCACACCTCCTCCCATAACGTAGCTGTAACCAGTAAACAGTTTATTTGTTCCAGTTGGACATGTAAGGTCATCAACAAACGGTGTCTGATAATGACGAGCAAATAGTATAGAAGAATAATTCGTTTGACCTGGCTGTCCTTTCTCACCATCTTTACCTTTGAGGCCAACACCACCGATCGGACCAGGAGGTCCAACTTCTCCAGTATCTCCACGTTCCCCTACATCACCTACCTCACCTCTCTCACCTTCTAATAGTCCAGGTTGACCTTTTTCTCCTTTTTCACCAATATCCCCATCATCCCCCACTTCACCATCAGGACCAGGGTCTCCTTGCTCTCCAAGAGCTCCATTTTCGCCAGGATCACCTATTTTGCCAACCCCGCCTCTTATTGAAACTCCTTGAGCCCCCTTTGGACCCTCGATACCAGCTTCGCCCGTTTCACCCTGATCACCAATTTGTCCACGAATTCCAGACGGACCTTGGTCTCCAGAAAACCCTTTTGGTCCCATATTACCATCAATCCCATCTATTCCTGATGAACCTTGTGGTCCCTGTATGCCTTTCTCTCCATCGTAACCAGGAGGACCTTGAACACCTCCTATTCCTGGATCCCCAATATCCCCTGGTATTCCTCGTTCTCCTTTCATTCCTTGCTCACCAGTAAGAGCGGCCAAACCTGAAGGGCCTTCAGGACCTTGATCTCCTGGTTCTCCTGGAAGGTAATAAGTATAACGCTATCTTAATGGTGTTATCAATAAATAATTGCTTACTACATTTAAAAATAATAGTAAAATCTGGTACTAAGATCTATAGCTTAGTAGAAAACATTTCATTTACTCTTTTTTACCGTTTGTTTGATAAACTAATTTCTAATTTCAGTTTAATGAACTGAACTTACTATCACTTATGAAACAGGCTTTCATATCATCACTGTTACTCAGTCTTAAAAGAAAAATAAACCAAACGACTGAATATTTTAACCAAATTCACAAAGGATTAGAGAGATTAATGTGTTTATAGTTATCCCGTAAAGATTAAAGTATTTCCTGTAGAAATCATTTCTCTATACATCCATAATATAATATAGGTAAAAAAGCATGAAAAATAGATCATCAATACCTGCTTCTCCAGGTAGACCGATATGTCCAGTGTCACCAAGTTCTCCTGGTGCTCCAATTACTCCGACCCCTGGTGGACCATCCCTACCACGTAGCCCAGGTAGTCCTTTTTAAAGAATAAAAGAACACTGTTATTTTGTTTAAAATAATTCACATATTCTACAACTTAAAGGGCATTGATAATTATTAAAACTAAATCAACGAACCTGTTGGAACACCAAAAATACTCGAGTACCTAGTAATTATCATTATTCATGCTAAACGATATATACTTAATGACAATTAATTCACCATCTTGCGTATATTACGATAACTGCTAACGTGAAACAAATGACATCGGATGTACTTTAACATCGTAATCTTTGGGTTTTCATTAACTTCTAACTATGTAGTGGGGATAGAAAGAGATCATATTAGTAGTATACTCTTTTTCCGCACCTTATAGATGGTAAGTATTATAACAAGATAGAAATGTTTTCATTTAAAATCTAGTACCGAATAGTTTACCAGAAAGCCCAAAATTAGCCCTATATTAAATAACGGATACCATCAGGATCAACTAGAGAAACCAAGCAGATATATCCAGATACTTTGTTTGATCTAGCGAACTGCATTATTATAACACCACTTAAGCAAAAAATTATAAACACACCATTAATCTCTTCTACGTTTAATTCTCCTAAACCGCCTTCCTATCAAAGTATTGGGCAATTTTTCCTAAGTTCACATGGAATCGTTATTTCTATTATCATGTTAACAACAACATGCCATATCTCAGTTTTCGACTATATTCATATAACTTTACTCACTAGCTTCGTGTTCTTACCTATTGTGATGCGACGTTTTAACTTTAATAAAGACCAATTCTGTAGGTATTTAAGTCTTGAGCAATATACAAACTATTATTTCCAATTTATAAAGCTAATTAAAAATTCATCATGAAGTTTCTTTGTAAATATTGCTAACGTTTTTTCTGTTTGATGTATCGGCTTTTCAAAAGAAGCAATTTGATTCTAGACGGAATGGAATGATAACAGCTAAGAAAAGTTGGGGTGATAAATTTAAGATGTTTTTAATTGATCAACGCTGAAGATGAAGTGTTATTACTAAATTCATATATATACCTAAAATTGTACAAACCTTGATCACCAGGTGGTCCTTGTGGTCCAGGCAAACCCAATGGGCCTAGTCGACCTTGTTTACCTTTCGGCCCAATGGAACAGTTTGTAGCGGCTTCACCTGCATCACCTCTAAGACCTGGTTCACCTTTTTCTCCCTCTGGTCCATAAGCTCCTATCATACCAACATCTCCTTCCGAACCTTGCTCTCCTATCGGACCTTAAGTACAGTGAGTAGAAGGCAAAAAACACTATGACCAAATACTTGTAAAAACAAAGCACTGCCATTAAAGATATATATTTTTTGTTACTAGTAATGCATAATAGATATAAATTTTCAGGTAACTCTGATGAATAAGTTGATTAGTTTGAATGAAATTAAGTGAAGTCAAAAAGTTATATTCAAGATAATGGATGAATGGTATAATCCAAACCAATAAGTTAAAGCCTTATCTGGACTAGTTTTCAAATAAATAATTTGATAATAACTGGAAATATTCCAATACCTGATAATTTAACTTAAATAAAACCATTTATTTATCTACATCTTGTAAAGTATACGTCAACTAGTGTCTTTCTTACTATTGGTTTTGTTTTTGAAATGACTTTGTGATTATATGAAAAATTTCGAGTACAAACTCTTGTATACAATTTTCCTAATCTGACAAGTTCAACGTCTTAGAAAGTTTAGAAAATTAAGTCCCTTGAGTAATAGTGAAGATTTTGTATGGACTATTACTATCATAAGCATAAGTATGGATCATAGAGTCGAGATCGCGATGAACATAAACAAGTAACACAGAATACATGACTTGGCTTCCATGGCGGATAGACTGTATGATTAAGTATATTCATGAATATGATAAACAAGTATGAAACAGATGACTATGCCTATCATTTAATAATAAGTAGTATGAACAAGAAATTCTCCTTGGAGAATATGGCTAATAAGTAAAATCACTTGACTTTAAACCAGCCGACCGCGAATTTAAGCTATGTTCCATGTAATTCAATTTCGATAGTCGCGTTGTACGATTATCGCTAATATAAAATATGTGGCTTAGAGCCAGGATACACAGATAAATAATTTCGGATATTCAGTTAGTTAAATATTGTGCTTAACTGTTGAATTACATTACCTTCGTTTCCTTCAGGTCCTATATCACCTTCTAAACCAGGTGTTCCGATTTCCCCAGCCTCACCAGTTAGTCCTTCATCACCTTGATCACCTTCTTCACCGGGTATACCTTGAAATTTCACATATGTTATAACATTTTTAAAATATAGAATTAACAATAAATAATCAAATGAAATAACCTTAAGTAAATAAAAAAGACAATTGACTAATAAAATATGTTAAGGTTAAATTACTAGAAATAGACTATTTACTCTGTCAATAACAATTGAACATCATTGAATATATCCTCAATAAACAACCACTTTTAGAATTGTTTTGATTTATAATGAATAGCATAAGAGATTGGACTGGTAACTTATACACCACTTTAGAGTTGAAAACAGCTAGTACATGTTTTCAAACTCATAACCCCAAAAATGAGACTTTTAACGGTATTTTTTTGAATTACTGGAAATAAGATAAACTCGAACAGATTAGTTGATTTACATGATTATACTGTTTAGATATAAACTAGTATAACTGAATGATATTAAAGGTGAAATTAACATGTGAATACACTCAAAATTAGTGAATTACATAGACAATATTTGTGTTTGTTTAAATGTGGAAAATTGTCCGCTCCTACCGAATTTCCTATGGTTTAAGAACAGACGGATAACCACTAAAAACCTTAAATCTAAAATGCGAGTTCTATTGTCTAGGAGAAGGTGATGAGCGAAGAAATGGCGTACATGATTAAGACAAACAATAATTAGAACTTTTTTATCTTCTGAAAACTTATCAGAAGATTTTATTCAAAGAAAAAACTAGTGTTACTTTGTTAACCAGACTAAAAATGATCATGAAAGTGGCACATGCAAAGAATTTTAATTTGAGGAATATGAAGCATACTTCACTAACTCCATAGGTCACGATCTAAATTAAGTAAACTTAGCATTTATTGTTCGATTTCATGGATTTTTATATTTTAATAAAGATTTGAAATATATGAACATTGATTATTATTATTTCTAAGCATAAAGATCTAAAGGAGGAATACTTATTTCAAATAAATGATGCCAGTATGTCATATACCCATCAATTTCAGTTTTACAGACCTGATTCTCCTTGCTCTCCTGAGTCACCAGCTTGACCTTGTTCTCCTTGAGGTCCTTCCAGTCCTTCTCTGCCTTTGAGTCCAGCAGTCGTATAACTTGGAGGACCAATGTCACCTGCTTCTCCCCTGTCTCCTTTCTCACCATCTGGGCCTATCTCGCCCTCAGAACCAACATTTCCTTTGGCTCCTCTACTGCCCTCTGCACCAACATTTCCAATTTTACCGCGTGGACCTCGTGACCCCTGAAGTGCAAGAAACCTCGGTTAGTAGTTAATCTGTTGGCTTTTAAATTTATCGTATATTTTTAAGGCACTTTTCCTTTTAATTAAAACATCTTACAAATTACTTGACTTTTCAAACCCCATATACTGTTGAAACAGACTACATGATTGGTTTAAAACCATAAAATGCTCTCACAAGTATATCATTTTCAATAAAGAAAAGTAACAAACGGTTTTACTTGAAAAAGATCTCTACCTTTGGTCCAGGCTCCCCTATTGAACCTTCATCACCTTTTGGCCCAGGTTCTCCATCGTTACCATCTGACCCAGGTTCACCTAATTGACCGTCTTCACCAGGTTGTCCAGGTTCCCCTTTGATACCTGGTAGAGTTTCAGCGGTAGGACCTGTTTCACCAACTTCTCCAGCTGTACCGGGTTCACCCTTTTCACCTTGTTCTCCTTGATTTCCATCTGGCCCAGTATCTCCTCGTTCGCCTTCCACAAATTCTCCAGTCTGTCCAGGATCACCAGTCGGACCCTGAGGACCATCCGCACCCTGTGGGCCTACAATACGACAATCCAAATGAATGATCGGCATACATTATATGCAGATAAATTGACTTCACAGCACACTTTCGAAGTGATTCATTAAAAATCAGTGAGGAAAATCCATGCGAAAATTAAACAGCAATTCAAGTGTATATATACTGTTTGAATGGAGTATCAAGGTTTTGTTGGTGTCAAGATGTACTTAAAAATCTTTGGAAACTAAATGGTTGATTTTTATTGTTGATATTTATATAAGAAACGTTGTAAAGAACATGATTCTATGATAATTACTTATATCTTGCAAACAGTAATTCATTTTAGGATACATAACTACCTTTCATTTATGGAAATCTCGTTATAACGTTGATTAATCTTTATTATCACTACACTTTAGAAGTTATTATTCGACTGAATGAAGAGAATAGGTTTTCACTTCATACTAGTGGGCTTCCTATGAGTAGATAGCCTGAAGAGAATCCATAAAGACTAATACAACAATAAATCTTGCGATTTTTATTGAAATCATGAATCGATCTCAGTTAGACTACCATTGAAAACCTGGAAGCACTGGATGTACGTTTCATCCTAATGTGTAATCTTCATCGGTATGCACCCGCGACCACGCAATTGAACCGTAACTAAAATCAGTTCATGATTTCAATAAGATCAAATAATTTCTATAGCCCTATATTGAAAATAGTTTATGAATATCGACGTATGCAGAAAACAAATATTTTAACGATAGTTACGCCCAAACCAATGACCTCCGAGCTATATATTCTAAATACTTAAGCTTCTAAGATAATATTATTCCACAAGATTTAGTCATGTTTGTTGACGCCTGTTAACTTTTTTACATTGTTCGTGATAAAATTGTTCATTAATTTTACAAACCGTACAAGATCCTAAAAAATAAATGTTCTTGTTTTACAATAGTGAGAAGGTCATACAGCAATGAAAACGAAAACCTTAATATAAAAACTTGATTTTACCTTGTGGGCCAATATCTCCAGTTTCACCCTTTGGACCAGAAGAACCCTTTTCACCCACATCACCGATATTGCCTGGTTCACCTTTTTCTCCAGTAATACCGCGAATACCTTCTATTCCCGTATCACCGATCTCACCTCGTTCTCCTAAAAATCAACATGTCAAGAAAAAAACAAAACAGTATTACTTAACACACAAAAATGCGTATTTAAATAAGATCTACTACATAATGAATATTAAAACTATTAAGAGTAGTGGAGACATTCATTACAATAATATTTAAGTTAAAAGTAGTTATTCCATTAAAAATAATTTTCAATCACCAATACATTGTTGGTTACCTTCAACTATCTAACATGTTATATACACACACACTTTAAATGAAAAAGATTTTTAAAAATGAAAGAAAAAGTTACTTGTGTTACCGGTCAATTATTGTTTCTCATTATTTTTCTTTCTAAAGTTGATATTTTCAAAAATTTACCACTAAACATTCTACAGTATTCGAAGTATGAAAAGACTAATTCTTTTCAGAAGGGGTTTTGTGGAGATTTAGTATTTTCATAGTTGAAAGCATGAGTCTTTTTAATTTTCTTACTGTCTCTTCATCTAAATCATCAGTTATTTTGCACACTTAACTTACTGTTAGTTACATTTGTGGTGTTATCTAGTTCCTAAGATAATCAAATAATCTTTCTTTTTATATTAAAAAAAAAATTAAATTTGTTTGAACTACATGTTGTGATCGATTTTTTTTGTTATTGAAAGTGTATGGTGAAATTTGTGCATTTTGTTTAGAATGAAAAGTTTTCAAGTGCATTATTATCAAACTTACTTACTTACTTACGCCTGTTACTCCTCGTGGAGGAGCATAGGCCGCCCACCAGCATTCTCCATCCAACTCTGCCCTGGGCAAATAAATATCAAACCAATTACATAATTTACATACAATCCACTTAATTCACCTAATCAGATTTTTAAACGTTGCATAAACTTTCGAAAACGTTTTTAGTATTCCCTTCATTTGTAAACTATTTGTTTGATTATCTCTATAACAAATAAGTATGTCTAACTAATATAGTTAAGATATATAGTCGAACAACTCAGTTGCAACATATGCCTACATCTATTATAAAACTATGTAATGCCCATCATCCTAATAAGAGTTATCTACATATTTATTAACTCAACTTTGACGATAAACAACATTGACCGAATGGGGATTTTTTTTAAAAATTTTAATGAGGTTCAATATTTAATGAAAGTTTCTAGTTGAAATGATCTGAACCAGTTTTTTGAATTACATAAGTAAGAATGCGTAAACACAATTTTGACTGATTTTATTGCAAAATTCCATATAAAACATAGAAAAGTAACCATGATATTCTCGACAATCAAATGATAATGATCATTTGTATTTAGATTACAACAGTATAATTAACCTAAAGTCAATAAGCTATTGTGTTTACATGGTCGTAAGATTGTCAAAAATCGCTTATATCATCTGAGTCAACTGAATTAGAGAAAAAATGATCAGGTCAACTAACTTTCCGTAGTCCAGGAGTTAAAAAATATGTCAAGTCAGCACTGATTACTTACCTTGAACGTTGTCTGATTCTGCATATATATCTCTGTCAAAAACCAGATGATTGTCAAATAATTATTTCTTGAAAGGTTTTTAAAAAACGTTATAAAAGTAATTACTGATTTTATTTCCTTCGTAAACTCTTAAATGTTGATTTCCTGGTGCTGGTTAGACTAAGTTGCACGTAGTACCTATACTTTTATTATTTACAAATTTTCATCCAACAGTCATGATAATTATGGTAAATAAGGATTAACTGAATTAATTACAGATCGAAAAAATTGTTTACAAAGACTTATCGATCTTGATTATACCTTTTTACGTCTGAAAAGTATATAATAAATTAACCAAAATGTAAGATGTCCAAGATTACTACTAAAAGGAGGAAGAACTCTAACATTATTAAAACTATAAATCAATCCGGAAGTCGATTTGCAACTATTTTCTTATGAGAAAGATAGAGTAACAGTAAAAGTGAACGAGACTACTTAGCAGTTGCGCGAGTAACGTGCGAAAGACTTAACTCTGATTAAATAGTACTCGAAAGAGATATCATGATGTTCGAAAGTACACTGTGACTCGACCTGTATAGTTCTCATGGTAGCTAATAAAACTTTTTTATATCGTACTATAAACGGTTTGTGCTTCCTATATTTGAATGGATGTTTGACCAGGAATATCCGCTAGTTTATCCTACAAAATTCAACCATATCCAAAAAAACTCATGCTAATTAGACATGTGCTCTCCAGTGACTAATTTTGAGAAGTAATCCTCGGAACCCTGGTGAGACACTGTAATCATTGGGGTTCAGCCATTTCGAGTACGGGCCAGCTACCCCGTCAGTGAGATTGTAAGATGATGGCACAAAATCGCGAATTACAGTCAAATATATATAATATATATAAATTACTGAATACGTTTTCGTTGGTCTAGAGGTTGAGCGCTCTCTGTGTGACCCAGAAGTCTTAGGATCGATCCTTGGTGGAGGTGTGGATGCTCACTGGTAAGTTGCGTACTAGAACTAAACGAACGTCCAGTGTTTCCTAGTTTTTAATAGATATTTAACTAAGATTAATGCCATTGTTTTTATGATATATTTTTGACTAGTTATAATACGTAGACGCAACAATATGTTAAGATATTTATTTAGCTCACCATCAGGACCCGGTTCTCCTTCCTGTCCAACATCACCATCTTCTCCTTGTTCTCCATCATCACCTGAATTGCCAATTGTTCCCATTGCTCCATCAGGTCCAGGATCTCCAAGTAAACCGGCTTCATTGCATTCAGCAACGTCACCAACACCACCTTTTTCTCCTTCTGATCCCATTAAACCAGGTTCGCCCTTGGGACCTTCATCACCTGACTCCATATCTGAACTGGGTTCTCCTTTAGGGCCAGGTAGACCTTTAGGTCCAGGATCTCCCTTTTCTCCAGAGCTACCAGTTTCTCCTTGTTGACCGGCTTGAAATGATAATATTTACAATTAGTTCGGCCTTCATGCATATTAATCACTGATGTAACTAATCAGAAAATATTCTTAACACTTTGAGTGCGTACCTTCAGCCCCAGGCTCTCCCTTTTGTCCAGGAATACCTGGGTCTCCTTCATCTCCTTCGGTTCCAGGTTCACCGGCAGGTCCAGGCTCACCTTTAGTACGTTCTGGTGAATCACCACTATCACCCACATCACCTTCTTCCCCTGTAAGAAAGTTAATAAAGAAGGGTTATAATATTATATGTAACTGCAATGTATTCTTAAATAAAATTTCACTGGTAAAGCCGCTGTACTTCATACCTCTGATTATGTATTTCCATACTGAAACCCTAAGACAGGTTATTCTAGGTTACGAGAAGTAAGAATCTTGAGTCAGATCTTTGAAAAACATATAACAAGAAGAAATATATTAATATTATTCATGTTTATTGATGTAGTTAAATTACCACTCTTTCTTGAATCCACTTTAAGACTAGGAATATGGCAAGAGTTACTTAGTGGAAATGATATAAACTTTTTAAAACTATCGTCGACTTTTAATCTACCAGTCTATAACAAAGCAGACTTGAAATTTATGAAATGATGAAATATTATACTCACCCTTAAATCCTTTTGGGCCTTCAGGACCTTGTTCGCCGACATCTCCTTCGATCCCATCAATCACTTCACCAGGAACTCCTTGAAGTCCTTGAGGACCTTCAATACCTACATTAAATATATAATGGGCAGTTTAGTGGAATAATGGTCTGGATTTCTAAGTTCAAGATTCTTTTATTGATAAAGATCATATGAATCATACCTGGTGGACCTGGATCACCTTTTTCCCCATCAGGACCTGGCAAACCAGTTTCACCTCGTTCAGATGGTGCTGCCGTTTGACCTATTTCACCTTTACGTCCATCAATCCCTCGAGAACCTTTTTCACCAACCTCACCATCATCGCCTTTCTCTCCACGATCCCCAATCAATTCTAAATAAATGCCAAACCAAAGTAAATGTATTTATAAATCTTAACTGTTATTGTTTATCATGTGATCATTTATAATTTTATAGAACATAATATTCAAAATTACAAGCATGAAATCTGTTGTATGATTGGACAGAACTTATTTTCAAACAATTCTGATTCAGCTGTTTCTTTACAGTATAAATAAGTCGGCCACTAAATAACAGATCTAAAAAAAACATTTTGGATCATAATACCATATATCAAGACGTTTAGTTCAACTGAAATTATGTCCAACTGTAATGATTAAAACAATCCCTCAAATCTCTTACCATTCTAAAATAAAACATAATTGTAATCATTCTAATTAAGTTAGGTTTTTATTTTAGAAAACAATGCTGAAATTAGGAGGAAATATTTTGTATGAAAAGATAAAATGAAATGAAACTATGGCAGGCAATTATCACTACTTAAAAATTATTTAATAAATCAGACCGTCTCTTGCCTTATTGCTTTTTCATGCAAGTATTTATGTCAATCTGTTGAATTTTGATCAGTTGAGGTACCATTTTTTCAAGAAATGTCCGTTATGTTAGTGTATTAATGTAAGTTACCGTTTAAGATTGAGTGAAGTAAGCTTATAAGTGACCCTGCCTACGTATCCATATGCTTGTACATTTTCAAACTAACTATAACTCTTAATTAACCTACTCATCGTACGGACAATTTTAGTCCGAAATAATGCACCCGTACTTCTCTGTGTACATGCATACTTGTAGAAGTATGTATGATCGAATGCATAGTTGTCATCCAACACTTTTATCTCTCTGACCAGCTAAGACATTGATCGCTTTGAACGTTCAATAAATTATTCTCCCTGACGTACATATTCGCTTTCTAGGCAGTATTCATTGATTCACTCTCTCTCTCTCCTAGAATTGATAAAAACCACGGTTAATGTTTTAAATTGATAACTTCATTGATAACCATATAGAATTCAGATTAATAAATGTAAACAGTTTAGATGGGATGTCATATTTTATTGTTAGTTTCTATAATTACAGAATAGTTACCTAGAAAAGTCAATAAATGCAATAAATATACGTGTTGAAGGAAACCTGGAAAAATATGTTTGCTTTTTTCATTGTAGAAAGGCAGAGTGAAATGTAAGTATCTTAGATTAAGACACCATATAGCCAATATACTAAGCAGATGACACTAATAGATTTTTATTTGCTTGAAACAACGTTAATAAAAAACAGTTCAAATCTCAATTTCTCTATAAATTACAGATTTATTTAAAAGTTGCAATCATTTTTATCTATTACCAGATTCATTTTTTGCTACTAATTGTCTCCAATCAATTGTACAGTTGGTCATCACTCCAGCTATGCCTTTTTCACCTTTCTCACCGACTAAACCCTCATCACCTCTTTCACCCAGTTCACCAACCATGCCTTTGACATCGATACCGTTTTCACCTGTTTCACCATCGTCACCGTCATCTCCAACTTCACCAATTGGTCCTTGTTCACCATCTGTACCCTGTAATGATTGTATAGAAAATAATGGTTATTATGTTATCGCCCTAAAGTAATTATTGGAACTGAATTAATTACCAAATTTTCGAATGAGACATACAAACTATGTCAATATACAGAACATTAAAAAAACAACTTGAAAACTGATTCACAGCTGAAAACAAATTGTAAAATACAAAGATTAGGATGTGAAAAAAAATAGATTACTGTTATTTCCTAAGAAAGAAGTTTACAGATAAGAATGATTCTGTCGCAAATTGAAATCGGTATGAAAATAACTGAATACTGATAAGCGGTTAATGGATGTCGTTATTCTATTTCGATACTCTTTAATAGTGGGGAAGTTAAGAAGAGTATAAAACATTTGAATCAAACGCAACAAAGTGTTACTGTTATTAAGTTTGATGAATTACAAAATATATTCTATTTTTGTGATGCGACGAGTTTGCCCAAATCAAAAAAGAGTAAGAAGAGTTTAGACCTCAGACCCATTGATCGAAAGTCGGGAGCTTTGGTTAATAAGTTAATGTTTCCTCATATAAACATTGAACAATTTTATTGAAAACTGATACATATTTATTAATGATGTTTTATGCGAATTACTGTCTCTTTTTGTTAAATGCTTATTTTGGGATACAGTAAAGTACGTTGCACATCACGTTTATATATGGTAGTAGTCAGACCGAAAATCAAGTTTCATTCTTATTCCAGCATATTAAATTAACAGCACCTGACTACCAGGTACCCAAAGTATTCTGTCTATCTATTCGAAGCTATATCATTTTGAGATCTTAAACTTTATTTGGCAGCCGACGTAATTATTACTAATTCAAACCTACTTGCAGTTGACCATTTCCAAACAACACTGACAATATTTTGCTGACATACCAACCAGTAATACAGATATCCAAGAATTTTATATGACCCTATTTTCTTTGAGATATATTCTCGATCACAGTTTTAGTGTGGTATTTAATTTTCGTTTTTATAGCTAAGATTATCAGATCACAATCAAACACTTCAATGTGGACTATTCAATTTTAAATATGTCCTCGAATAATGCGATTTTTTCGGAAATCGTTACAAAGTGCATCAAAAGTTTATAATATTTATTGATATGAAGGTAAATATTTTTTTTCATTTCTGATTACTCTTTTGAGAAGTGACTATTACCAGCAGTATTAGTTCACTATGTCATCGTAATCTAAACAAGTTGTTTGGCAAATCAACTGAAGAGAAGTTTTCTTACTTGTTGTCCTTTAAGACCCTCATCACCAATAGGACCAGGTTCTCCTTCATCGCCTCTATCGCCAATATCACCAATACTACCTTCATGGCCTTCATCACCTTCATCGCCTGGGATAACATCTTCTACAACCCGAGACACAACAGCAGATTCTCCAGGATCGCCGGGGTCACCACTAAAACCATTTTCACCAATACGACCCTACAATTTCACACGCAAATATTTGTAAAAATCAAATAAGTTTTACCAATAGAACCAAAATTTGATCATTTACTGACATCAAGGATACTTTTTAACTAGCATTCAACATTTGTAAAGGTAACTTTTACTTTAGCTTAAAACAATTTATTTGAGTATTTTAATCACAAAAGTATTAGAATGTGTGTTGATTTCTTCAATTTTATACTATAAACATATAGAACTAGGAAACATTGATTAGTTACGTGGAAAAAAGTATAGTACTTCCATGTGAAAAACAAAACATTAGAACTACAACGGACCATATACAGCAATCTTTAGATTCAACTAACTAAATAAATGAAAATGAAATTTATTACATGAAACTATATTCAATACAGATGGATAATGTGTTTTCTCGTGCTTGCCTCCACAATCCGGACACACCTGGTCAACAAGAATCAATCGGTTCAAAATCTGTGACCAGATATTATCCTGAGTCACTTTCAATCACTATATTAAGTCACTTAACTTAGTATTGACTTTGTATTTTTTTCATCAGAGGAACTCAGTATGCAATACTAAAGGGCAAAATAATAAAAATTATAAATTTAGCTATCGATTCTAGAAAAAAAACATGAGAGAAAACATGAAACGTAGGTCAAAATTTTCATACTGTTAACTTTTAATCACTTAAAATCTATTTGTATGTGTTCAAAATTACCGAACACGTAGCCAGTTTGAACATACATTTTTTGATCAAGGGCATGTGCCACTACGTTCTCTTGACGAATATCATCCTTTTGTGTAGATATATATCTTAGTCAATCAGACTAATCTTTCAAGCATATATATAGGGAAACCGTTAATCATTCCATTAAGTAAAAGGTAAGATAAGTGCAGTAATTATTGCTTAAAGCGGTGTGATTGTATTTATTTTTCGATATACGATTTTATGACGTGAGGAAAAAGGTTAATAAAAGCTGATTAATTATATGCCTATTATGACTCATCTATGATAAGGAGTAATAAACGTTTCATTTCTGAATGCTATTCATCTACACAACAGTTGAATAAGTGAATATGTTTGTACATTATAGGTTATATTTATTGTAAAACAATATAGAAGTTTGGTAAGCAGAGATGGATAGTGGCTAGCAGTGGAATCCAGGACGCGCGTTTCGTCCTATTTGGGACTCGTCAGCTGGATGTACCTGCATCTCAGAGTTGATGTTCACTCTGGGACTCGAACCCAGTACACTCGCTTCAAACGCCATCGCGTTATCCACTGACTGACCAGTTGCAGTCCTAAACACATCGATGGGAAGATCCAAACAAACAATACTAAGTGAATACTAAGTGTTTACCTACAAAATTCTAACCTACTGTTTAACAGTTTGTGTGGGATTGGAAAGGTACACTTTTACAGTAGTTATGGATATGACAAACTAGAATTAAAGAAATTCCCATTGTTCATTATTCCTAAATTTATACTAAGTACATGCAAAATACTTACGTAACTTCGCAAATTAAAATGGGAAACTAATCTGATATCTATAATTTACATTTAGGACTAACTGAAGTTGGACAGGTATTGAAAACCAGGAAGGAATGAGAAGTTATTTCCTCTTGGTATGCGATTCATCAGAAGTAGGTATCTATGAACCAACTGGAGATCGAAACCAAGGTCATCGGTTTAGAGGCGAACACCTAATCTCTAGATAGCTAAATGTGATAAAAGCATCATCACTGTTCACAATCGACACAACTTTTAGAGCAAGCAATATCTCATTAAGCCATAACCGAATAGATCATTAAGCTGAACCGTTTCTACATTACACGACAGATCACTAAACTCTAGACAGCTTATCAAATATCTGCAAGGTCCAGGATGACTAACGAGGATCAATCAGTAGCACCCCATGAGCTGGCTTTCGTGGTAATGATTATACTCTGTTATTCTCTAATATGTCCGTATAAATACATTTATCCATTAATTTCATGTTTGTTATATAGAGCCATCAAAGAAGCCGTAGTACATGGATACCAAGAAAGGGTAATCTTTATTAGGCACCGAGGACGAGTTTTAAATTTGACGTAATCCAGGAAGTTACATCATTCTCTTCCAACCCGATTATATCGTCGATCATCCACATAAATCATCTACATTGGTGATCTTTTATAACTTGTTTTAAAAGTAATTCCTAGAAATTAAACTGAAAAACACTTATGAAGTCAACCAGGTTATGAAGGAGGACGGATATCTCAATTATGATGGGAAATATGAAACACTGAACTCAGGTTTTGCTAGTGAACTGGACTGTGTCCTTTCAAGAGCGGAATTTCCTGAGTTTGATTTAATCCAGTATCGTGAGCATTCCTTAATGAAGAGTTCTTAGTCACAGGATAAAGTATCTGTTATGTTCACATTTATCTTTAGGGATTTTTCCAGCTGCCAATAATGATGAAAAATATCTTTGTAAATCACTTCAACAGTGAATTATTTCAATGTATTATTATTTTGTTTTTCTGTTTTGAAAAAAATGATGAATTACATGTAATTGTAACTATTAATTTAAGGAGAAAACAACCCATTTCATGTTCTAGTTTTCTTTCTTTTTTCAAGAGTAATAAGTAATTTTTCAGTTACTGTGAGAAAGAATTGTTTTCTTTTTGACGTAAGATTGAAATACTATGATTTGTTGTACTTTCTCCTTTTGGTTATTTGCACTGTTATTGATGGTAACAAGAGGCCAGTCAACTATTTAATAGCTCAACAACAACTATGATTCTGACGCTAAGTGATATACATTCCGTCAGGGGGAAGAACCACTTTATGTCAAGAATGAAGAAGCACTTTTGCACTGAGGGCTAGTCAACAAAATATATAGATCCAAGTCTTATAGCAGATGTATACAAGCACTCAACATTTTACTATGTATATTGTGATACAAATTAGATCGAAGTAATGTTCGTGATTTTATAAAATTACAGAGTAGTCAGTTGGTGTAAACAAATAACTTACTTTTTCACCTTTGGTTCCCGGTAGACCGATCAAACCATCTTCACCTAGTCGTCCAGTATCACCTCTATCACCTGGCATACCATCACCTCCCTTTTCACCATTTTCACCTGGATCCCCTATTTCTCCACGCAGACCAGCATCACCATCTTTACACAAAGGGCAAACAGATAACGGTTCACCTAAAAAAAAGAAATTAAGTGAGAAGATTACCAATAATATCAACTTACTTGGACATATAAGTATAATATCGTCAAGTTATCAATATGGTGTGAACTCTATGCTTTTTTTAACATTAGGCAGATAATTTAACATACTGTTTAAATTATTATTCTAACTTATAAACAACTCTACCTTATGTGTCTATCTCTTTTGCTTACTTATGCATCTACTTCCTTATTAAACTTATTATGAAAATGGTTCAGCCAAAAATCTGTTAAATAAAATATAAAGGGCTCCATGAACGTAGATGTTGTGGTAGTTTAAACTTATTAACAAGGCCTATTTTCATTCATTAGGTTGTTGGCATTATAATTGAGCTAAACAAAAAACGAGTGACTGTTGAGATATTTACACACTTAATGATTACTAAGCAGAAACCAAACACATGTTGTTTAGTCATCAGTGATGATCTAACTTTTTCGACCAGGTTTTTACAAATTATTAGATTCAAAAACTCGAAATTCTTGGTGAACTTTGAAAGGAAAAGAAAATTCATCTTGTACCATGAGTCCTTCGTACTGAACATCAAAAGTAGGAACGTTATCACTATTCTACATCACTAGATTATTTGTCTATCATACTTCTTTGTGACTACCTTAGAAGAATGTCTCCTTTTAATTACCTTTCGGTTCATTTGTTTCCTATGATTAAGCACCACAGTTCTTGGTGAATGACGTTAAATTTAATATAATTCACAACCGAACATGATCAATGCTAATTAAGTGCCATAATTCTATTAAAATATGTGGAGTCTATAAAATCAGGAGTTAAATAATCACTCACTGATAAAACTGAATAAAGATATCTCTGTATCACAGCTAACGGAATTTGAAAATGTAGAGTAGTAGATTTCTATTCATTTATTGAATGTTATCGTTTCAGTTATAAGATTCAGTGTGTTGCTACATGTCCACATCTATTTGAAGTAGTAAATTAGGATGATACAAATATCTAGTAGTTCTTGCTTTTCGACAATTCTCTAATTTATTTGAAATTTGTGATTTAGATCACCTTCAGACTAAGCTTCTGTACAATTAATGTTGATATCAACCTTTAGAATAATCTTTGAAAAAGAACAATTGTTCAATTCATTTTACAACCTGATTTGACAAATGTTCTTTATTCTTCTACTTCACTAATAAACAATTTTCAAAATAAATATAAATCGTAAAGTATACCTTTTGGACCTGGAGGTCCAGGTTCACCGTGTTTTCCAGGTTCTCCATCACTTCCATCATCACCAGGTTCACCACGAGGACCAACTGGACCGACATTACTATCTCCACCAAATCCCTTTTCTCCAGGATCACCTTCTTCACCAGATTCACCTTAGTAACATAATATTTATTATTTAATAAGATCAACAAGACAAGTTAATTACAGTGTCTCGAAACATTACCCCAAATGGTTGAGCAAAGACAAAGTAGAACAATAAAAATCTTCATCCTCAAACATCTAGTTGACAGAGGCTGCTAAGTTGATGAAAATATAGCATTCAGAATAGTATATCGAATCACATCCCACTTCTGTTTCTAAGTGTCTCCACCTACATACATCAGAGGCCATTGGAATTCGCTTAAATAAATTTGACCTTTATATTTAGAAAATCTTTGCAAGATCTATCTATTTGTCCTGGCCATCAAACTATATTCAAACTAACTCCTTTCATTTAAATTTTATAACTAGACAATCATTTATGGTAATTAACAAGTGATTTATCTCAAACTTATGCTTACATTCTTTTTTCATTATCCCATCTTTATTCTTATGTAATCAGCTTGAGTAATAAATTGATTTGTAAATGCAACTTCATATTCTTCAGTCACTACTCTTAATTAATCATTGGAAATAACTAACTGATCCTTGATACCAAACTTATACTACATGTACAGTACTAATAATGTTCGGGATTTATCTTAAATAAAATAGAAATAATTTGGTGGAACTTCATAAAACACTTTATTTTACACAAAATTCAAAAAGTTACGTAATATTTAAAACAAAATTGTCAAATGCTATCAATAGGGATTTCAATGATCATATCAAGCAAGAACTCTGATTTGAAACTTGGATGGCTTCAGTGACCACACAGGTTTAAAAAAATTTAAATATTAACCTCTAGTAAATTACTATTGTAATTACTTTATTTTTCACTCACCTTTAATACCACGTAAACCTTCCACACCAACCTCTCCGATTTCACCTATATGACCAAAACCATCATCTCCAGGTAACCCTCTTTGGCCTGGTTGTCCTGGGTCTCCATCAACTCCAGGTTGTCCTTGTGCTCCATTTTTTCCTGTAGAATAAGAGTTTATAATTGTTGTAGCTTACAGTAGGCACATACTTTGCTAACACTTATGATAAATAACTTAATATCAAGTAAAGCTGCACATAGACATTTACAAAATTTGCATTAGTGAATTCGTAAGATTAACTTACCATACCAACCCTTAACACCTAAGGGACCTTGTGGACCAGGTTCACAAATTTTACCTTGGCTTCCTCTTACTCCTTTTAGGCCTTCATCGCCTGGAACACCTTTTTCCCCTTGATCACCTGGTAAGCCAGGTTCCCCTTGAGTTCCCTTGTCACCAGGATGACCTGGGAGACCCTTTTCACCTTTTGGAAAAAACTCGACTGGACAAGTAGCTTTCTTAAAAAATGGAAATAAACGAATACACAATTGAAACGCAATCAATTTAAACGAATTAAGAAATTGAAGGAGAAACAGTTCACTTATCAATTTTTCAAAAACTGATTGAAAAATGTACTGAGACATCAATTATTAGATTCTTTTAGAATAATATTTCATGACTTCAAACTTAAAATAATGTTCTACATTCACCTTACTTCAAAATGCACCTAATAATTCACTTGATCCATTACAGTAAATTGTAATGATTGGATTAAAGATTTGTTTTCAAAACATAGTTCTTGGGTACATACCTATTTTCATATGGGTTCAAATGAAACGTCTCACAACTGGAATCGGAATTATTTTGGATAGCCGATTATTCTGGAAGTAAAATTGACATTATGTGTCTTGTTTGTGCATACTTTGTGAAAATTTTAAATCGTGAATAACTATTGTCAGTCATTAACTGCGTACAATAAATAAACACATGAATAATCATTTGAAATGATGAATGCTTAATTTTATAGTAAAATTGTTAAACTGTGAACTATTTTACAGAAACTAGGATGATTAGGACAGGAAGGTCTCTTACTTTCTCGTAAACAATTTGTGTATTTCAAGGTTAAACTGATAGTTTTTCAATTATGCCTGAACACATCATAGTAAGTAAAAAGTCGAATAGTAGGCTTGGTAGTTTAAGTACCCTAATAAATTGTCGTAGAACGACGAAGCAGTCCTTATTAGACATTATTCACATGTTAAGGTTAGGATGTACATAGGATTAGGCTTGTATACATACATGTTGTTAATTCTATGCAAATTTCAAATCCCGATGGTTCCCCAGTGGATTCCAGTCGAAAATGCAAAACTGTCTTCAGATAAAACAAATCTTCATAAACATCAAATTAAAATCCAAGTTACTAACATTTTAGCAACCGTTATTTCTCTAATTTTTTTGTTTCATCTAAGCTTAACAACGAGTATTTTAAATATAACATTTATGTATTTGAAGACTAATTCAAGCCTAACCTTTGTGTGCATAACAGTATTTTCAATTCCTCATTTTACCATAATATTAACCTCCCTTTCTATTTTCTATAACCTAACAAGTGGACAATTATCTTCACTTTAATATTTTTCCATTAACCGGTTATTAAGTAACTTCCTTTCAATATCTGGTTTTTGCAAGCAATTCATGATATGACACCACATCAAGTTATTTTACCATAGATTTCTATTTTTGGAAAATAAATTAACTGTAAATACGATTGTTCAGCTTATGTAAATGAAATAATCAATAAGAAAATTTTCTCCATTGAGTTGTCTTTATTTTTCTTCAATGATACAATGCGTCACATTCAATATTTATAAATCAGTATAGTAACCACTGTAGTGCATCTATATCCTTAATATAACTATGTATTCTAGGAAAGACGTAACTGAAAACGATTGTTTTCTCAAGCACAACTTGTTTCCGACTTTTAATAAATAATTCTTTTGATTGAGAATTATTTTACGGGTATATTTAAATTTATTTTATTTCTATTAATATAATGTGGATAAAAATAATTACTATATATCAATTTAGTTTATCAGAAATATAAAAGTAATCAGATGATCTGAGGACATACCCCAGGGATTCCAGCTGGTCCTGGATCACCTTGTAAACCATCACGACCATGTGGACCTCGATCACCTTTTCCACCGATTGCACCTTCTGGTCCAGGTGGACCATCAGAACCCAAATTACCCTTTTTTTAAACAAGATCAAACAAAATAATGATGCAAAGACTAAAAATTCCAAATTATCATAATATTAAACAAAATAGGTTTCAACAAACAATATGAAAATAAATGAAGTTAGTTTGAATCCTTATCCATATCTGTTTAAATATGTCTATTCCTTTAAGGTACTGTTTTATGACTGACATCTGTCATAAATATATCACGCTCTCCACTTTTTCATCGCCATTTATGTGTCAGTTTATTTTTCATGTACCAGATGTATTACGAAAGTTATTAATGATGATATTATTATCGTTGTTATCAGTATTTACTCCTTAATTTTGTTTACATTAACCAGCATATACTATACAGGGCTTATGGGTAATGTTATACAGGAAAACTTGATTTTTCAGTAAAGTAAACAAAATCAAGTGAAAAAATAAAGATAATATTTTGAATTGTGATCATATTTAAATCAACAATCAATACTGATAATGTTACAGATTGATTTGGTCTCAGTGTATTTTGATATTATCTGATGGTATAGTGAATAAATAGATAAAGGATTAAATGACATACACTTTTTTTAACATCTTGTGATGGTAAGTGCTGAATTAACTAACTGATAATGAATCCTTTTACGTTGTTTGTTGCTCAGGTTAAGTAGATCTAATGTTTGAAAGTTGGAAAATGGTGAATTACACATCCGCAGAATCCTTGGTTAACTACTGTAATGCATTTCCTTTTATAACCATTTAGGTATGCCTTTAGTCAGCTGTATATCTAAATCACGACTGCTCCTCTATATGTATGCATCTTCATAAATAGTGGTGAAGTTCTTAGAATTTTAAGATTAATGCCTAGCCAGGTTAAAAAGTCATGTAAACAAGATGTAGTACAATAGGAGGAATGCTATAAGTTTTTGGATTGTAATCAGTACAGTGAAAACTTTTGAATATAATACGAAATTGGAAGCATAAATTGGGGTAGAGTTGGTGTGGTATTCACATAAACTGTATTCTAAAAGCTTTATCTTGATGAACATTCGCATGAGTAGTTGGAGAAAATCAGTGACCAGATCTCTAAATAATACCATTCTTCCTCATCTGATTGGAACGTATTATGAAATTTAAATGGAGGAATCATTCTAGAGTTAAATAGTGTTGCGTACAATCCCAACAAGTTATCACGATATCTCTTGTAAACGAAGAAGCCATAGATATTAACTTGAAGAGACAGTATTCTTATGTTCAAGGTAGTACATTCAGTTCTCTTGTTTGGCCTGATAATTTTCTACACTGATTTCCGCTTGTCAAAATATAGATTCACTACATCAGTACGTAACACTGAATGATTCAATCAAACGCTAATCACTATAACACAATTTTGATTGAGTTATGATCATAGAAAGCGAACTGAGAATTACTGAAATCGAATACTCTTTCAAAGATTCCTTCTTTTGTGAAAATCGTGAGTTAAAAATCTTCATCTTCTTAAGTAAATAGTGCTTATGCGAGAGGAGAGTGTGAAAAGTTGAAAATATTCAGTGACTAAAACACAAAAAGTAATTGTGAACGCCTATTCTGTAAGTTGAAATGAAAATTGTATGATACGAGCAGTTAAGGAAAAATTATTGAGGATGATCATAAAGAAGAAACAAAAACACTGATGCAAGTATTATATAAAGGTAAAATTGGATAACGTTATAGTTACTACAAGGAGATCAGAATCAAATAAAGCCAATGTGCATTTAGGAGAAACAATGCAACTGATTGACCAGATTCAATTTTTACCATCACCCTAATTAATAAGTTTCATGCAACACCACTTTAGTACCAAGTATATGAGAAGCTTCCTTCAATTCATACAGTGAAGAGCACTGAAACTGCTTACTCAATTAATCAAACTATACGATTTCTGTTGAATTAGAAATAATGATGAAAAATCATTTTAATTTGAAAATTCTTTTCGTCATGGACTGACATCATTTGAAGAATCATTAAAAGCCATTGAAAACCAAATAGCTGTTTCATCTCGATTTCGGACTTCAGAGCAATGTGTACTCATGACCATACACCAGATTGAATCCACAACCTTTATGTCATAGGATGATTTTGTTGTATTTAAACCAACAAGCTAGAGCCCAACCTCACAATCATCATTCAACATCATCAATGTTATCCAATTGACTGACAGTTTATGTGAAATTAACTTATTAAGGCTTATTGTCAGAACTTTATGTTTTCATTTTGAAGCCTGCCACTCCTGAACACATGGTCGTTTCTCTTGAACTATTCTTCATTAATATTTATTTGTACTTATGTAAAACAATCTAGTACATAGAGTAGTTGGTCTGTTTACTTCTGAATAAATTGGCAAAAAAGTGACTGAATTAATTTCATTACCATAAATAAATAAAATTCCCTATTGTCATCTTTTACAATATATAGCAAGATAATTTTAAACTTTTCCTGTGTTTCTAAAATATTTGAATAATTGAAATTTTTTTACGATAGAATCTAGGAATATTATTGTAGACAATCATTTTTTAACGGATATGCAAATACACCTACTGCTTGTCCAATCGGTCCCATATCACCGTCTTCTCCAGGATCACCCTTATAACATGGAAAAGAAAATTGGCATGAGGGATTATCATAATAGTATTTGATCATATATTATAAACAAAACAGAAAAAAACTTTTTCTGTGTTATTTTTGCTAATCGTTTCCCTTAAGGGCAAATAATGTTGGGATCTTTAATTTTCAAATTTTGTTACTCAAATACTTAATGTCTTTATTAAACTCCGTAGGATCACATTGTACAATACTTAGTTATTTTCTTACTATGTTCAAGTTGTAGATATATATACGTGATGCTTTTATTAATAATCAATAACATGTTCATACGTAACCAAAGAACAATCTTATTTCTTAAATCCACTTTCTCTTAACAAAACAAATAAAAGCAATTCTGCTGAAATATTTATGATTGAATTGGTAGTGTCGTGCTTCGCTAATCGTTCACCCTGATAACCGTTATAATTCCAATCCTAATGGTGCATAAAAATCAGAAGGCAAAGGAAAGCGGCAGCTACAGTTTTATTGACAAATGACGCAGGCCAGAAAGTTATAAGCACATGAGTAAATATCAGCTAGCGGAACAAAAATGACACGCATTGGAGATGGCAGATAAGCCAACTCGAGAGAGAGAAGCGAGAGTAACGCGCATTGGAGATGGCGGGTAAGTCATCAATTCAAGAGTTTCTGAATTTAAATTGCTGAAGAAAGCAATAAACAGTGGAATTTTTATAACTCTGTGATGAAACAAACTTTTTTAATGAATAAAGATAAAAACTTTTCATAACTTTTTTATTCAATTTGTGGGCTCTTATCAGTTTTGCTTACCAAACTTGAATATTCCATAATTAGTTTGAATTCAGTCGTTTTCTTTTTCTAAGTTGTTTCGAAACTAAATTTTGTGTTAACTAATATTTCACTACCAATAAACTAACAATAACCCATTAAGAACATGATTTAAAATTGATTGCTAAAAAAATTTGATCATTACATGTACACGACGACGTAGAACCATTTGATTTAACATGTGGGTGGTTCGCATCACTGACTGGTACTATTTACGCTATAAATTAAAAGTCAGTAAACACGGAATTGCTGCTTCATCTTAATATATGAATCAGTAATGAAGACTCACAACTCCACTATGAATCAAACTCAAAACCTTCATAGCCTTGTGGTGTCTACCGAACCATTTCACCACTATGTTAGAATCAAATGGACTAAATATTTAACTTCAATACATTTGTGACAATTAATTATAACCGTCTTACTCTTGACATGGATGATATTTTCCTAAGTCATGAAATAATTGATATAAAGCAACAAATATTGTTATATTTTTGTTGACAATAACTTCCTCTCAAGTAAATTAATAGCTATAAATAAACTTACATCTAGTCCGGGTTCACCAGGTTCACCTTTTTTACCAATTGATCCTTCTTCACCTTGTAGACCCTGTTTATTTATTATAGAGAAATAAATAATGTAGTAAAAATATAAACCATCTTATAAATATGATAGAGTAGTTGGAAAAACTCATCAGTCATTTATTTATTGTTAAAATGTAGTTTATTCAATAAGATTCTGAAACGACTACATGGATGGTGATTGAATTGCCGATTTGATTCACTGAACCAATTCCTTGAAATAACTAGTTATCAATTGTCTGAATAAAGGATTATGTAATATTGAAAAAATCCAGGTTATTAACCATATCCAGGAATTTGGTCTGAAAGAAGGATGACTACAGCTTACTCATTACTCATTAATAAACAAATAAGCAGGAATGATCATTCACTTTAGGTCGTAGTGACAAACATGTCATTTATGTTTTGGTTAAACATTACTGTGAAAGATAAAGTTTATGGCTGTTAGTTTTTAAGAGATATATTTTGACTAGTCTACTGTCTAATGCTGCGATAGTCTTTAAAAAAAACTTTAATTTATGATACTTTGGCTGAACACTGTATTCGTTTTTTATGTGCATTTGTGGTGAACAGCAATGCTTGATAAATAGAATACTAGTAAAGCGTACTTACCCAAATGGATTTAAAAAATAAGGTGCACTGATCATTCATTAAAGTGTATTTCCCGATGTATGTGCGCAGGAACAGTACATACAACAACTTCCTTCATCAGAATCCCAGTTTGCTTAACGTTGTGTATTTCCCTTTCACTTTGTTGATTTTGTTCTATTTACTTTTTAAATTATAGGAAACCTTATTCTCCTTAATTCAATATATTGGTGTTATTTCAGCATAAATTTAGTGATCTAACATACTTAAAACAATTTATACTTCTGATCAGACACATACATTGTATTCAGACTATCTTATATAGTCTTGATCAATTGATCACGTTCTGTATACTGAAGCTAACATTAAAGATGGTAAAAATAAGAATTTTGAAAGTATTTTTCTGTCAACAGTCAGTCAGTCGGTCACAACGCAGAAGTTCGTACGTACTTATATAAGTTCGAGTTGCCATACCACATTAGCACAGAGATAAAGTTATTGATTCAAATCCCATAGCGGTAGAAGTAGTAAGAGTATAAGCATTAATGTGAAAGATTAGGGTTTGAAGATGTCAACGTAAAATTTTGAGTTATTATAAAGCATTTCTAGCGCTTCTTTAAAATAACAAATTCTTCAGTTCACAATGTATATTTCTGTTTGACACTTTTGTCGGTATTATAAACCACAGTATTAAAGGGGAAAAGGTTATCTTTACTATCAAACGATTTGCGTTCATTTTCCTCTAATTTCAAGTGAATCTCGTTAGTTATTTACTTAAATGATTCAGCTCAATACATCCTGTTCTTTATACTGCTGAAATAATACTGTATAAATGAATGACAAAACAAGTAAATGAGACATTCTTTACTAAATATTTTCTGGGTTCAACTTTTGAATCTTACACTTCGGACTATGTTCTAAGGTTCTATTCAGTCGCTAAAACACTTGGTTTGGATCGATCATATTATTAGCCTATTAGATTCATAAATTAAATTATAAGAATAATTTTTTTAGATAATTGGTATTTCTCATATCATGATGGTAAAATGAGCTTACCATATCACCTTCATCCCCTGGCTCTCCACTGTCACCTTTAGGTCCTGGAGGACCCTACATGAAAACAAACGTTAAAAAGGTCATGAATAAATTTTATATGTATTTTATATATATAATGAACGTAATTAACAAGTGGTAGGAGGCTCTATGCTAAGGTCTTAAGATAATCTAGATTTAAAGGAGAGCTGATGTTCTATTCAGGTGTTAAGATTATAAATTATTGACCGTTTAGGTAAGCGATTGTTTGGTTGTAGCATCTACTTCCAGTTAAGCTTACATGAATTATTCTGGTTTTTGGACACGCCAGTTAATTATTCTTCTTTGCACATTACCAACACACGTTCTGACCTTGTCAATCACTCGTTTATAACCTTGACCGTTTTTATATGAGCGCATGCTTACTCTACTCACCACATGTCTTTAGTTTATTTTTCAGTATGACCATTTGTAGTGAGTCACGCTTTGTCAAATGGGGGGTAGGCATAATCTATATATTTTCTTTGTTTTGCTTTCCTACTTCTCATCTTAGTGTATGTATAGTTGAACGGATATCTAAAATCAGTACATCCAACTTAATTCGTATTTAGCTTTTTATTACCATCGTCGCTCAAACGACCTCAGCTTAGGCTTAATACATGGAGTCAAACAGAAGATTCATGTTCACGGCATATTCATGCGTTTGTTCAAATGGGAATTACATCATGAGTCACTAAAGTGGTGAGTCCAACGTGATGATAGCGAAAGTGTTATGTTGACTATTACTGACTTGAATAAAACTATATTAATAAAACTATATATTCGGCTTGAGACTGGTAGGTCCTGGATTCGAATCTCGCTCGCGAGAATGGGTTCGTGGATGCGCACTGCTGAGGAGTCCCATAATAGGACGAAACGGCCGTCCAGTGTTTCCAGGTTTTCCATGGTGGTCTAGCTTCAATTGACTCACGCTTTCAACCATAAAAAACTATATTAGTTATGACCGAAAAAAATTTCCAATTAAAATAAACCAAAAGTAATCATTCAAACACTTTTAGGAATTAATATGAAAATACTTAATTGTTGTCCTTAAATTTTATTTTCCCGATATTTTTTATGGGTTAGCAATTAATTGATTGTGTGGTTTTGCATTTTAAATTAGTTAAGCTTATCGAATTGGAATATGCATTAACTATAATCGTTTCGATGAGTAAGCTTACCTAATTATACCTTTACGCATAAAATCCATTTATTTAAAACCTCTTAAATGATGTGATTAACAGTTGAAAACTGTTATCACAAATCATTGATTATTCTCTGAGAAGTTCTGTAACATATTGGAATCCCTATATACAAACACCTCAGGCAGAGGGTAAACAACTATCTCTCTCCATTGTTCCGTTCAAGCAGTAGGTTTAGGTAGGTTGCCCAATCTCACCATTCCTCTCCAACTTTGCCATCGATGATGTTCTGGAAACAGCTCTGATGAATATAGATAATGATGGTGTGGATCTGTTGCCTGGAGAAAAACTTTTCGACCTTGAGTATGCGGATGATATTGTCTCACAATTTTATGATACCCAGGTCAAGAAATCCGCACTTAATCAGTTGGCAATCAGTGTCCGAAGGTATGATATGTGCTTTGCGCATTCTAAGTGCAAAGTATTTTTACAAAACTGTCAGGACCCTGGACCTGAACTCACTTTGGGTTGTGAGAAGATAGAAGTAGTCGATAAGTTCGTGTATCTGGGTAGCTGCGTGAGTGATGAGATCAATTCACGTATAGTAAAATCCAAAGTAGCCTATGGCAATTTCACCCATCTTTGGCGTCTTCGTAATGTTAGTCTCTCTGTAAAGGTTGGATCTATGACACATCTGTGAGAGCATTTGTACTCTATGCTTAAGAAACCTGGTCTCTCCGAGTTGAGTGTTAGACGGGACTGTGTGTTTGATCGTCGTTTTCTCCGAAGGACTTCTCACATCCAGTGGCAACACTGTGTTAATAGTGATGAGGTTCAGCAAAGAGTGAAGCCAGTGGTAGTCCTTCTGTAACTTTCTTTTAGCTGATAATGGTGAAAGTAACTTCTTTAGCTGAAAGAATTCTCGTAGGTTTTGTTTCTTATAACTTAACTGCTTCAGTTAATATTATTATTATTGTTTCGCTCTCATACACTAATTTCCATTCTTTTTTTATTATACTCACCTTCCATTCTCTATTTTCTCACAACCTCTTTTTTCTGTAGTGCATATATATTTAACTCCGCCTGTAGTTCCTCTGGGGGTTACTGCCGGTCCCAAGCCCGGGTAAAGGAGGAGGGTTGGGCATGGGGTTAGCGACCCCATCCCGTAGAAAATCAACTCGCTAAAAAAACGCTAACCAGAAAAAATCATTCAAACCATTCAAACTCTGCCCTGGGAGTAGAAGGAATAATTATGACGTCTCATGATGAAAGCCGAGTTCCTTCAGAAGTCATGAGGCCGATGCACCTTCTTACAACCAGAGCAACAATTTTTATAGGTACATGGAATGTCCGAACAATGTGGGAGACCGGAAGAGTTTTCCAAATTGCTGCAGAAATGAGAAAATACAACCTGGAGGTTCTTGGAATCAGTGAAACACATTGGACGCAGGTTGGACAACAACGACTGTCTTCAGGAGAACTGCAAGAGAAGGAAACATGAGACAATTGTATGATACAACAAAAAAACTTGCTGGAAATTACCGTAAGCCAGAAAGACCAGTGAAAAGCAAGGAAGGCAAAGTAATCACCGACATTGAAGAACAACGAAACAGGTGGGTAGAACACTTCAAAGAACTCTTGAATCGACCAGCTCCACTGAACCCACCCAACATCGAAGCAGCACCCACGGACCTCCCAATCGATGTTGGCCCACCAACAATTGAAGAGATCAGCATGGCCATTAGACAAGTCAAGAGTGGCAAAGCAGCGGGACCAGACAACATCCCGGCAGAGGCACTGAAAGCAAATGTAACAGCAACTGCCAAGATACTACACATCCTTTTCAGTAAGATTCGGGACGAAGAACAAGTACCAACAGACTGGAAAAAAGGACTTCTGATCAAGATACCAAAGAAAGGCGATCTGAGCAAATGCGACAACTACAGGGGCATCACTCTTCTCTCAATACCAGGAAAAGTCTTCAACAGAGTATTGTTAAACAGGATGAAGGATTCCGTGGACGCCCAACTTCGAGATCAACAAGCTGGATTTCGTAAGGATAGATCGTGCACAGATCAAATCGCTACTCTACGTATCATTGTGGAACAATCAATCGAATGGAATTCATCACTCTACATCAACTTCATCGACTACGAGAAGGCATTTGATAGCGTGGACAGGACGACACTATAGAAGCTTCTTCGACACCACGGCGTGCCTGAGAAGATAGTAAATATCATACGGAACTCCTATGATGGACTAAACTGCCAAATCGTCCACGGAGGACAACTCACCGACTCGTTTCAAGTAAAGACCGGTGTTAGGCAAGGTTGCTTACTCTCACCGTTTCTCTTTCTCCTGGTCATCGACTGGATCATGAAGACGTCAACATCTGGAGGAAATCACGGGATACAGTGGACAGGCAGGATGCAGCTTGACGATTTAGACTTCGCGGATGATCTGGCTCTTCTATCACAAACGCAACAACAAATGCAGGAGAAAACGACCAGTGTAGCAACAGCCTCAGCAGCAGTAGGTCTCAATATAAACAGAGAGAAAAGCAAGACTCTCCGATTCAATACAATATGCACCAATCAAATTACACATGACGGAGAAGCTTTGGAGGATGTGGAAACCTTTACATATCTGGGCAGCATCATTGATGAACACGGTGGATTAGATGCCGATGTGAGGTCGCGGATCGGCAAAGCAAGAGCAGCATACCTACAACTGAAAAGCATCTGGAGCTCAAAACAATTGTCAACCAACACCAAGGTTAGAATTTTCAATACAAATGTCAAGGCAGTTCTACTGTATGGGGCGGAGACGTGGAGAAATACGAAAGCCATTATCCAGAAGATACAAGTGTTCATCAACAGCTGTCTACGCAAAATACTTCGGATCCGATGGCCAGACATTATCAGCAATAAGTTACTGTGGGGGAGAACAAACCAGATTCCAGCAGAGGAAGAAATCAGGAAGAAGCGCTGGAAGTGGATTGGGCACACCTTGAGGAAATCAGCTAATTGCGTCACAAGACAAGCCCTCACATGGAATCCTGAAGGTCAACGGAGAAGAGGAAGACCAAAGAACACATTACGCCGAGAAATAGAAACAGACATGAGAAGAATGAACAAGAACTGGATAGAACTAGAAAAGGAAGCCCATGACAGAGTGGGTTGGAGAAAGCTGGTCGGTGACCTATGCTCCATTGGGAGTAACAGGCGTTAGTAAGTAAGTAAGTAAGCATATATATTTGGTGTCCACCTTGCACCAATGTTCATGTATTTAAACAAATCAATAAACTGAGTGAACAAGTGCTCGAGCACTTACACAATAAGATACCATCTATCACTGATTCCTCAAAAAAATTTGAGCGCAAATAAATTTCATATTTTGAAACTGAAGTTCTTTAGTGTTTGTATTACCCAATTGTTGGTATCCAAGATCGGAAGTTGATTATTTTTTGTTGATGTATGTGCATCCTGAAAGAATTCCATGATACCCATTTCCTGATATATGTTTTAACATACACTTGGATTGTGGGTAGTAGTCCCATTCAGGATGTGTATTTTGCCCAATTTGAGACTCATCAGCTCGATGTACCTGGACCTCTATTGATGTTCGAACCCTTCAAAATTTTATTAAATTAAATTATTTCGTTTTTGTAAATAAACAATAACAAGTGATACACGTGTGGAATTTACTGAAACTGACATTTTGAAAAGCTAGCATACCACCTTACAAGTGAAATAATATAACCTAACTTTCATTTACTAGTTATTATGTCTTATAAATAGAATTAGAGAGAAACTAATTGGCAGAAAACGTTCTGCAGAAACTAGTCACTAAGCCTTATTAGATTTGTTACTTTGTAACCCATATGTGCCTAGTATTTGGCTGACTTACTATGTCTCCAGCTTGACCTCTTGTAAAACTGATAAGTTCTTCTTCAGTATATTCGCGGTCCATATCTTCACATGGTTGACCATCTTGTCCTCGAGGACCTGGTTCACCACGATCTCCAGGAATTATATTCGTATAATTGTATACTCCACTTTCACCTTTGGGACCGATGTCTCCCATCAAACCTACGGCTCCCTATAACATAAAATATAATAGATATTAACTTTTGCACTTATACTTTATCCTTATAGTAAAAGTGCTTGTGCAATATTTTGATGTTCTGTATAAAACTGAGAAATTGACAAATTTGCGAATGGACTGATGAACAACCGATAAATATGTATTCGTAGCGGTCGGAAATTTTTACAAGATGGAGTCTAACGATAGCCTCTCACAAATACTGACATCATTTAAGGAGGAATCGGAAACCATCATCATGAGTGCTCATAATTGAGGAATCACAAATGTGGATATATCTATTACTACCTGGTTTCAGTCGTTCTCAAACGCTAAGAAAAGCTGCCTTCAAACTGAAACTAAGTCAACAAACCACCAAACAAAGAAATATTGTTAAAAATTCAAATGCAAGTGGTTGTATTTATGATGAGAAAAAAATTCGGTTGAAGAGGATGGTCAATGGTAATCCCTAGCATAGAAAATTTAAGTACTTGGTACACAATACGAACTGACGATTGAATTTTTTATGCATTTAAATGAATCGGCATTTTGAATATTTAACTCTACCTCGCTAAGACATCGAATATGAAATGTGGGGCTAATTAATATTTTTAATTGACGTTAACTGATAGAAATTATCTTCATATTATGAGTTATCAAATAACTACTTAGTTAAAATGGGTTATAAGTTCTTAGCGATATGGGTTAGGAGCTTAGTTATACTTAACAACCTATTGCCTTACAGTTTGGCAGATCTGCATAATTATTAGCATCTTAAAAAATTTTTTAAAGTTAAAAAATCGGTTTGTGGAAATCATAAATCCCTGGAAATGGTGAATATATGATCAGGAAAGTAATGAGAAACAAAAATATGGTATGAATCAAGTTGAGGAAAGAAATTTATAAATGCAATACGAAAGTCTTTCCAATGCTTATAGTAATGATATAAAATGAGTGTATTTCTACCACTATAACCGCTTTTCAACAACATCGTCTATACATTTTTGAGAGAGCCCATTCATGAAACTCGCGTTTCCCTCAACTGACCATTACTAGCTTAATCGATTAATGTTTTACTTCAGTTTAATAACATACTTGCTTCTCTATTACTCTTTTAAGCCTAGGTGGAATACGAAGCCGATTCAACACAACATTTATCTACTACACCGAAGAATGATAGTGTACGATTTCACTGAATGATTTTCTCTACGTGTAGCATCACTATTGTTAATTTCGTTGTCAAGATGCCCGTTGTCACATTTATAAAATAAAGTGCTACCTATTTTCGCTCAGTATATTTTGCGCTAAACAAATGGTAGTTTGAATGTGTTGGAAAAATTTCAGCTGAAAATAATTCAGTCGGTGATTTATAAAAATACATACACAACCAAACAATAACTCATTTTTTCTTCCGAGAAGTATTATAGAACTGAATAATCTAAAGAGCATATACGAAATAAAGACAATATCATTAGTTTTAGGATAGAGTTTTGGTAAGTGTAACATGATTGTATAAAATATCAAGTAAAAAAGTCATCTTAACTAAACCATGTTGTCAAATACTGATATATGTCAATAGAATAAGATGAAGGGCTAATCTTATTTTCATGGCTAATGATTGTACAGTATATGCTTAGACCTATCAATACAAAATATGGACAAGTATATATATTGTCACGTCAAATTAGCACATGTCAATCGAAACAACAGGCAAGGATAGATAAAGCTTAAAGAGTCTTTTAGAAAATAATTTACATCATTTTAAGAAAGAAACCATAATATAAGTGATATTATTCCAATGATTACTGTTTTCTTATCACTATTGTTTATTTCATATGAAACGTGCATAAGAAACAAGTGAATCATGGAAATTTTGTGATAATCTTTTGAACATTTAATGAATCTGAAGTCATCGCTTATTTTCTGTTTGGTTTTTTTTGGTTTCCATCATAAAGATAATGTGAACAAGTTTATCCGGAAACTCAGTTGCTGGATAGTATCATGTTTGTTTAAAGACGTGAATGATGTGGATCGAATCTCACATAAGGTCGTTGGTACATCGTTGGTAAATCCTAATTTACAGTTCCATAATACTTAATCAGTCTTATTCAGAAGTACCAATAAAATCAATTGATCAGAAACAACCATTTATAGATGAGTGAAAAAAAATGAAAGTATGGAAATACGCTTGATAATGAAAAAAATGAAATAAAATGGAATGAAATTCATGTGTACCTGCAAAAATGGGTTTTTTATTTGCACTGGTTACGTTTAAAATAGACAATGATTTAAAGTGATATTTTAGGATGAACGCTGTCGTGTTAATGATATTCACTTACGTATATATGCTTAACTAATGATCTGTGTTTCAATTACTATTCCTTATAAATACTTACTGATTCTCCTTGAGGTCCACGTGGACCAGGAAGTCCATCTTCTCCATCAAGTCCTGGCAAACCCTAAATGAGGAAACAAAAATAAATTAAACTGTAGATGAATACAAAATCTATAAGACATTCCAGATGACACATTCCTATTATTCACTCTAATTAAACAACATATTTCGTTAAAAATGTATTTTATTCAATATCAGTTATTGACAAAAATGACAGATTAACCTCAGCTAGTATCTTTGAAATAAAAGATGATCTATAAATATCAGAAGTGTCGCTATTACTGTTATATACTGTAACCAAATACGAATGTGATTTGTAAACATTTTCTTGGTTCTTATTGACATTTATGTATCAAATGTATTTGTCAATTAATTATAACCCATCGCCTGACTTCTGATTGTCAACAACCGAAATACAACTAGGTCAAGAATTGTTTACTGTCAAATAGCTTTTAATTTCAGATAGAAATAAGTTTATCAGCAAGTTATGTTAATTTCTAAACTATCAAAAGGAAGGATTTTAACTATTTTTTTAATACATTTTAATACATTTTTAATACATACTGTTTAGTAAGGAATAATGTAAACTAGGTTTCTGTTTCATTGTTAGAATATCTGTGATGTATTATTAATTTAAGACAGTAAGAGAATTAGTAAAACGCTTATTTATTAAGATATTAATCACGTAAGAATAATAGCAGATGAAAAACAAATGGACACCCTAATGGATTTAAATGTGGGCAGATGAATTTGGATATGAAACTAACCGATGTAAAAAAGTGTCTCTAGAAATTTATTTTAAATATATAGAGTTTAATCTAACTGAGTGGGCTCCAAAGGCTGATAGTGTATGTAAGAAGTCAGATCTTTAATCACTAAGTAGAGTTCAATGTAACGGAACCTTAGTACATCCCATCAAAGATATTGATTTGATGAAATTGATGACCTATTTTCCAATGGATTAGGTAAAGATACTGAGATTTTAATTAGTAGTGAGAATTAAGATATGAAACCGACTACCAGTGGTTAAGTAATTCACACAAAAAGCAATCTACAATTTTGTAATTAATTACTTAAATTAAATTTCATGAATGGGAAAGCAGTCTGAAAAAACTGTCTTATCACTTGTATATCTACATTTATTGTTTCTTTGTAACGGTGTCAGAATAGCTTACATAAATTGTCAGAAAAAACAAAAATTACTAATATGATACCTAAAAATCTTGAAAATATTCTGTGGTAACTAACTGTTGAAATTAACACATATATCGCTCAATTTAAGTTCGATAGTCCCACATACATTCATTCATGATGTTCCATTTAAGACTCAAACTAAATACCCAATCCTTTAAAAACTTGATCATTACTCATTAAACTTGGGAGTTACCATAAGTATCTCTTAGTTTCTGTAATGAAATCGTTCTTCATAATACAGATATATCTAACTGGTGAGTTCTAAATAAGACAGGGTATCTATCGTAAATCTTGTTGTTAGAATTTGTTATCACAGCTAATATCACGACATCAATACATTAAAGCGATATTACAAGAAACATTAGTTTACTTAACATTAAAGAAACGAAGAGCGAAGAGTATGTAATAACAACTTACATCTTCCCCAGGTTGACCGATTTCACCTTGATCTCCCTATAAATAAACACGAAAAAGTATTTAATTATATTTGTATATGTATATATTCACTAATAACGATAAATAAACATGGTTATTGTATTTGATTGTCAATAATGCGAATCGTTCATTATCTGTAATGATATGGACCATGCTTCTCGGTTACTTAGTTACTTCAACAACTCTCATTCCAACATAACGTTTACCATGGAATGTGAAAGAGATAACCAACTCAATTTTTTAGATCTTAGTGTAAGACGGAAAAATGATTGGAGTCATGAGGAAAGTATATATAAGGAAGAAAAATGGACAAGACAGTATTTGAACTTTAACAGCTTTTGTCCTATCAGTTACAAAAGGTGTTTAGTCAAAACGCTCTTCACTAGAATTAGGACGTTATGCTCAAGTGGCAAAATAAATGGGGAGTTAGTTATTCTGGAAAAGCATCTCATAAAAAATGAATACCCGAGGAAAATTATTATTATTATTATTTATTATTTATTATTCCAGGGATGATATACAACCAACTGTTAGGAAGAAACCTGACTTCATCTGCCTCCCGTTCCAAGGAGATACGATTTCTAGGAGAATCGATAAGAGAGTTAAAGCGGCGTTGAACAGAGGCTTCCCCGATGCTCACTTGGTTTCGCTATAAAACACCAAGTGTTCTTTATACCATTCAAAGGTAGATCAATGCCCTTCTGACGTCATCTCCAATTGCATCTATGAATTTACATGTACCTGTGGTAGCAAGTACATAGGAAGAACGGAGAGAAGGGCCTCTACAAAGTTTTCTCAACACATTCCTAAGAACCTACAGTCGAAAGGGAGTAAAGTCTTCAGAAGTGCAATTCCCAGACATCTTTTCGATATTGGACACGAATTGAATATAAGTGATGTATTCAAAATAGTCAATAGGCAAAAACAGCTATCTTACTCCGTTTTGCAAAAAGCTATCGCTATCAAACCTTTTCCGAACTGACCTATGTAAACAGAAGGAAAGTTTGATTAGCCTTTCCCTACCTTGGTGATATTTACCTAGCAAACTTTGTTAATCTTATTTTTCCTCGACCCTGTACCCAACTTTTTATTATTCTTTCATATTCTGATATTCATCTCTTCAATAATCTGACTGATGTTCATACATTTCTCTATTTTATCATGTTGAGCGATTACCTAGTCACTTAATAATTTCATTACCCTTACATAATCTCTCGATTATTATTTCCCAACATATAAATACACATTGATCTTGACAGTGTTTATTCATACACTTTATATCTCTATTTTTCTGATTGTTATGATTCTGTTTACGTGTCGAACATTTATCTAAACTTCACAAACTAAATAACTGTTATTTTAAATTGCATGCAGCCCATGAAAAACCGTCAAATAGGATGAATTCCTTTTATTCTGCAAACCTTATTGTTCTTGCTCTGTTTAAATTTATCAAAGGATCTGGTTGCATAAAAGTCGCCCAGTTAATAATTCAATCTTCATTTCAGAAGTAATGACACGTAGTACACAATCAATTGTTGGTGCGATGCAAAAATTTATTAGCTAGTAAAATTTTAAAGCAATTAGTCCCTTTGATAAATTTCGATAATGTAATGAGAAGACGAAGATTATCAGAACTATGTGATATATTAGAGCAAAACATTTCGAACAATCTGGTCACACATATACTTGTTAAGAACATTTATGTATAAAAATAAAAGGTCAACTAGACTGGAAATAGGGGTAAGAATAGGCAAGGATAATAACGATAAAATAATGTGAAAACAATTTGACACCTAATCACTCTGGATTTTTTATTTAGAAAATAGTTTTATATAATACGAAATGATAAGAATAACCGTTTTATTAATTTGGAAAAAATGAATGAATTACCTTCTCACCCATTAATCCTTGTCTTGAACCTCCAGTGTATCCTTTAGGACCTTTAGTTCCTGGTTCACCAGGTGTGCCTATCATACCTGGGGAACCAGGTTCACCTTGTTCACCATTATCTCCCTAAAGGGAAGAAAGACAAATAAATAGTGTACTTTCTTTGGGACTGCGTTCATCAATAATATGTCGTATTAAAGAGAATTTCTACAAGATTGAGCTAATCACTTTATCAGAATTCAATAAATAATAATTAGAAAAAAATTATGAAAAATGTAAAATCAAAAGAATATATTTTTATATATCTTACCGATTCACCATCACATCCACTATCTCCTTTTTCCCCTTTCATTCCCCTCATACCAGGATGACCCTTTAGAAAGCATGACATTTAATTTAACTAGACACTTACTGGATCACCATCGTTACCGGGATAACCCGGTTGACCAGGTAAACCCTGTAGAATTGAAAGAATTTTGTAGAAGTTATAAGGTAAAATATGGAGATCTTTTATTCAGCAAACAGACTTGAAGTAATTCGTGAATAACGAATTAGCTAACTTCAGACCATAACAAGTTTACTATTTAATATTCATTAAATATTGTTTGGCTAGCTACAGCTGGATACCTTACCATTTCCGTCTACAGGTACATAAATTTTCTGCTTAGCATTTAAATTACCCAGATTAATGTTATTTGTCGTCATTTTCAAAATTAATTAATCGGATACACCAACTCCAAAGAAGAGTAATCTGTTGATTATAAAGACTTTTAATTATTCGGGAAACAAAATATGTAATAAGAATTAGTTATTTCAGGTTTCTCATGTGACAGATATAAAATTATAAATAGCAAGATTTCTCATTATATAAAAAAATAGAAATAATATGTATATGCAAACCTTTTCACCTCTTGGACCCAATACGCCGGGAATTCCTTGTTCACCTTTCTCACCTAGTGGTCCACGAAGTCCAATGAGACCTATATCACCTGGAGGCCCTTCCGAACCTCGTACACCAATTGGACCAGGTTGCCCCTGTTCAAAGTTAAACATTTGTAAAACAATTAATCATTTATTAGTTTCGATTTAGGTAATGATAATAGTAAGAACAACATTCAATGAATATTTTCCACCATAATTTCCATAAATGCCTGGAAGTTGTTAGGACAGGTTAATAGAAAAGTGATTATAATTGTTCCAATATATACTACTGAACGAAAAAACTGAAGACTAAAGACAATTTCAGTATGATTTATCGAGTTGGTGAAAACGACCTGAAAAGTATTACTCCCCTTATTTAGAATGAACGTCATCCAGCCGACTTAATGTTAATATTCACGGGAAAAATTTGTTCAGAATTTTTATTGAAATAAAAAAATAGACTGATCCGTTTGATGAACCGAACAATGTATATTTGAACTACTTATAATTGCTATTCTTCATTTCGATGGCAATCAGTAGGACGTCAAAAACTTTCTTTATGTTGCAACTGACACTTATCGATAGTTTGTTACTTAAATCTTGAGGAAATTGACGTTTTTTCTAGAGAACCAGAACTGTATCACTTATCAGTCAGAGATTTTCCCATATATGTTGATCGATTTCTATCAATCAAACACAGTGACATTTCAGTTTTTCTCGGTAGCACAATTTCAACTTACTGCCATCAATAACAAAATTCACTGATGATGACAACTGAATTGTCTCACGTTTATTTCTGTGCAGTAGAATACTAAAAGAATATTTATACAAAAGAGGCATTCAGTATATCAGACTATACCTTCGGTAGTATCTAACGGACAAATAAAGACAATGGGATAACTCGAAATATTTAAATATCAAACAGATGAGTTTGGTTTTTAGGTATCAATGCTAATGTTGGACTTGGTAGTTTAAAGTAAGTTGAGCTTTGTGTAGAAAGTTAATAATAAATATATTTTTGTTATATCCCGATAAACAACCGAATATTTATTTACTCTGCAGAAGTGGCTTACACTAAGTCACGAAACGTCAGAAATATAATCTTTCTACTAATTGGGATATAACAAAAATATATTTATTAGCAGACGAGTCTGGTGTTAATCTGGTATGAAATCTACCATTCCAATTCTAATTTAAAGTTTATACAAAATAATTATATGAATAGAGATACTATTTAAGGGATACGAAATTTTCAACATTTATGAAATAAAATCTTAGTAGCTCTAAATGATTTTACTAACAAAGTTTGATTATTAAAAAGTTTGTAGTTGGTCAAATAAGCTGTTAAACAAAATTACGTTTGAGTAGATAAAGATTTACCTGTATTCCCTGTGGACCGACACACTGACACTTTTCAGGAGCACAAACTATTGCACATCGATCTAGATCAGATTGCTAACAAAAGAAAAGAAAAGGAAGTTAGAGGATTAAATATCTTTCATCTATAACAGTAGAGATTACGAGAGTGATTTATCAAGTCAGAAATAAACTAGTAACATATTACAGACATGTATCGCAGCATAATATCTATTATAAATTAATGATAATGATTGTGCCCCTAAATCCCCTGACACGGTCGGGGTTGAGGCGTGTCAGCTCTCCCTCTCCAAATGCTCTCACATGACCACGCGTATACAGTCACTACCACACAAGTCCTACTCACTGCCTTCTCGCAGTGCGGACGTTATTTACGAAATCGAAAGGAGGAAAAGCGAATATCCGACGCTTCAACCACATTAGTGGATGCTGGAAAACCCTGATTCCACACCGATGGTGCACGTGGGCTCCAGAATCCTGAGGGGACAAATGGCGTATGAACCAATTATTGGTTACTGGCTATCATGGGACTGCATCACCTAAAGCTGCTCCACTGCCTTGTGGATTAGACCTTTAAGTCAAAGACTTGAGGAGTGGCCCTCCGATAAAATCACCTGTTTCGGTTTGAGCACCCAGGGAGTATTTCATCCCTCACACGAACCAAGTGATTTGTGTCGCGCATAAATGTTTGTTGACTCCTTGTACCAATGTTTATGTGTTTGAATAAATAGACGTTAAATCTTTTGGTTTGTGCCTCGAATAATATATGACATGATGATGCTACCAATTAGTGTTTTATCGATCAAACCAATGACACACGAAACCCGTACAAGCAGTCTAGAGTACTTATCGGTCCTGCTTTCTGCCTAGCACAGCCAGTTAAGTCCAGAACACCAATAACAGCCTCTGCAATATGAATCATTTATTTCAAACATACTAGGTTTATGTACCAACCAGACAGACGACGCCGTACCATAAAATAGGATACAGCATTTGCGCAAAATTTAGCTAAACGTAGCTGTAAATAAGGGAGATAGTAATTAATAGACTGGGTGTAACTCAAGAATGGTAAATCGTATAATAATAGTTCATAGGTTGAAATAAAACTTGTAATGAGAGGGAGGCGAACATGAATAGTTTAGTAAGTTAACAATTATGCAGTAAAAATCTATGTATCATATTGCTCCATAAATGGTTCTCAAAAGTTACCATTCATAGTTCTCTTCCAGATATAACAATAGATAAATAAAATAATGATTGTTGTTATTTTTGCTATATTAAAGACGTTAGTGGAAAATACTTTACTGACAGTCGAAAGGAATTCGGGAAACCATGCATCTGAAAATTAAATCCCTGTAATAATAGAAGCTATCGGCTGGTACTTACATGTTGTCACATAACATAGTGAAAATAATTTACTCGTCAGTAAAGTTGCCAGTATGTACGTGAACGAATAAACTAATTCATTGATTCTATTCGGGTTACATATAAAAAGTATATCTAAGGAATCATTCGTCTTAGTTCCAAATAATTTTATTATGGTCTGTGGAAAGAATTATTACGTCAACGAATTTTCAAGAGGCACAAAGTTTACTTTTAAAGATGAAAGAAATTTTGTGTATAAAAATATTTACTTCCGTCTTATGCATTACCAAAGGCATAATTGCACTTATGGGTTTGCAGTATAACATTTTTTTCAGACTTTTTGTTTTGCTCAGATATTCAATGAGGAATCTTTTTGTAAAATCAATTTTTTCGAATCATAACAGTTTCATGCCTAATTTAATTTTTTTTTGATCGAATTTTCGTATTTCAAATATTTTTACTTCGATTTCATTGACTTTTTATTCAACATAATGAAGTTTCGTTTACTATGTACTGAATTTTCCGGAAAAAGACGATGGATTCTTCGCTGCATACACAATGAGTAATTGAATTTTATATGGAAATCACTAGAAATTTAGTTCATGAAAACATTATTCATACAATTATGAATTTTTCGAAATTTGCTCTACATGGAACAATTCAAAATAAGTAAAATCTCTGGCACGAGACTGGTAGGTCCTGGGTTCAAATTTCGCGAAACGGGATCTTGGATGCGCACTGTTGTAGAGTCTCACAATAGGACGAAACGGCCGTTCAGTGCTTCTAGGTTTTCCATGGTGGTCTAGCTTCAATTGACTAATGATTTCAACCATGTTAAATCACTGAATTTCTTTTTTCTTATAAATGTGTAATTTCAAATGTATTTCATTCTTTTCATTCTTACTAGTATAATTAATACAACAATTGTACATTGTTGCCTAAAGGTAAGAGCATGAAACATTGTTAAATCAACTATGAAAATGTTCACCCTATTTATTATTGGATAATAATCTTTTAAAAAGATAAATTTAACTGATTACATCATTTTCAAAATGTTTTTTTTCCAATTTTGCACTTTTATTTACACATTAGTTATAGTTTGAAGATGTACATTTTCAAATTTTTTTAGGGAATGATCACTATTTTTGGTTCTTTTTTCCACATACCTTTTGATTAAAGATGACACCATATAACATATCTTTAATGAAAATTCCTTTTTGTTATATTTCAAATTAATTTGATTATCTAATGTCTAAATGTAGATTAGTAGAGTTTAACACAGTTAATAGACATTAATGTCAATTTACCAGATATATATATATAAACTATTGAATGATAGACTCTATTCTTGTTATCTTAACGTCAGTCTTGTTTCAAGAATTAGTTTACACAAATATTAAGTTACATTAGTTTAAATGATCTATTGCGTCAGTATACTATAAAAAGTTATTTTATTTATACGACAAAATGGAAATTTGATTTACAACATAATGTCAAGGTTATATGCCTTGACACTTAAAAGTAGAACTAAATTCAACCATTCCTTATTTACAAAAAGAAAAAAGTTAACCTTTTTCTTCAATAATTGTTGTGTTTTTTTTGTTCAAATAATATTCCGAGTTTTCAACTTGATGAGAATGACAATCAAAAGTTTACATTCAAAAATATAAACTTTAACAATCATGACATTTAAACGTATTCACTTTAAGTAAGAAGTTAAACAACATAAAATGTTATAAATGTATATTTACTTTGAATTGTATTTCTGTCTATATGTATATGTAATACCTTCAGAATTATAACAGATAGTAATATACAACACTTTTATGAAGCATCTTCTACTAATAAAACAATGTTGAAATGTCAAAGGTGATGATGATTTCATTTACTTCACCAAATTAAGAGATCATGTAAAAACGATAAAAGTTTCAGATTGGCAGATTACATCTAACATGATATTGAGCTAATTGAGTCAATATACAACTAAAAGTCAAAGAAGAACTGGAACGTTTTCAAACCTAAGCTAAATGACTTTATCAACAGGTGTTTTATACACAAGTGAAGTTTCAGATTGATTGAATACTATAAGAAATATCTATCTTCTGAGTAGACTAGATTGTGGATACATAAAAGTTTTATGAGCTTTATTATTTTTTATAAAGTGAATAAACACAATCAAATATCTTCATTATTTAAGGGAACCATGATTTTACATTTTTTTTTAAAAAAACTTTATTTTGTCATTGTGAACTGTTGATAAAAGGCTTTCAGTGAACATTTGTAAATTGACGATAAGGTTTATGAAAAATTTATTCGTTTCGTAAATGAATGCAAATTTATATTATTAGTTGGCAGCATAAATTAACACCAGATGAGTATTTACTGAAAACCATGGAATTTTTAATATTAAATAATGTTGCTAATTTATAATTAATCAATAGTGCTCATTCTCATAATTTATCTTAGAAATAATTCCATAACACTTTAAAGAAATCTTTCGAATTATATGAAAACGCTCTTAAATCCAGTTCCTACACAATCATAGGTTCAGTAGATAGATTATTATTGTGACAGCAAAATTATGCTAAGCCTGAAGTATAATTGTAATCATTTTTATATTAAATTTGTTTTGCACTTAACCTGTAATGTGATATGATCAAAATTTCCATAATCTAAATGAAACGTCAATTATAGTTTTTAGACGATTATATATAGAATGAAATTTAAATATTTCAATAATAAATAATACAGATACTATTCTATATAGTTGAGATCATGAGTCAATTGAAGCTAGACCACCATGGAAAACCTGGAAGCACTGGACGGCCGTTTCGTCCTATTATGGGACCCATCAGTGGTGTGTATCTACGATCCCGCCTCGCGAGACTCGAACCCAGGACCTATCAGTCTCGCGCGCGAGCTTAAATTGAGTCATGATCTCAACTATATAAAATTACTAAAACCTCTACCAAAACCTCCTTGTAATACAGATACTATTCATTTAATTTACATGAAATTATAATGATGACTGTATTAATTTTATGTATTTTTCAATTAATATTTAAAAGTCTGTCAATATTTCGAAGAAAAATTCATGAACTCACAAAGAGTTATTGGTGTAGACGTCATCAAATATGTTTTTTAGCGTACTCTTAAAAGAATTAACGTTGATTTTGCGAATAAATCAGTAAACTGTCAAAATCAGTACAAATGAAAGCAACTATTTGAGAAAATGTGGAAACATTGTTTAAATGACATTGAATCCTTAAAATTTTGACTCAAGAAAAGTTTCTGTATTTTCTACGGTATAATTTAAAGAGTTTTCGTTATTTCTGAATATGATGGAACTGGGTGTTTTTCTCATAACCACTTTTTTGCATGAATCAGTTTGGCAATCATGTTTATTATGAGGTAGTCTAATATCCACTTGGAAAACAAGAACCAATTTCAAAAATCTTCAGTGAATACAAAAGGTTCTTGTTTATATCATTGATATCAAATGTGATAAATAATACCCTAGTTATGACAAATAGAAACTTACGGATCTCACCAACTGAGCGATTACTACAAGATATAATCCAACTAAGTACAACAATCGTTGTAATGAGTTTCTGAAAGTAGGTAAGATAAAAATGAATAAATAATTGTGTGTAAACGCAGTTACCGAAAATCTTATACGAGAACTGGATATCCATTGTTCAATACGTTTCATATACAAGAAACCAAGAAACATATTTAATGAAATGGACAGTATTGGACTAACATAAATCAAACTGTTCAGATTTTCAACGGGTTTAATTAACAAGATATTGACTGAAACTAAACTGATATTCGGAGCAATAAAATCCTGGCATTCAGTCTTTGGATCATTAGCCTATTTAGTTATAGAAAGGGTAGAAAAAATATTCAGAGTACTTACGTAACAATTATTCATTATAATACCCCAGTATAGATGAGCAGCATAAACTAATCATATGTCAGAAAAAGTGTATATATCAAGCTACAGATGCTGTTAAACCGAAATTTTAAACATCTCAAATATTGTTGAGCGCACGTTTAACTGTTAAATTGTAACAATACAAACTGAAGATTGCAAAATGACCGTTAAGTGTAAGCCACATCAGCGAATTGAAACGTGAAGCCTGAAATATTCAGCCTAGTAATACTAACCCCTAGGCGTTGTTTAGATCTTTAATTTGTTGGCTTAGACAATCAAATCATTGTTATTATCATTATTATCACTACTGCTTGTTCTACACGATCCATGTATTACAATGATTTGAATATATGAAATTTGACCATTTATGATATGGCAACTATTAATTACAAAAAAGACCTAAACCGAAATGAAACTGCTGTTCTTCGTTTTTTTTTGCTCTATAACTGACACCAGTTACTGGTGTAATTTACCTTTACACTATGCAAAATCTTTAAAAGACTGTTTAATTCAATGAAAATATAACATAAGTTTTACATCAAATACTTAGCCTCAAACTGCACACCCTTCAAATGGTGAACAATAGAGTTATCACTTCTGAGATTTCATTTAAACAACTGAATTCTAAGTATAATTTAAAATATTGTAATCTATGTAAGACATTTTAAAATGTTTAAATTGTGCAGTCTAAAAATAGTAAATTAGTTAACTAGCTATTTAATGATTACCACAAACAGATCGTACACATATCATATGCTTTGAAAGTTTGATATTTCAGTTAATTATTTGTACCATTTTAAGCTGAATTAATTATTATTCTATTCTTCAAAATTACGTTCTATCCATTTTATTAGGGTGTTTATCGTAATGAGTTACAAATGGAAACAATTTGTTTTTATGTATCTACAGATTTGCAAATTTACATTGTTATCTAAGGGCGAAGATCTAATTGGCTTATTTATAAGAACTCTCGTCCAAATTAGAACGAATAGTTTCGCAGTATTTGAGCGCCGAGTTGAAGTAAGACATTAAATAGGAATAATATATTTGTAAAATCTCAGCGAATGAATTTTTTAAATTAAATCCAACGTTTCGCCTGGCAATCTGGTCCAAGCTTTTTCAAGGAATTACAAATATATTATTCCTATTCAATTGGCTTATTATTTTTTTAATACGGTACATATTATCATATTAAATAATGATAGTAACTGACTTGATTAATAATCTGTGAATGAAATAAGGATAATTCATTAAATAATTAGACTATTAACTGTTAAAAGCCTACAGTAATTATTCTGCTCCTTATCATCAGCTTGACATTTTAGCTATTACTTCTTCATTATCACGATTAAACCAAATACATTTCTTACTTTAATAGAAACATGAATTCTCTTACGATGTTAAATACACATCGTTGATCAATATAACAATAGTATAGCATTCATAATGATTATCTTTACAAATTGAAGGCACTTAACTTTCTATCTAATAAAAGAAACGGGGTCTTAATGTATACATATACTCTAGAAAATTCATGCATTGAAATAATTCAATAAAAGAATTATATTCAAATTAATTTGTAAAATTGACTTACACTTTGGATAGTACATGGAATTTGAACATTATCTTTCATATGACCACAGAATAGATTGAATTTACTGTCTCACAGATGATATTCAGTGACTGAACAAAAGCAAAATGTAACAATATATAAGTGTATATTAATTCCAAGATTGAATTTTCTATATATATGTAGGTAAATTATTGTAAAGACGGAAATAATTCTGGAGTGATTTAAAACTATGAAATTGATAATCAGTAAAAATTAGATGTCACTGTTTATCTAGTTTTGTGTCACATATATCCTGATAAATAATCGATTTAACTTTTTATCCCCATGACCTGATCGTTAATATACTGTGAAAATGGTAATCACATTTGCATGCATGTACTTATACTATAGATATATATATACATATTTGAATGTATTACCTAGTGTATTTGTAGGACTATATTTCTGTACGTTTGTGTGTATCGACTTATACATATGTACAGTTTACATTCATCTACAGCTGTGCCCGTTTGTGTTAATTGACCTAGAAACATATGTATGTTTGTATTTCCCTACATCCTTTTGCTGCTACATCAAATAGGCCATCACATAAGTTAGATGTTGCACTACTCACCTAAGTTTCATGGCGAATTTTACTTAAGAATTTGATGCTATAAAATGTCACAATTGCAAAAATAAATATAAATGTAGATGTATATTCTGATTACCTACGGTTTATGATTCACTGTTTATTACTTTGTGTTATATCCTATACGGAACAACATTGGAATAGACAGAGAAAAAAGAGAAAAGTGCTACAATTGTCTACCTGTTGAATGCTACGATTGTGCCTGTCTAGTATACAGCATAAAATAAATTTTATAGCCCTACCAATCACTAGAGATTTTCTGTCCTCTCCTCATCTGTCTAATCCATAACCCATTATGTGAGTGCACACAAAAACAACAGTAATAATAATGATAATAACGATGACGACCACCTAATTCAGTTGCTTTGTCTGACCTCATATGCCTACACAATATGCCATAGTTGTGTATATGCTTATGGTGTATTGAAAATAAGGTAAAAAGTAATCTGAAACACTTCTATCGGTAAACATAATAAGACTGATTTCAAGGTGAACAAAAATATTGTTTGTTTAGATAACATGAAAATACCTGAAAACATCTCTTTCTTCGAACAAATGTACTACTAGCTTCTTTTAGTCAAGTAGTATAAAAGCATAGGTATATGTTTATTTTCAGTTGTACGGAAAACAACAGCAAGAGTACCTTAGGTTGAATATTTTCATTTCAAATAAGAAAACAGTAGCAGATAATAAATGACATCCCTAAAACAAATGTAATAGTTTTATGCAGTATCTACGATAAAAATGCATAAATTCAAAGTAAATTAGATTTAGAACTGTTTATACAGTTAGTTAACTATTATGTCACATTTATCATAAGCCCATTATTCTACATTTATTCTTTCAACTTCCAGATTGACCTCATAACACCTTCGTTCTTTTAAACTTAGATAAATGGCATAAGTATAGGTAGCATATATACAACAATTTGACGTTTGATGAGAGAAACCAATCATACCCCGATCTTCAGAGATACTCCGCATGTATTGCCTTACTTGTGTCTAGATTAGGTATCAAGATTTTCAGAATCATGTTGTGAATACGTTAAGCCAAAATTTCCTCTCATTGTATCAAGTTTATTTAGTGTTTTAATGTTTTGATGATAGGACACCCCATAAAATTATTCGATCAACACATATTTAGCCATATATTTAGGTGTCTGATATGATCTACTAAGGCTGTAAATCTGTGTGGTAATTACTAACTACTTTGTTATTTAACAAGATATTCCATTCTTTTATAAGGCTCTTATTCTATGGGTCACAATATTTGAAGCTGATGGCTGGGTTCCATAAAACAGTTTCGTTAATACCATAGTTAATTAATTGAAAAACTACCCAGCTGTGATCAGTATTGATATGAAATGTGTAAATAACTTTAACACTAAGATAGTTAATAGTCTACGTTTTTACAAGGTTCTGATTACTTAGTGAAGCAAAACATAACTGTTACACAACTAACTGGCTGTTGATCATATACATTATCAAAACGCAAACAATAAGAACTAACTTTTGAAACTTGTAACCACATATGTGTTCAGCATACCAAAAGGTAATTTAAAACTAAGAGATGGAAATTCAAGGGATATGAAATGTGTCCTTGAATTTGTAGCTCATTTGCTTCTTATTGTCCAATATGTGTGCAATATCTATCATTTTTCTATTCATTTAGGGAGTGGATTTTATATTTAAGAGCATAAGTTTCACTTGTGATTTCATTTTAAGCTCTAAAGTTCACTTTATTTACTTCTTTCCATCCGTCAAATCGGAATGAACTACAGTAGCGCGTTCACAGAGGACATATGTAGATAATTTTACATAATTAATATAAAGTCCTATGCGAAAATTACATTCTTATATGATGCACTGAACCCTTAAACAGACAGAATAATGCTCGAAAATTCTAGATATTTCACTGTCATATGCAAAAAAGCTATTTATTAAAGCAACTACTGTTTTTACAAAGTTTGTTACTTGTTCCCTCAACAAAATCTTTTACACAAAATCTCTTTAATTAAATTACATAATAATGAACGCGATTAATCGGAATTTAAACATTAATTTAATAAAATACGTGAATTTAACTTGAATGATTTTAGTTTCCAATTTTTAGCCATCTATTAATTCCACTTTATAAGTAAAACTTATAATTGAAATCATGAGTCAATTGAAGCTAGACCACCATGGAAAACCTGGAAGCACTAGATGGCCGTTTCGTCCTATCATGGGACTCTTCAACAGTACGCATTCACGATCCCACCTCGCGAGATTGAAACCCAGAACCTACCTGCTAAGGAGTCCCAAAATAGGGCGAAACGGTCGTCCAGTGCTTCCAAGTTTTCCATGGTGGTCTAGCTTCAGTTGACTCATGATTTCAACTATGAAAATACTGAAATCTCCACAAAACCCCTTCTGATAAAACTTATAATTCAATCTTTCGGTTTTGTTTTTACTGTTTGTAACCATTTTCATTGACATTCATAAAAAAACTTTTCCAAATCTACGTTTTGGGAATCGGTTGAATAAATTATATTCCTTCATGTATGAGAAAATAACATGTTTCTGTCCTACTTAAGCATCTCAGTAGAAAAACTTCACAACAGTAAACAAAATAAAAAGTGGAAAGTCAGGATTGAATTATCTAATTCATTGAGTTAGAAAATAAAACGATGGTTGGCATACCCTTCAAACATGAAGATATGACGTACAGAACAAAACAAAAGAAAACCAACTAAACACTTTGAAAGCTATAAGAATAAGCAAATAAAATGATCTGATTTCATAGAATTTTAAAATAAACGTACAAATGATACCGGGAGACTTTATTTACAATGATAAACTGACTTTATTCAACCATGTTTTTCAAAATTCAATGTATAGATTCTATTCTTAATCTTTATATGGAGTTAGCTATATTCACGTAATACGTAATTTAATTACTCTTCATTCGAATTTGTTAAACCAGTAGTTTTTAATGTGTCAATAAAACTCAATTCAAATATGATTGCTGCGTTCACTAACCGTAATCTTCTTGGTATGAGTTACGTTGAGAAGTACTTCATCAAAATAAAACCTATATGTACATGAAACTCATTGATATTTTCTAAGCGGTTGAACATTAAGGAAGAAAATTATATTTGTAAAAATCTCACCTATTGAAATTTAAGCAAATCCAACGTTTCAATTGTTAATCTGATCCAGGGCTTGCCAAGGAAATATAATTAAGTATCAGAATTATCGAACATGCATGAATAGTTCACCGGTTAACTTCATGCCAAACAAGTCGTCCAACAAAGTTAACAGTGTTAACTCCTGAGTTCAGTGAAGCACTGGCTCATGCAATAGGGTAATTTTCAATTCATATATATTGGTTGTTTGGGTCTTCTCAATGATGTTTGGGACTGTGATTGATCAGTCTTTTTTGGCATTTGTGCATCCTGTGGAGATCGCTTCGATATTCTGAGAAGAATTTCAAGAAAAGATGATATAGATAATGTGAATTGAACATGTCACAGCATGCATAAAATAATGATAAGTAAACAAACAGATTTTCGTTTCATCGTGTTAACCAAGATAAGTATTCGTCGTACATTCAGTAAACTAACTGATTAGAACAGGCGAAAGTAATCATTGTTGTCCACATAATAAGAGATGGATTAAATGAAGCGAAATATAATAAGGAGTCTATATTTACTTATTAATCATTAGTTGTCATGAGACAGCTGATTTCATTTCATCTCTGCTATTAATATTGTTTGGATTTGCTCGTATATGTAGGACATCAACTACTATACTCTCTTTGTACGAACTAAAACCCTCCTGCAGGATTCTTGTGTCATTAAAATCAGTGGTATAGCCCGACTCTATTGCGTGTAGTACTATCGCTAACTTTTCTAGTTTTTGAGATCTTCTAGAGATTCATAAATGTGCTCCAAGAAAAGTTTGTATTCCTTCACCAACACATTCGTCTTCCGTGATATCTTATTCACATATGTAGCATTACATTCATAACATTTAATTTGATATTCACTAATTTATTGTTCCCCCTTTGCTAGTGCGTCTTTGATTCCTAGTAATTTGGAGTTTAGAGTATTGTTTGTTCAGAAGAATAGTCTTATATTGTGACGATTTGGTATCCTTCTGGAAATGTTCTGAAGCCCCTTTGCAATGTACGATCACCGTGTTCACCTGTTCTTTTGGTGTATCTTTTCTCTGATTTTTCGATTTCATTTTTTTATACAGTCTCAAGGATAAATATTCATCGTCATAGTGAACATTTTAGTTTATTTATCACTAGATCCGATGACAAGTTTTCAAACCCTACCTTTCAAATTCTTCAAAACTGCCACCCTTGTAAAAAAAGCATGTGCTGATTTGCAATCAAGTTATTTTACGGAATATATTGATTTCCAAACAATCAATACGTTTTATTTCAGTTATACAATCCAGAAAATGCTGTTTGTGTTCATTGGGTCCCATCTCTCCAGTAAATTTGATGCCACCAGATATACTGTTGACGATTTCTAAGAAGTTCATGTAACTCATTCCATTTCGTAAGAATAAAAGTGTCATCTGTGTACGTCAATCAGATTTTTGTTGGATGAACTTAGTTCAGAAACTAGTTGTTCTCCTATATTCATTTCGACGTAAATAACAAACAAAGAGAATTAAGTGGAATCTACTAAATACATATAACATTATATTAATGGATATGGTTTATATAACTAAATCTTTAGACATCATTATATCTAAGAAGTAAAATAAATAAGAGTATGACTTTAAAAAGATAGGTGCTTTGAATATATTCAACAGTAATTACAATGGTAATTACATTTAATTATTCCCTTTAGTACAGAAAACACCTTTGACTTTCAATTATTACCACTATAAATAATAATCGTAATAAATCATAAGTTGCTTTTTCTTTAAAGAAAATCGCTATGTTGATGAGTACGTCAAAAATCAAACACAATTTAAAAATAAGTAAATACATGGTCTATCGAATGAACAATCTAGATTAGGTATGATATAAAGAATGTTTATTGAATCCTTTTGTGATTACAATACCAACTGAAAAATACTGTCAAAGGATTTATTACAGTTATTTCTAACTGATAGAAATATTTGCAGTTAGATATAATATACATTAAAACTTTATTGACTAGATTTATTGGTATAAACCTCAATTATTCTAATATAAATTTTATTATATAAGAACTTTCGTCTAAATTAGAGCGAATAGTTTCACAGCATTTGGGCGCCGTGTTGATGTAAGACATTAAATAGGGAGGGATATATTTGTAAAAATCTCAGCGAATGAATTTTCAAGTAAATCCAACGTTTCACCTGGCAATCTGGTCCAAGCTTTTTCAAGGAAATACCTTATCTCCTCGAAAACTGAATACAGTTGAATGTAAACATAGATCTGACGCTTTAATAATATCTAAGGTAATTAGAGGACAGCGTTGTTTAACTTCATTGTCAGAATCTAAGAGATTATACGAAATATCTAAAGCTTTCTTAACTGGAACATTAGTGAATAATGAGCATACATCAAAACTTGCCATTATTCCATCTTCTATGCGAATATCAGTGTTAATGTCTTTGAAATCATTAGAATCTTTTATTCCGTATTTGATTACGCTTTCATATAGTTTAAGAATCTTAACTAGGTATCTGGAAAGACTGTAGGTTGGTGAATTTGTATAATCAACCACAGGTCTTATTGGGATATTCGTTTTATGTATTTTTGGTAGTCCATAAAATCTACATGGTTTGTTGCTTTTTGGATATAGAGAAAACCATAGAGATGGTCCTAGTTTGGATTTTAAAGTCTGTAGCATTTTGACTGTTTCGGCTTTCAACTTATTCAAAGCTACTCTACATTTGTTATTCTTGATTTTTTTTATCTCCTCGAAAAAACTTGGAACAGATTGCTAGGCAAAACGTTGGATTTACTTGAAAATTCATTCGCTGAGATTTTTACAAATATATCCCTCCCTATTTAATGTTATACATCAACTCGGCGCCCAAATACCGTGAAACCATTCGCTCTAATTTAGGCGAAAGTTCTTATATCTATTGGTTTAAACCCCAATTGTTCTAATATAAATTTTATTAGTCATAAAAACTCAATCGAAACTGAAGTTCATACAACATTATCTATATTTATATATTGGTAATAATGAAACAGTAATCCTAAGTAGATATGTAATTATTAAAGCTTGAAAATCACATAGAATTCTCAAAGTTGAAAGCATGATTCAATTGAAGCTAGACCACCATGGAAAACCTGGAAGCACTGGACGGACGTTTCCTCCTATTGTGGGACTCCTCAGCAGTGCGCATCCACGACTTGGCTTGGCGAGATTTGAACCCAGGACCTACCAGTCTCGCGCCAGAGCAGTTAACCGATAGACCACTGAGCCGGCATCCGATGGTGTTAGTGCATAACTCAAACTAATCCACGAAGTTGAGCAACCGTTCCCCAATTGTCTTCAGTGAGTTCCTATCTCACAACAGACGTGGTTTAAATGTTATTTAAATAAAAAATTATTTACTAGTCTTTTACATAAAAAAGTATCATAGAATATTATCATTTTTGTTGTATTCATTATACATAAATTAGAATATTTTGATAAGTTCAAACTGTTGTATCATAAAAGTTATCAAATAACCTCATATGTTAATATGCTCAATATAACTAATAGCAGTTCAAACTGTTTAGTCTTACAATCAATATTTTGAAACCGTCCTTCACAAACCGTTATCTCAAAATTTATAGTACTCTAGATGTTAACACATCAACTTTTTTTTATGGAAATGCAGCTAATCTTAACGATCCAATATTGTTCTGAATTAACCAGTAGCATTAGACAGCCAAATAATTCTTCAAGTAACAGAAATAATCTAATGTCTCATGGAAGAAGAAAGAGTTAGATCAATGCACAGAATATTCTCTTTGTCGATAAAGTTGTACGATCATGTTTACAATTATTTCTTAAATTTCCGAGTCTAAACAATAAATTAACAATTAAACTATCACTTGTTAAGAGTAAATAATTAAACATTTATCAGTAAGATGTTTTAAATGGTGGAGAAGATTTGTAGCTTAGGTAGGTGATTTTGATGTAATTTTTATTCTCTGAGCTGGATGGTTTGATCGCGGAGCTTTCATCGTCCTTCTGAACGACATCATCAGCACAAACTTCGAGTAGAAGTGAAGTGTTTGAATTTCTCCACATGAAAGCTTCACCACCAAACCATCCAGCTCAGAGAACAAAACTCTATCAAAATGTTTTAAATGTATATTTCACTGGATAATGATACATCATTTATTGTTCTTTTAAATTATCATTTCTAAAAATAGATTTGTATCAAAACTGATTTCATATACATGTTAGACAAATTAATTTTATACCCTTGAAATAAATCATAAATATAGAAGAACATAACTGTTATATAAATCAAATAGACTTTATTTCCAAATGTTCATTTTTGTTCTGCTTTCAATGTTGTTATTTGAAAATCTTTATCTAGGGGTGAAAAGCTTACCAATAATAATAATAATAATAATAATAATAATAATAATAATAATAAAAGGAAACTTTCACACATATTGATATGGATTTACATCTATGTGAAACAGATCTATTTTTCCCATATGTCAAAATTCATTTTTAAGTAGAACTTACCTCACAAGAAGTAGATATATTAATTTGATTGAATTATTCAACACATGTTTGGTTGTTCTCTGTGTTTTTTTTCTTTTCAATGAATTATGATTAGAAACATAGTTAAACAGATCTATTCTCATACATTTACATCATTTGTCTTGAAAAGTAAACTTTCTTAGATGAAATATTATTGAATGCATAAAATGGTTTTGTCATAATTTGAAGAAGAAGAAGGAGGGGATGATGAAGAAGAAGAAGAAGAAAAAGGAAGGATTGATATGAAAAGCACACTTATCTCTCTTTCCTACTTCCTTCTTTGCTACATTCTATTCTTGACACTTTGGTTGTCATTCCTTCTAGTCTCTTTTTTTTATTTACTATTTCATATTTATTTCTGATTTTTTGGTTGTTTACTTATTTTACATTCAATTTGTTTCCTAATAAGTAATGTATGATTGTAATATTCAATTTACTCTGTCCTTAATATTGGACTAAAATTAAAAATCCATTTATGATAGTTCAATGATTATTTCGATGGATAGATAGATGGATAGAAAGACAAAAAAATGTTATGCCATTAAAAATAGCCAACATTATCATCTTTCATTTATGTATAGGATAGTGAATTTGACACATTCGAGTAATGTATATACAAATGTCAATTATATAAAGAAATAAAATATCTCATATATATTTAGTTCATTCTTTTAATGTTTTGATAAGATTTTGTTTCTTCCATGTATAAATCTTTTACCACTATTTCCCTTCTCTGATACATACTTCGTATCCATCCATCCATTCATTCATTCATTCATTGATCAATTCAATGTTTTTCTGGGAAATTCGAAAAATTCAAAAGTGGATATCATTTTTTGGCACAATTTTGTTATAAGTCAACAATAGTTAAATTTAAAAAAATGTTCGTATATAGTTTTTTTGGGTTGAAAATAACTTTGTTTCTAATGAAAAACATCAACCGTTAATACTTTTTAGTTATCTGTAGTATATGAGTGAATAATTTGAACAAATGGTTATATTATACATCAATATATTTCTTTCCAATGAACAAATCAATAAACCCTGTGTAACAACCCGAAAGTAAGAAATACAGCTATAATTAAACATTTTGTAGAAAAGTGTAAGGTGAAACAGATGATATAAAGAGGAAAATGAAGAAAAACAAGAGGGGAGATCAGAGGGAGAAGAATACTAACTAAAATAAAATCAAATTTAAGAGGAATGAATTGATAAATGAATCCAAATGGATAAACATACATACGAATAGTTCAAATGTATTCATCATTAGTTGTTTTTTCTTACAAATGTATACATATTAACTAATCTTCATTTGTGGATATGTATGCGTATTTGGGCATGAATAGGTGAATTTACACAAGCTTATATACTTATAAGTACAACATAAAGATTTTCGCGTAACGAAATTTCACCATTCAAACCTACATATAGTAGTGAATAACTTAATCTTTTTATTTGTGATACTCTTTATGATTGGTTACATTTCATCAAGTGCTGTCATTTGAGGTTGATGGACTTGGCACTGATAACTGATTCGAAAAGTTTACTATTCGAAATTCGGTAAGGGTTCGAAAACGCTCTTATGAAATCTGAATCTTTAGTAAATTTGCCGAAAGAATTCTTTTTATTTATCTAAAATACGGGTGATCAGTGACTGGAAAGAAGAATATGTGTCTAGAATTTATTTAGAAGTTATATAAAATTATGAGGCAGCTCGATGCTATTTCTTTATGAAAATTATTGCAAACCCAAACGACATATTATCCACCTCGCTATTGATAGCTAATTAGTTGTTCTCTAGTTCTTACATACTAGACGAAGCTGGAGGTGGGGTTCGCGAGTTTGACGCACATAAAACTCCCTTGGGTTTTGATGTTAATTAGACTATACGTTGTCTAAAGCCAAATTTGTATGTGAAAAATTTATTTTACCATTTCTTTAATCAAAATGGTTATTGTCTTCTTTATGCTTTCTCATTTTCATCTTGTTTTCCATCTTATTTTCATCTTTGAACTTCATCAATGATTATTCTCCTGAATCCATAACATTTTCAACCAATAAACATAAACGTTGTTGATTAGTATTAGTATTATTGGTAATTTTTCTCCTTTAGTCAAGAATTATTCTCCTATACAGTTACCTTAGTTTTCCTATTTCAAAAGTCACGTCATAATTTCCCATCATATTATATCGCTTACTTTCTGGTACTTATTCTTAGCACATCTACTTAATCTCCTGACTCATCAGGTCAGTCTCTTATCCACTCGTATAGCTTGTCATGGATTTACAAACTCTATATACTGGTATTACACAAAACAGTTATGTGGCGTTAAAAAGTATGAAATTATTACAATAGGTTTAGTTTGCTAACCTATTTGTTAATGTTTAGATGACTAATATGCAATGTTAAACGTGAATAAGTTTGTAAGCAAAGATGGATATCAGCTAGCAGTGGAATCCAGGACGCGCGTTTCGTCCTATTTGGGACTCTTTAGCTGGATGTACCTGCATCCTAGATTTGATGTTAACTTGACGAATCTCAAATAGGACGAAACGCGCGTCCTGGATTTCACGACTAACCACCATCCATCTTTGCTTACAATGCTTGTAACTTAAGGCAATATCGAGTTAATACTCACAGTATGTACATATGCCAATAAGAAAATGATCAATTGCAGTCCGAAATACCAATTGGAGGATTCAAGTAAACAGTACCAAGTGAATTTGAATAAGTTTATACCTTAAATGAGATTGTAAGATTAATGAGATGAATAAATATGGGTAACATAGGGTGAAAGAGATAATAACGTAATTAAAAACTAAAATCTATGTTTGCTCTGGGATTACGTAATGCATAGGATTATATGAATTAGATAAGAATTAGTAAATAGGATTGCGTGTTAAATAAATTTCCCAAGCGTTTACAAGCCTGATAATAATAATAATAAGACAAATTTATGATAATAAAAAGAGGAAAATCGTGTGTACATTAGTCAAATAATATTCTAATTTCTTCAAAATATATTGACTACTTGGGTCAAAAATTTCCCAAGATAAAAAAAGCGGTTGAAAGCGGACACAGATCTCCGACTTTTTAATATAAGCAGTTATTAATTCAACAGTTTAAAAGATTATGAGTTTGACGGATTTAAGCAGATAACTATTAACTTGATTTGTTACAATAAATGGCTGATCCATATTAGCTATATAATCCTTTTGCTTCAACACTAAGTATATTACAGTAAGTGTTTTACAAAAAATCCTATAATTTTAGTCCATTCATTTACTTTCAACTTAGTTATGTTTTGGACCATTAGTTTAGATATATAACTACAGAACCTGAAGGGAGTTTATTGAAAATGGTATTCGTCGTTAACATATAAGTATTTTTAATACGAGGATTTTTCACCGATTGAACTATTTGTCTTAATTATTCTTAATAATTGAATTCATGAGTCGATGTATGCCAAACCACATTGAAAACTTGGAAGCACTGGACGGCCCTTTCGTCCTAGTATGGGACTTTTTATTAATGTTCATCCTTGATCCTGCTCGCAGAATTCAAACTCAGGATCTTCCGTCTCGTGCGCGCGAACGCTTAACCTCTAAACCGCTGAGCCGACACCCAACAGTGTTAGTGTCTAACTTCGATCGATCCATGACTCATTAAATAATTTAATTTCTAACACCGAAACAAATTTCATAAAATATATGACATAATCATGATGGATACATGCTTAAAATTCCATAAAAAATACACCTGAACAAATAAACAATGTTTTTGATTTATGTTGTCAGTATGCCGTTCATTCATGCAATCTTGAAAAAGTAGAATTATTTTAAGGGGCATTTGTCTCTTTGTCTTACATAAATTTAAAAAAAGTGGGGAGATATTTTTAATAAAAATAAAACCAACCTTCTATACGGGAACGCATTTACTTTAAAAGAGCCCCAAGCTGTTTAAAATGTATATCCGTATATATATAGCTACCGGTTATTATTATTTAGGTTTGTTCTTTAATTGACACAAGTATGTATGACTCTAAGACAAGCTAGAACAATGAAAATGTAGTATCATAATTAATAGTTACAGACGAAACTTTCCGGAACAATGAAAGTTAGTTAAAGATATATTTTTGTAAGTGAGTGAGTCAATGATAGTAAGTTCCAAACGTAATTATCATTATTTCTAATATGAGTGTTGTAAGTGAGGGAAATCTGGTGCTTGATTCAAGAAACTGCAATTTGGACACCATAAGACGAAGGTGATATATGAATATTTATTATACACTAAAATAAATTAAAATTATAACTGAATATTAATAGATTAATAACTTATTGTATGAGCATAAATTTCAAATATCATAAGATATAACTAATTTACAATGTTATGTAATTACTACTTAAACTAAGATTACATGTCAAGGACGATCGCTAACAAACAATCGATATTTTCAGATCACACGACAATTACCTATTAAATTAAGTTCTTTCACAGATTTCTTCGATTCTGTAAAGTATGTTCATGCATCATCATGCTAATCATCTTAATTTTTGAAACATTTATCAAAAGCTTCCCTGTTAAATTAGATATCTAATTAACATTTATATCCTCTATATCAATTTCTTTTGAATTAAAATTGGTATTATTCAATATATCTTTTTAACGATCTTATATTTTAAATCAAAATGTATTGGAATAATGGAATGGTAAAATAGAAGATATTATTGTGCAGTTACCATTAGGTGACGAATGTTTTGATTTGAAAATAGCACAATTGAAAGACAAAATGTTTCTGGTGCCATTTTTCTGTTTATTTTATTAGCATATTGAAGATAACTAGAATATTATTTAAAATTTCAAAAACAGTTCATGATAACAAAACGTTTAATAGCAAATGACTATGATATTCACACTTTTGTCACTTGGGCAAATACAGGCTTAAATAACTTTTGCCAAGTATATTTCACTTCACATTATTGTCTATCTAGTTACTAAGTTGAAGATATTATGGTGGTATCCCGTTAGGATTGGATAAATCTCGATCTTAAAGTGTACCGAAATACTAGTTTATCTAATCTGGCGGTTTAATAGTAAATCACATCTAAAAGAAGGTAGTAAATAATAATCTTGGTCAAGTAAGTGTCATGCTGATTATCCAGACGTAATCAATACAAATTAAGGTAGATTTTCATCATAGATTAATATGGATTGAAAAACTATTAAAATAAGGTGATATGCTTGAAGCCAAATCGATTCCGCGGTAACGAACGAAAGCCAATGACACAATGACACGATAAGTTATTCTAATCTGTTGTCCCAGGCCCCGCTAACTAGATGAAGAAGTCCAAGGCAAGTAGGGGGATATATATGTATTCCGTAAGCAGCCGAGTACAAGCAATCGAATAAGGGAAAAAGTCAAGCGCATTTATACAGCAACAATTTGTCCTTGAGCATCATTAGTAAATACCACACACAAAGAAACAATGGACCAATAGCGTCTAAGATAGTTTACAAGTGGGAAATATGACGTGAAGGTAAAAAGAGCGCGTTTGGCGCGAAAACAGCTAAATTCAAGTTTTCAAAATAAAATTACAAGATTAAGCCATTTACCAAGTAAGTTCTGGAGATTAGACATCCCCAACACCTCCCCTTTTTAGTAACGAACATTCTTTCGGTCCACCTGCATTCTAACTGTCTGTCGCCGTTGGCGCAGTGATCATCTTCGGGACCGTAGATCGACCTTTGGTGTTTCTTTTTGTGTAGGGGCGACCGGCAGATTGAACGTATCTAACAATATGTCCAGCGGGATCTTTCCTTCGGTTGTTGAGCGCGCTGGGGCTGAACGCTTGCGTAGTTGGTTTTGATGCCTCGTCCACCTATCTGCTCCTACCTCGACCTCGTACATGACTCCACCTATTCTTCTAACCACACGTGCTTCGATCCAAGGATCACGATTTGCTCTGTAGTCTTGAGCGAATACTGGGCATCCAACGTTGTATGTGGATGGCTTCCGGGACGTGGTTTGCGCTAGTGGTGGTGTGGTTCTCGGTAGCGTCAAGTTGTGGATAGTCCTCAACCTTCTCCCTATGAGGATCTCTGCGGGGGACTTCTGCTCCGGCAGCGCTTCGTTAGGCGTCGTTCTGTAGGCGAATAAAAAATTTTGCAGTGTTTCCGCTGGCGTCCCCTCCCCTTTTGACTTAATCAGAGCCCTCTTGAACGTATCCACGAACCTTTTCGCTTGCCCATTCGA